TAGTGCATATGTACTTATTGGCATTGATGCCAATTATGGTTCTATCTACTTGCAGTATGTATTCGTTTGTATTTTAGATACAATCAAATAATAAGATCACGTTTATCCCACTGTAAAGGAATATTACAAATGGGAAATCAGAGATTTTATTCAAGGTGATAATTTGATTTATGAATTGGACGCTTCTACTAGTCTGTTCCAACTTGAATAACCTCTACATAAGATCGGTGAGGCAAACCATTTGGCTCGTAATGAGAATATTAATACTTTTAGCTCACATTGATATGGTCGCTATTCGAGCCTTTGATATTCCTGAAACTGGTGCTTGGACTAACGATTTTGCCTTCATGGGTCTAGATTCTTCAGACTCCTCTTGGTGGATATACTATGCAGAGGGGTAATGAAATGATATCATTATAGAAAATAAATCTAGATGAATTTAGCTCCTTAATTTTCAAAAGAAATTAATTTCTTATCAAACAATCCTCTAATGAAATGTTTGGATCTTGAGTACATAGACAGGAACACATTTTTGGTTGATTGTATCGAGCGAGGTGACGATACCAATTTAGGCAAGAACTACTTATACGTTGTTCAAAAGGGTGAGCCTCCTGTCATTACTACTTATAGTTGGAGCTCAAAAAAATATAAAAGTGTCAACGATAGAAAGGTGTAGTATCATGTTTACAATGCTCAAAATATTGGTGAGGGTGTTTCTGACGAAGTGCCTCTGAGAGTCCTATTGAGAGGTCAATATGCTTATGGTACTCCTGGTAGTAGCATAACAAACCTTGACGGAGATTGCATGATAGAGTTGCTAACAAATAATGATAAGAATGAATTTGTAGAAACCAGTCAGATCTTGGACAAACATCAATTGATAAAGGATTTACAGATAAAGGCAGAGGATTAGGAGAACTTTACATTTAAGATGATAGATTTTAAAATAATGCCTAATGGTGATATTTATGTGTTGGATGCCTAGAATGGTATTTACATTTATTACGTCACTTCAAAAAATGAGTTCAAATTCAAGAGCAAGATTGAAATCGGAGCAGATTTGGCTTATGCTTTCGATGTCAACAATAAGATTGACTTCGAAGGCATAAGTCATGTTCACATTGCCGTAGTCCATCAGAAATCAGTTGTAGAATACATAGATGGATAACAAAAAGGAGGGTGGTTGGATGCATTCGATGCTAAACATCCTTCATTCATATTTGCAAGTCAACAATTCTTGATTGTCAATCCAGGAGGGAATACTTTCTACATTTATAACTCAGACCATCAATACTTGATTCATACTGAAGTTTTGCTCACTTAAATATACTTGGCAAATCCCTATGAACCAGATCTGATAGCTATCACAAATTCATTCGCCTACAGATATGAAGTGGGATATGCAAGAATATCAGTTCACTCTTACGATGCTACACTTGGAGAAAATGAAGTTGGGTTTTCAGCGACTGCAACAGACAAGAAGAAATGCGAAGCTTCACTCAAATATCAAATAATTAAAGAAGGGGACACAAACATTTACCCTGTTGATCATGATCCATTCCCACAAGTCATGTAATATCCTTCAGATCCCATCTTTGTGTAAGAGTTGGCAGCTGGACCGAACTTGATATATACCAATGGAGATGATTCACAAAAGGATCATGTTATTGTAGACATTCACACAGTTTGGGAACTCAATGTCACTGGATTGACTTTTCCAACTGTAACTGATGTGGCATATGCTGATGTACTCATAGATCCTCATTGGTCTGGAGCACATAAGTTTTGGTTCCTTTATTAATTGTAATCAAGCAAATAGGTTGAGATCTTTGAATGCATAACTCAAACATAGTTATCAAGAGATGTTCATTGTGAAGAACATGCCAAATTTAAAATTCCAAACATCTTAAATCCAAGTACTTCTCAATTTGATTGGGATGCAGAAGAAGGTGACATATTAACACTTTAATTCATCGAAAATGATTATTAAATCTCCATCTACGAAAGTACTCATGATCAATCAAATCCCTTATATAATATAAATTATGAACCAATAGCTAGCAATGTGATTACTTCATTCACTGTTTTGAGAAAAGCCATTTATGTTGTGTTACCAAACAAAAAGGAAGTTGATGCTTGGTTTGGCTTCTTCCCCACACCCACAAAACATGTCATTTCTAGTTAAACCATGATATAGTAGGGAAGTGAAAGAGCTTTCGAACCTAAGAGAGTGTTTGGTAATCCTGCTCTGAAAAGTGAATTTGTATTGATTCAATCAAAAGATTGCATCTTCTTTGGAGACATGAGGAACACCTTCACTTTGATTTATGTGTTTGACATCATTCCTGGTGCTGATGTTAGAGCCTACTTGGGAACCAAAACCATATTTATAGTTCAGAAGAGTGAAACCCTTGGATTCAAGATTTAAGAGTACAATTATGAGAAGTTGAACAACATCTATTTAATGAAGGAGTTGCCACTATATGACTATGTTATCCAAAGTCCATTGACAACTGATTATTGCTATTAAACTGGATTCCTGTTTGTGCGTGCTTTAGACCCATCTTCATAAGAAACTGTGATTCTAGTCTATGAATCAGATGTACTCTATCAATTGTCATTGCACAAAGTAGTCAAGACTCACTTGAAAATCAATGATGGGTAAGTTATGAATATGGCTGCTGCTGGACATGACTAAATGTACATGTATGTCAACAATCAACAAAACATATAAAAGATGATTGGATTCTTGAGAGATGCCATTGCAGTTTTGTAACCATCTCATATAACCAATCAATATGTGACCAATTTGATGGCTACAGTCAACATCACTAATCAAGTAGTGACCAAACCGTATTAGATTTCATATCCCATCAAATATGTGAATACTTAAACTTACATCAAGGTGGATTAGGACGAGTTGTCAAAACAAAAGGATTCCTTTGTATTCCTCAATTAAGCTGCTGATCAATTTTTAGAAATCAAAACAACTGGATGGTAATCTGGACAAGTAATCAAATATGATGTTGAATGCAATTCATGTGGATCCCAATTGATCAAAATGCTTAATCCAGTTTACAATCTTACAAATGGACAGTAATATCAATAACGCTTCATCGATGGAGTTGCCATAGGTACTTCAATGATCTTTTTGACAAGTGATTCACTAATCCTCCAAGATGAGACTGGTAAATATGTAGGCACACACAAATTACCACTTGGAATCGGGGCTGATTGCAAATCTATTACAGCAACTGATGATGGTAAAGCAGTATTGTGTGGATGTGAAGAAAGAGGCACTGTCAATATCTATCTAGTATTTTGTGAAGGAAAGACATGCACATCTGCTACGCCAACAGTGTTGTAGGTTGGTTAGAATGCTAAATACCCATCCAAATTATTGTACAAGGATGGCATACTTTTCATTTTGGATAATAACAAGAATGATCCAACATAATATGATGGTAGTGTCAGAGTCCATAAAGTCAATATAAATGAATCAGACAAAACTTGGACTCTTGAAACTGGAAAAGTCATCAATTCTTAATTCTTAAGCACTGAACCTACTGTACCATTTTAACCAGCAGATTTTGATGTTATCAAATATGAAGTTGGCAATGTACATTACTATAAGTTATTGTTATCCAGTGCTTTATATAGAGTCTGGTTTGTTGATCTCTATTGGGATAATGGAACCATTAAGTTCGGATAACACGATAAATTTGATCTATTTGGATTAATCGACAAAAACTTTGCAATCAAAAGTCACACCCGTTTCTACTAAATCAGAGCAATTAAATCAACCAAAAAGGATAAGTCACTCTTAACCACCGCTTTGATATCCACAAACATCATGGCCACTTATGCTGTCACCTTCACATATGACATCACAGATCCTGTCAAAGGAGCACCTGTGTCATCCGATGCCACTATTCCATTCTTGCTTGCCAATTACGGAACTTGGAAATAAATGAACAAACTTACACTCTTTGAAGATCACGTCGCCATTGCTTATACCAATTAATAAAGCATTATGGTTGCTGTCTATTTATTACCAACCATTGATCATAATGCCATTTAGGATAGTTAAACTAAAGTTGTTACATTGATAGGAGGTGAAGAGGACTAATAAATGTTACAAATCTCCACTTATTTTGTCATGACTCTCTCTAAAGATGCTACATAAACAAGAGTAATATTATTATTATATCCTAATTAGCCTGTACTCCATACCAATCTTGTTTTCAATGAGGCATAATATGAAAACCTGCTCCTCAAATACGGAGTCACTGATTATCCAAGATTATTCATTCAAAAGGGAGATCAAATAGAAGCATAGAATGTTTACATCACTGCCAGAAATGATTATGGATCCGCTCAAGCTGTCATCCATTTAACCAAGAAAAATCCACCAGGACCAAACCCTCCTGGCCCTGACCCAAATGATGATGATTCGTAATTATACTTATTTAATCCCTTTAGTGAAGGAAGCAGTAGTAATTGGTGGTGGATTACATTGTTAGTTGTCTTTGGAGTTGCTATTCTGGGAGTTGGCGGATATTTTATATATACCAAAATCTATAAAAATAGAAAAACTCCATTACATCAAGCCTATTGATTTATCATAATAATAATTTAAATTTTAAATTACATGGCTCTCTTTGGTTACTTATTTGGGCAATACTTGAAATTCAGAGAAGTTTCCACTATTTTTAAATAAATAAAGATTGTAAGTTGATGGACAGAAATTATAAGACAATGGTTTCGAATTTTAATATCCTTTCTTAGATGTGTTGATTATTCAGACATTATAATTCAAAACACTAAATTAAGTTAAGTTGATTAGTTTATTAATTTGATTACAACTAAGGAATAACGATTAATAAAAAATAACACCAGAGGGAATCAACTTAGAGTTATTTTCGTTTACCCAACTCTGCAAAGGAAACTGACTAATAAATATAATCTAATGATAATCGATGTTAATAATTCAAATAATTTCAGAAGTTTTTAAGTAATAAACATCTTGTTTCAATACTCCAATAATAACTTGATGAATTATTGTCTATTACCTCATTAGAATTACTATATAGATCCTTCTCTTATTATTCTTGCGAATCAGGTTAGATTTAAATATTTAGGGACAGATCAATATCATCAGAGCATTTTGGGCTTTGATTTTGATCCAAGGGTTTTATTTTAAAGTATAAATTAGGTTACTTTAAATATTTCTACTTAATACTGGAGTAGAAGCGATTTTTAATCATGTTTTCCTAAATATCAAAGAATAATGTCATACCGATCTTCCTGGCATTTTTTCTGAGATTTTACTCCATTGAGATCCATGCTTTAGATATTCCTAGTATATCCTTTCATCTTCTTAAACTGTCATTGGTCCGTGATTAAGATTAGGATCGAGAAAGTTTTTGTACCTTCTTCTGACTTATTTACCTGTTTTGCTTTGGATTTGCTTAGCTATTGTATTCCAGCAAGGGCCTACTTATTTGAAAATTTGTAGTAAGGCTTTATCCTCTGTTTAAGTCCATCGTTTGGCCTTGTTTTGGTGAATTCCCTTGCTCTATTGCAGCCTTTTCCACCTTTGACAACATTGAGAAGCATTTCTTTATTCCATCTTCTGTGCCACTAGTAGCCATCGATGCCCAAATAATGACATATTAGCTATTAGCCTTTTATCTTCTTCTGGAGTCCATTTAGATCGTTAGATGATGCCCATCTCCATTATTTCTAGATTCCTCTTACGACTCTTACTTTTCCACTTAGCTATTTATTTCCTACCTTTGGTATAGGAGTTCATTTGTGATATTTGAATGAAGATTTAATTTATTAGAGTTCAATCTTTTTAATTGGTAAAAATCCAGCCTTTTAAATTTAAGATAAATAAGACTATATAAAAAATATTTGCATAAGTAATCACATTGAATAGGTATTGCTTATTTTTTAAGCCTTTTTTGTTGATATAATTTTCAACACCAAAAAATAGGAATTTTTGTTTGAAAACTATAGAAAATTTTTTAAACTTATAATCCCACTTAAAAATCTGGTTCTGAAATTCTTATAATTCATTCTTACTTATATTCACAATATTTAATTACGACCAACACTGACTATTTATATATAAAAAACGATTACTTAAGACAGTTATAGGCTATAAGATAGCTATAGGATGATAATGGAGGAAGCTCATTTTTTGAAGTATACTTGAATATGGAATATTTGCTAGACAAGTAACAATATTATTTTTACTCCATTTATAAAACACTTAACAACCTCAAAATTTAATTATTAAATTGTATCAAAGAAAAATTATATAAATTGTAATATAATTTCTGTTTCTAATTGTGTTTAATCAATTTTTATTATAATTAATGGATGGAGATCATTTAAAATATTTACACCTTCATCCATATTTATTTCTTGAATAAGTTAATTTTTGATTAAGGAATTATTGAATTTTCTTATTGAAAAACATATTTGAAGGCTAACTATAAAATTATGTTAAAAGAACTTAGATTTGATCTCACCTAAGTTTTTCAACAAATAATATTGAATCAAATTGATCAAACTTTATGTAAAAGTGTATAAAATTATTAATCTAACTTTTTTTTCTTAAAACTCATAAGCAATTTTAATGGGACTATTTTTACTAAATAATAAAATGAAAAATCTAGTAATTTACATTGTATTCACAAAAATACATAGCTTATCAATATTTAAGAAATAGATGAGGCTTATACTTAAAATATACCAATTAAGAAAATAAAAAAAAAGATTTAAAAATCAATAGTTTTGATTGGGCAACAACACATAGTATGCTAAAGGTCTAATGATTATTTGATAATTTAATAGTTTATTTGTATATTAATATTATTCATAAAAAATTAATAACAATGAAATAAAATCATAACTTGATTACTGATAAAATTTGATTTTGGTAATGCAAACTTAATAAAAAAGACAGAATGAAGGAAATTAGGAAAATGAGCTTATCCAACTTTCCGGATTTTGGTTTAGTGCTAGTTCTTTCAATCAAACTAGTATTAAACTTTTAAACATCTTGCTATCGTATTAGAGAATAATAAATACCAATTCCTGTTCCTTCTTAGTGACTTCCTGTTGTAATACTTCAAATTTATTGCAAAAGTATTCTGCTTCAACTTTAGCCTTGTCAGCAGTAGGAATAGCAATGACTCTAGTAGGTTCTACCTATCCAAATTATTTATTAACTGATTAGAACATTTGACTTTAATTTCCTTGACTTTGAGCAACGATCTTTCTATCCTTGGTGAGAATAGCTATGTTAATTCTCTATTTTTCAAATCTTCTCGTTCTATCCAAGAAGATGGGTCCAGCATCTTGAACTCCTTGAGGCATGATGGTTGTAATCAATTACAATTTTTCATTAAACTCTTTGATGGAGTTATTTTCAAGGACTTTGCTATGAAGTGTAATATTGACTTATTAGCTCTGTCTAGGTGATACAATTCCCAAAGGTGGCCTGACCAAAAAAATGTTGAGATTCGTAGCTTTAAACTAATGAGCATGATCAGATAATAATATACTTTATAGGCTATCGGATGTTGAGTGTCATTGTATAAAGTGATTGAGGAATGCATATTGTCTAACTTACTATATTCAAAGTCGACTTGAGGTGCACTCAATCTTAGCGTGTCCATTTTATAAATAATTTAATTAAATCACTTCACAAAAACAACAGTAATTAATGGATCTAAGAAATTCAATAGAGGCGATTAAGAGGAATTCTGATTACAATCTACAAATTAGGACATTATATGGAATTTGAAATATCCCCATATTTAATTTAATATATGTTTATTAATGATTTCAAATGATTATGCACAATTAGAATAATTTCAAAGTATTGATTACAGTGGAGGAATATATAAAAATTAATTATGTCTTCATTGAATATTTTATCACAATCAATTCAGTCTAACCTATTCAAATAAGAAGGGCTAATAATATTTGAATTCATTCGCAATTTTTGATTGATAGTTCTCCAATAAAAATCTTTAAGTTCTATGTCTTTAATAGATGGATGTTTTTATAGAGAGAGGAAATTAGTTAATCACTAAAAAATAGGTTTAGACATCCTTCTACTATCATGTTTATATATGCATGTATTATTATAAATAATTAAATTATTTGCTTGTAATATAAATTTCAGGTTTTGACTAATAAGCTGGGAATTTGATCTATATCAGCATATGAATAGATGTGTTGCACATATGGTCCCTTTACGAAAATATCAGAATCAGTTAAATCCTCAGTTTACCATTTGATTAGAGGATGATCAATAACCGGGATTGAATAATGGTAGGTCTGAAATAGTTTGGTTTCTTTGGTTGAGATGGATATTGTATAAGTCTTATTTGGTAAGAGTTTAATTGGATGTCTGAATTCAATAAAATATAAATGTCCATCAACCACTTATAATTTATCATGTTCTAAAACTTTGTGTTATTTGAAGATATATTTAGTTAGATTTGTGTCTTCATGCAATTTGAATATCAATTTCGGAGTTTTGGCTTATGAATCATAATTGGTTGAATTATAACTTCCTTTGTAAAGCATTGGTTAGAAAATTCCTACTAAATACAATTATTTCTCTCTCACTTGGAATATATTGGCTCTGATGGTAGTCTTGTCAAAGATACTTGGCTTGCTTTGTCCATCATCAGCTATTTAAGTTATTAATGAGATATATATACATATCCAAACTTTTTTTAGTCTTTCCACTCTCTCAGTTTTTGTGTAGAATGTACTATTGACACAATCTAATTGATCAATTACAGACTTTTGAAGACTGGGTATTTTGTCTTGTAAGTAGGAAGTGAGTTCTATCAATTATTGTTTACTCTCTTTTTCTTTTAGAGTTATTTGATTATTTTAAATGTTTTATTGTTGATTGATCAAGAATAATCTCAACTCTTTGATGTCTTATTAGTTAAATTAGTTCACACTCTGAAGAAACTTATAGCCTTAGTCATTGATTTTTTGGTCATTCACTAACTTCAATATTAATTATCTTAATTCATCTTCCAGTTGATTCAACTTGTCCTCGACGGCATGCTTGAAACTTCGAAATACATTATAAGCTTCTAATCCTTGTTTATCCTATATTATCTCATTGACATTTGAATGACGTTTAAGTAACTTGTCAATCTATTTCATATAAATAATTTGAGTGGAATGAGTTAGATGGAACTTAATACAATTTTGGCAAAAGTATTAATCTTCCTTGCACTCCTGATTTAGACAGATATTGGAAATGGGTGCTTGAGGATGCTTTGGACATTTAATTTTCTGAAATTATTCAATAAAATTCATTAATTTTAATTATTGAAGAATTATTCCTATGTGCACAAATCTGATTCTTGCATATCAATTTACGAACTTTCCATTACTTTCCAATTGGGAATACTGAAATACTTTCCTGAATACAAATTCTTGTTTATCAATTACAAGTCCTTAAACCATTACTCCTTCCTCAAATTATACCTCCAACCTCTCAAATATCTAAATATACTATTTATTATTACAGATTCTCTACAGCCCATAACTACTATTCTTCATCCATCACATTATAAAAGATATAGAAATTGGTTTCCTCTGAAAATTAACTAAACATCTCCTTCTTCCTATTCGCGCTATTCTACCGAGGCATTAACTTTTGCTTAATCCAATCATGAGGCTTTGAAAGAGGGTCTGGTTGAGTGGCATTATCATCAATAAAAGGTGAAATAATCTTTGTAGGTTGTCCAGGCAATCTAATGTGATTCAATCATACTTATTATCTTAAACTGACATCCCTAATTCATCTAAATTCATCCCATTCCACAGCTTAAAAATTGCCTTATCCTTATCCTTCTCCTTCTCCGATACATACTTCTGAAGGGCTGCAAAACTATACTTTGATTTAAATTCATCATCCATATTAATACCAAAAAATAAATAACTTTTAATTACTTTATAATATAAAGTTGAATTTAGAGAAATACTGTCTCATATACATGCTCAAAATTATGAAAACAGTATTGAAATTGATTAATCTATCAAAAATTGAAAATCATTAATATCCTATCATGCTTACTCATACACCATTTTAACTATGACAGTTGGAGGGATCTTATCTTCAGAGATTAATTATTGTAAAGTGTCCCTAGAGATTACTTATGGCCTATGAATTTGATTTACAATATCCATTAAGATTTAGTCACTCAAGACATGGTCCTTTCCATCCATCCTCTATGCCAACAGTCTTAACAACCCTTGGATCTCTGTAAATGGAATTTCACTTCTTTCTGATCCCATGAAGAAATCAAATGTGAACTTTATATACTCTTCAAATGTCCCTTCCTAAAATACAATCAATTTATAAAAATGTTTAAAGGATCTGAAAGTCATCATGTCGCTTTTGCAAAATGCCCACACCACTCTTTCCACAATCTCATCCTCCTTTCTTATCAAATCCCAAAACACTTGACAATAAGTTAAAAATGTATCTTTTCTAATAGCAATATCGTCCTAAACCTTCTCCACCTCTGAAACATCCAATAACACCTGATTAGATTTACCAAAATCTATTGGGTCACTTGAATTGCTCTATCTTGAATTCTTAACTAAAAATTGAGGGGATATTTAAGAACTGGGAGTAGGTTAAGTATTTGTCTACTGCAATTTTTTCTTATGAAAGTCTTAGATGCTCTGATAATGACTAATCGATGAGATGGTACCAAATTACTATAACCTCAACTCAGGCCTTTGAATATCAGCATAAACCACTAGTCTGTCATAATTTATTAATAAATTCCACTCTTTAACCAGATCCAACTCTTTAGTCGTATTATTTTTTATCATCCTTATCAAACTATCCCTATATAAATATTTTGGATTGCCTTTTTATCTCTCAAAAACAGTGTTCTTATCATAATCCAAATAGGTTCTTAATCGTGGCCCAAACCCTTTTAAATTTTCATTCAGCAACACTGCATTTTAAGCATTCTATTCCATTTCTTATGACAAAGTCTCATCATCATTTCTTGAAGATTTAAATAACCTGGGCTATGACAAAAAGGGTGATTTCCAAGACTCTTATAAAGGATTTCTTTCATTAATAACTTAAACCTTCTTTTCCAATTTCTTTAACTCCTTACTTCGATATTCACTCTACTAAAGAGGGTGAAGACCTTTCATAGCCTTCTCAAATAACAAAGTCGGTTTAGATGGCAATTGCTTATAATGTTTCAAGAGATCATTTCTTGAAAAGTCAGAATTGACTATACTCTACTAGGCCTCATCATGCAAGGGAATAACCAAATCAATTAATTGCTTTTGAAAATTCCTTTTCTCTACAATCCTTTCTAATTTTCCTTCATCATTAAATTTTGATCTCAGTGGAGAACCTAACAATTATTTCGATTGGTTTGGAATTTTTAATTTTGGTAATACTGGTTTGTTTTTATTTGAGTGCATAAAAATGAGAAAGAATAAATTTAAATAGATTATTATTTTAAATAACTTGAATCATGATAAGGAATCATAAAAAAAGGTCAGTCAAAATCTACTATGCCTGTATTTATGATGGAGGGATACCAGTTGGCATTTGTATGTCCAATGAATGTAGAGGCTTCATCTGTTTCAATTGTTTTCAATTGATACATTCAAATCATTTAAATAATACATTTACTTTTGACGAGATAAAAGTCAAAGTTGAGATTGTTATAAGCTAAATTAAAGAGATCGCGATTTAGTTTAGTCTTGGAGGGAGAGAAGATTATTCTGAACATCTAGAGAAGTTCACTTAAAACTTTTGGTAATTAGAATTGGAATATAATTGGTACAAATCAAAAAAGTTGTAAAAAGAAGTAGTTTTACTCTAAAGCATACCAAGATTAAGAGAGATAAACAAATAGTTAACCCTCAGTAAAGAAAATCATGCATACTATTTTTATTCTCTAAAGCCACTTTTGTTTGTACATTCCAATAATTCAAGAAATTATACCGAGGAAGTTTGTTTTGCAATTAAATTCATAATAATATTTCTATTATGTTGTGCATTGATAATCATCATCCTAAAATTCATACTAATAAAGGTGGTCTAAGATGGATGATAATTTTAAAATATATAAATCATTATAAGATATTCTATCTACTTATAGTCTATTTACTATTTTTTATAATTAACAATTTGTTTATATTTCTAGAGTATTATTATAAAACAAATATTATCTTTAGAATTATATTATATTTTTATTTTAGAGATGATTTATATCTCACTTTTTCTGGGGATAATGTAATTTATCTCTGTTTTGAAGGCGTGTTCGCTTGTGGAGGGGAATGACCTCAATTTGTAGGGAATTGAAAATGAAATACTTTATATTGACATTCGAGAATTCTTTAGCTTAGAGCAAGAGAATTTTCTTGAATTAGAACCAAAAGAAACAGTTAAGAATGTTAGGATCATTAATACAATCGAATAAACTTATGAGATTCCATTGCAATTAGTGAGTAATCCTATACATATCAAAAATGGGAATAAGTTAAACCAAAATTCAGAGAGTACCATTATAATCATAGATGAGGAGAATAATTTTTATGAATATTCTCTTTCCTCTAAATAGTTTGTCAAATTTTAAGTTGATGGCTATCATGAATTTTTAAATTTGCTTGATGGAATCTAATTGACTGTTTATGATAAAAAATATTTAATCTTAGATTAAAGTACTATTGCATAGACTTACCTTATATTGTACGAAGAAGTATTTTAGAGCGAATTTAAAAAGATATTTGAGTATAATAAGCCATTTCGCTAAAATGATGAGAACAACAAATTATTTGGAGTAGGAAACACTATTTACAGAACAAATTACAAGTAAATTGAAATATATTAAATTGAATAAAATATTTTAAAGTTTAAGGGATATCTGATGAAATCATAACAAAACCAGGATTGTGGTCCCATTTCAAATATTATCAAAGCGAAAATTCATTAAAACAGCATTAGTTTTATTGATTAAGATACTCTGGTAATAGTTCAATTGAGAGGTAATATCAATGATGATATTAACTAAAAATGTATTAAATTCAATGAGAAAATCTATGGTTATGATTATTATGAATAGCTGGATGAATATGTTGTTTTTACTAGGAATCAATTATTATTTGGAAATTTAAGAAGAGACTTGAACATTCCAGTTATGCAACACAACACAAATGTCCTTCTTACATAGAATTAAATTTTGTTTGTTATAGGTCTTAATATAGAAATTTATTCAAAAGAACTAAAATTTTTGGATCTAATTATTAATTAAAATTATTTTGTGATTGAAGTGATGCCTGAAACTAATGAATTTATCTTATTCGACAAGGACAACGCTAAAGTATTTCAATTGTTTTAATCTCCTATGATTAGGATAACTAGTTAAAATGAGGATATAGATTTTTAATTAAAACAAATAACAGAGTCAAAATAATGCACTCTGGATATACACTTTTCCTTTCAGAAGATAAATTATGATAAAATCTTTGAAAAATTATAGAAGGAAAAGCTTGTTCCTTCAACAGAGTGGAATTTCAAGGATTGTAATTAAAAGTAGAATTAGATCTCTATCTTACAGCAAATAGTTAAAGAAAAAAAGACGAAATTGATAATAGAATTACCTTCACTATCTAATTCGGAATACATATTAATTAGAGAGGATCAAAATAAATTTACATTGATAGTACAATAAAAAAATATGAAGAGTTATGATGAATATTAATTCATATTAGAAATCTAAGACTTTGAAAAATCGGATAATTAACTATGGTGGGTTTTCGATGATTAGGTTTACTTAGCTTTTCGTTTATTAGACACATACTTTATATTTAGATTAGACTATGGAATCTAAAACCTTTTGTTTTACAATGAGATAAAATTGAGTGTTAAAATATTGAAAGTTGTATCAAGCGGAAACTACCTCTTCATGCTTGGAGAGTAGAAAGCAAATATGAATGTGCTCCTTTATTCTTCCTTGTTAGAAGTTGAACAGGAACCCAAAAAAATATAACTCTTAGCCGTCAAAGATATTTTTGCTTCACCATTATTGAAGAATTACGTAATAATAAAAATGGATAAACTATTGGCAGTTTATCATATTCTAATTGCACCAACATAAGTATTCAAAGAAATTGTGAAACCTTTATAAACAAATGTTATCATTTTTAAGAGTTATTTTGTTATTTTGATGAAATCTAGTGATGAAAAAGAGAAGATTTGTGATTTTTATTTTTTTAAAAGTTAATAAACAATAGAAAAACTCGGAAGCAATCCACTAGAACAATTTTCTGAGATTTAAATTTAAGATGCCCTAGTTTAACCTAGTTAAAACGTCTTTTACTTGAAATGTTAAGTTAAACTTAAAAATATTAGGAGAAACGCTCTTGTTGCATTCAAAGTTGGTAGACCCATATATAATTCTTTGATGTTTATTTTATTAAGGAATAGGAATAGTGAGTATTAAGTCGTTTCAGAACTTCTATTAAAATAAAATAGTAATTAATTAATGCCAATGATCTCAATAAGAAATAATGAAATGTGTCTAATATAGGAGGATGATGAAAAGATTATAGATTTTGAACCATTGAAAGATGAAGATCTAAATTTGGTAGATGGGGAAGATCGCCCACCAATTTTAGATAATGGTGGTGACGATGATCAAAATAATAAAGACGATCAAAACGATGACGATACACTTGATTTGAATGCTGATGAAAAATTACCAATAGGTTCCTTCTTAGTTATGAGCACAATAGAAGAGGCTTTGATCTATTCACTTTTCAGGACTTTTGGTAGAAGAAGAGTTGAGACTATTGATGTTGTATGAATGATTGATTGTATATCTTTTTTCGATTGTTTGAGAATACAGAATCAGATATTTTATTTTGAAAATGATAGTAATGATGATTCTTAAATTAATATATTATAATACAAAGTAATGTCAAAGAAGAATTCAATTTTTGAATTTAAGGATGACATCAATGGAAGAGTGCCAGTTGTATTCTAATGGAGTTTTGATTTCAATTTCTTGGTTTGTGGAGGAGAGAAATCTCTAGTTTACGTGATTGATAAGTAAATATCATAATCAAATTAGACGAGGGAAGCGTCTAAAGGATATTCAATTGCCAACAAATAATAAATTATTACAATTGGAATGGGACAAAGATGGTGAATACATTTGCATTGTGCAGGTATAACACAATAAAAATTAAAAAAAGGATGGTCTCAATTATGTTAATTTATGGGCTCCATTTACAAACAATTCTCAACTGCTTCAAATAGAGTTAGATAATGCGAAAGCAAAAGTGTCATATGCTAAGTGGTCTAGAAGTCATGGGATATTGGCAATAGGATCAGATAAGGGTGGTTTATTGTTCTATACAAAAAAATAAGCAAAGAAATTACCTACAATGGGAAAGCACAGCAAGAAAATTATTAGTGGGGATTGGAATAACGAGGGATATTTAAGTATGCAGTTACAAAAGTATTAATCTAGTTACAAGTGGAGAAGACAAATTCTTAACAGTTTCAAATTACAATTCAGAAACTATGTTTGAATCTATTCCTGTGAAAGCTGAAGCCAAAAACGTAGTTTGGTCTAGATCTAAGACAGATTCAAGGGAATAGAATTAAAGAACAGTCACAGCTATCATTCAATAAAAAACTATTATAATGTTTGAGTTGGGCAAGAATCATAAAATGCCTGATGAGTTAATGTTTGAAAATAAATATGGGAAAATAGTAGATTATACAATCTTTGGAGATGGATATTTGGTCATTGGATTTAGTGAAGGATACGTTGCACATATCTCTACACATAGAAAAGAAATTAGTAAAATTTATATCTATATCATTAGAGGATGAAGTACAAAGTGAGAAACTATTGAAGTAAGTGGATGCAATATGTACAAATGACAGTCTCTATAAATTGGCTGTGGCAGGAGATGGTTGTATCAAAATGGTTAACTTACAAACTTGGTAAGAAATACCCACAGAAAAAATTGATTTGCCAAATGATTGCGGTCGTGTATCAAAAATGTAATATTTATATTGAAATTCAGGGTTTGGAGTTCAAATGGATAAATCTTGGTTGTGTCTACTGAAAAAGGGTGCTTATTTGGATTCCAAACTTCAATACCAACCCTAACATCTTCTTATTCATCAATGATTGCCTTGCAATAATCATTCACAGAAATCTCTATCTATTCAACTCAGGAGTAATCATTAAATGAAATTTCTACTGTCTCTTTGGAGAATGAGCCAAATTAGATTTCAATGAGTATGCAATACTTTGCTGCTGGGCTCAATAATATGGTTTTCTATTATAAATATCTGGAATTAAAAAATAAAAAGGCATTCAAACCAGCTCTTCAAGTTCTGAAGATGGATTATTTAGGATATGTCAATCAGATCTTTTTGAATGATGAATCTGCGGCCATCTTAAGCAATAATGTTTGCACTTTTCATAAAATTGAGTAAACAGGCGATTATCTTAAATAGTAATCTATTCCATTTAACATAGATAATTCCCTGATAATGATTAAGAAAAACCTATCTTACACATTGGGTTAACCAAAAATTTTCTATTTTTATTAGATTCCTAATCCAAAATCAGAGTCTATAATGTTATTGAAAAATAATTCATTATCGAATTCAAAAATGACTATAATCTCACCAAAATCTTTCCAAATATTAGTGGAACAAGATCAATTTGCATTAATAATAAGGGTTAAGGCTTTCTATTTGAAGCATCCCTTGAATTATTGACTAAAATCTCTGAGTTCCCAGAGAAAACAGAAAAAATCATTTGGGATCAAAAGGACCCCAATCTGTTTGTAACATAAGAAGCTATTCATCTTACTACCTACATAGTTAATAAAAATAATTTATAATAAGAAATGGTGCATCCAGTTTTGGAATATTTATCTATGGAAGACTTACAAAAGACAGCTCCTCCAAATCCATCAACCACTGAAATTGATAAAGGAGTTTAAGCCCTAAGTTTAGCAAATGGAACATTAAAATGTTTTACCATGACAAGAAACGTTATGGGTTAACCATTAATGAGCCATTCTTATTTGAAGTCATACAAAGGAGCAGACGATACAAATGAAGGTCATTTTAGATACTTTTTATAAAACTTAGCCCTCTTTAAATTTGCCAATGCTCACAAGGCAGCTTTGAATTTAAAGAATCTAAAATTATTTGATACTTTCGGTAGAAAGTGCTTGGAGAATCTAGAATTTGATGTTGCCTAAAAAGCATTCCAAGCAGCCAACAATATCTCTATGGTTATGATGATACAAAGCTTCAAAAATGAAACTGAAAAGAATTTATTGTTTGCATATGTAGCCATGATTTTGGGATAACACGATCTGGCCTAAGATTTATTCTTAAAATCATCATATAGACTCGGAGCTCTAGAATTGAGAAGCGATATCTAAGACTATGTGAATGCCTTGTCATTGGCTAAGAAGATAGCACCAGAATAGGAGCCATTCATTTGCAAAAGACTTGCCATCTAAATTGAAACTTAGGGCAACAATCCAGAGGCAGTCAAAATGTATGAGATGGCTATTTTGAATGAGAAACTTCATGATTCCAAGACCGTTGAGACTCATAATCAACAATGCGTTGCTGGTATTGCTCGTTGTTCAATCAAGATGGGTGATATTCTAAGAGGATCAAGTCTTTCAAGACAAATATCAGATCCTTTAATTCTTCAAGATATTGCTTTGGTGTGCGAAAATATGAAATTCTAAGTTGAAGCTGCTGAACTTTATGAATAAGCAGGTTGTATTGAGAAGGCAGCCACCATATATATCACATAAAAGATGTTCAAATAGGCTGCACCTTTAATGAATAAAGTGAAATCACCCAAATTGTTAGTTTTATATGCAAAGGCAAAAGAAAGCGAAGGAGCCTTCCAAGAAGCTGAAAATGTTTACGAGAAAGCTGAAGATTGGGAAAATGTGGTTCGCTTAAATTTAAATTAATTAAACAACATTGAAAGAGCAAAGTTCATATTGCGTAATAAATGCAAGACAGTGACTCTTGCATTAATGGTAGCTTAGTATTGTGAAAGAAGAGGATCTAAGGCAGAGGCAGTTGAATTCTTGATATTGGCTGAAAAGAAAGAGTAAGCATTTGCCTTGGCTCAAAACTTTAATGAAATGGATGCCTACGTAGAACACATGAAGGCATTCTCATTGGAAGAACGTTTGTAAGTGGCCTCGTATTTTGAAGGCAAAGGTTAATTAGATAAGGCTGCATTTCATTTTGAGAAGGCCTAGGATCCCATGAAAGCTCTCAGATTGTATTAGCAAGCAGGAGAGGAATTCATTAATGATATGATAGATTTGGTAGCACGTAATAAATAGGATAGTCTAATTTAAAATCTATCAGATTACATTAATGGAGATACTGATGACATTCCCAAGGATCCCATCTACTCTTTGAAATTATAAAAAGCTATAGGTAATCTCTAGGCAGTCGGAAGGATTGCAATTACTATTGCAGCTTCAGAATAGGAATGTGGTAAATACAAGGAGGCTCATCAATTTCTATATGAAACTTGTGATGATTTGAAATCGAGTGGAAATTAGATACCATTTGATTTATATTCAAAGTTAATGACCCTGCATTCATACACTCTAGTTAAAAAGATTATGAAATTAGAAGAACATGAAGATTTGGCCAAACTGTTGGATAGAGTATGCAAAAGTATTAGTTAATTCCCTAATGGCGCAACCAATATCCTAACTATGGCCGTAATTGAAGCCACAAAAGCTAATTTTAAGTATATAATAGTATGATTTAATAACAGGTCATTAGCATATCAATGGGCAATTACATTGATGAAACAAGAGTATAGATCTCAAATCAATGAGAAATTTAAAACTAAAATTGAAAACATAGCAAGAAAACCCATAAAAGAGGAAGTCCCAGATAAAAAAACACCTTGCCCATTTTGTGGAGTATAAATACATTATGATTAATAGGAATTTGTCTCTGAATTTTGCTTAGATTGTCCCAAATGTTCAAACAATATTCCCTTTTGCATTGCATCAGCAAAGTAATTTCTTAGATGATCACTTTTAGACATATAGTGGCTGAGTAATGCTGTTTCTGTCCTGAATGCAAGTTCCCTGCCAATATCTAATACTTAAGAAGAATCCTTGAAATTGAGCCGATCTGTCCACTTTGCCAAAAGCAAGTAAGACCTCAAGAATTAAAGGAAGTATGCATTTTTATTGATATAATAGGTTACAAAAGAGGAAGTCCTCAAGTTAAAGAGGAAGGCTGTAGTCGATGAAAAAAAATAATGAAGATTATTATTATAAAGTTATTAAATTAATGTCTGATAGTAAAACTACCCCTAGAAATCATGGTAGATCGAAAACCAAAACAAGTATGATTTCTATTTCAAGGAAATAGGCGAAAACTTGTAAATTCAATTCAAGAAACCATCAGTTGCAAATGAAAGATTGGTCGTTAATAAATTAGGTATGAAATTTGATCCTGTTTGTTGGAAGAAGAATCATGAAAAAGGAAAAATCCAATTTGTTTGTATTGTAAATCTCTGACATTATTAAAAAAGGAATCTAATTGCAATGCTGATAGAAGATTGGCTTGTGCGCATTGTATTATTGAAGAGCATGATGAACATATATCAAACAAAGTTACTGTTGAGTAATATTGTGATACCTTTGAAAATAATTTCAAGAGCTATCTATTTTAAGTAACTTATAGCATACTAAATAGGTAGCAAAATTAGAGGAATATTATAAAAAATGCAAAATGATGGATTTAATCGATCAAATCGATAAAGATATTAATACAGTTGTTGAAATCGTCAAACAGTAACTAAGAGCCCTAAGAGATTACTACGTTTAAGATATATAAATTCATGCTGAATAAAATAATTCCTCTTTGTTTACATTCTATAATGCAGAAAGATAGACTCTCTCTAAGATAAAGGAATATGCACACAAGAATCTATTTGAAATGACTCCTGCTGAAATGGATCACAGTATGTTACTAATGGGTCCGATTCATCTAGATAAAATTATGGGCAAATTGACTGAATTTGATGATTAAACCTCAACACTTTAAAGCACCATGAAATCTCAATGGAAACTAATATATGAATAATTAGAGGAATCCTTAATTGATATTATTGCTTAAATTGGTTAGAATAATCTTGACTTTATTTAAATAACAACTAAAGAATAAGATTAACCTCAATTTGCAAACTAGTAATAAAATTTGGATTTTTAAAAACAAAACTAATAAAATGCTAAAACTTCAAATAAGCAGCTTAATTAACCACAATAAAATAATCCTATGCAAGCTTACTTATCCCAACAATTACCTCCACAAACTTTATAATATTCTTAGCATTCCTAATCCATTAAAAAAGAAGTCAGTAGGCATAGTGGTAACACTGTACAATAGTAATCAAGTAAATAACAGTCAAGCAACTAACCATCATCCAGCAATTAGCCGTTATCAAATAAATAATTATAATCAAATAGTCCAAAGACTTCATCTGAAAATTAAAGTTTTAAATAGATTTAAGGTATATGCCAATATTAAGTAATCTCACCTTTGAAAAGTGGTGTGAATACAGCTTCTTTTGGCAATTTAGGAAGTAGTAATTAGAAATCGCTCAAAAATATCATTCAAACTAATAATAATTAAGTGCCTATTCAATCATAGACTGAATAAAAAAACTATTCTAATCCTAAATCTAGCTCTCAAGTCAGATAACCAAGTCCAAATGGAGTTAATTATTACTATTAGAGTGATGGGAAGCAACTTGAGAACAGAAAGAATGTAAACCATTTGTAATCTCTAAATTCATCTTCTTAACAATAATAACAATAATAACAATAATAATAATAACAATAATAATAATAATAATAATAATAATAATAACAATAATAATAATAATAATAATAATAATAATCGTTTGAGAGAAGATTGTCAGCTCAAAAAGTCTAAAGTACTTAATTTACTTGCAATTATAATAATATGAAATGCATTCATAATGAACTTATTAAAGCCAGTCCTATATTTAGTTGCTGTAATTGGGTATAATTTGATATATCCAAAAATTTAGGCATTTCCTTGTTATGAATGTCACGACATGATTTCAACACATAAAGCACACATAACTGTACCTTCCTAAAGATACTGTTAGAACTGTCATGAAATATTCTCTGTTAATCTAATGTCTACAGTAGATGTCAAATGTTATAAATGCTAATGAACAAATTTTATTATTAATAATTATCTAAACATACTAGTTATTTTGATATGTAGGTTTTAGATTGAAAGAAATTATAACAATTAATTAACTAATTATTTTTAATCCTTTTCGATTACCATATCCCAAATAGAAGATTTTTTTATTCTTATTGTGTTACTTTCAGCAAAAGGGAATAATTATTTAGAATTTTTGGGGAATCAAACTAGAAATTCCTAATACTGTCATTGCAGATGCTAAAGATTGTCATTGTTTTAGATAAGTTGTAGGTATTGTTGCATTCTTTGCAGAATGATTCTAATGCAGCCTACTTTATTTTCATTTTCCATATCTCATAATAAATTTTTCTCCATTAAGACTGAAAGATAAAGAAAAAAAGCAATTTTTAGATGTTCCTCATAAAATTGATCCACCGCAGAAAACTAAAGGAACATTGACTCTAATAAAGTTCCAATGAATTATTTCGAATCCACATGAATAGATCATAATTATTTTATCATTTTTGTAAATATTATTTGTTACATAAGAACTATTTATCCATTTTTAATAATATCAAATAATGACCCATGGTATGAAATATTATTTTATTTGATTAGTGCTATACTTTGGTAAGACACTTGCTAATTTGCAAACTGAAAGTCTTCGTAATCAACAGCAGATGTAAAAATATTCCTAATTACGTTTAGATTAACAAGAGTATGTTTTCCGGAGAATGTGTTCTCTAGTGATCCAAAGAAATAGAATAAAGGTGGAGAGCAATAGCTTACCTTTATCAAAGTGATTTGTTGCCAAAATATCATATTCCTCCTCGATAGTATTTGATAATTCTTCAATTAGACAAATCTGAACTATGGGCTTTTGGATCGTCATAAGAAGGTTAACTGGGAATTCGAATGAGTAGCCTAATGTATCCAGTCAATATATCATAAGTGTTAGACAATAAAGTTAAATTAATGACTGCATCATAAAATTTTGTATCAGTACTTACAATAAAAAACCATTTGTACATTTGGGGCAAGTTTGAAGAACTAAATTTAGGAGATCACATAAAACCGAAGAAAATTGAATTCACTAAATCGCTGGATAGGAGATATGAATTCAATTGTTCGGATATCACATAAATTCTATAATATCAGTCTGTCTCGGCAATTAATGAAGAAATCTTACAACTGCATTCAACAAATAACACATTATATATTTTGAGTAAAGTGCATTTAGATGTTATATCATAGCAACCGCATATAATCGCATAAAAGTTTGTGGGTTTAGCTTGTAATCAAAATCATGCCTTGGCTTGGGATATTGATGGTAGAGTCTGGAGTTGGGGTTAATATGCGGATGGCAAATTAGGTTACATGAGTTTTGAACAAATATACTAGAGTACTCCTAAATTGGTTGACACCCTTTAGAATAGAGTTCTACAATGTGCATGTGGCATTAATTACAGTTTAGCTTTGGATGTGAAGGGAGATATCTACGGATGGGGAAAGGGTCCTTTCAAAATGGAATTGTTGAAAGCCACCATTCCAACTAAATTAATATAGAAGAATAAATCTTTTGTTAAAGTTGTTGCAGGAGATGAGCATTTTGGTGCTTTGGACATGATTGGTCAATTGTATGTGTGGGGTTTGAATCACAAGAACTGTTTGAGCTAATTGGATGAGGAAGTTCTCACGCCAACCTTATTTGAATTGGCTGGAGTCAAAATAATAGATGTAGCTATGGGCCCATTTTGTACAGTTATGATTATCCCAGCAGATCGGTTACAGAAATTGCCTAATCTAAACTTGGATTCATTTACTATACAATAAAAGAAATGCTTCTTGGAGGAGGCTAACTTAATTAGAGACTTTACTGAAAGAAGAAATAGGCAAGCTTTAGCATCTATGCTCAGTCCAGTTCAGAACAAAAATCCAATTCAAGATGACACAGAATTCGATAAGGCCAACGAATTAATACATCAAATGTAATTGCGTTTGGACTCTCCTCATTACAAACAGACAGCCAGTACTCCTCACCATTTTCATTCCTTGGCTAATAATTACAGTTCCCCCTATAAATCTCTGAAGTCTCCCATTTCTTTTGATAAAATTCAAAGCAAGCTTACCAAACTTGAACGTAGCAATCCTCTCTACTTACCAATTTTACCTCATTTACAATATACCAAAGCCTCAATTGATGAAGATGTCAATCTCGAAAATCTTATTAGAACGGATGATGATGAACTGAAATACAGATACATCCAATTAGTTAAGTAAAGTAGTGAAGATTAAATATTAATGTAATTGTTGGACGATCAAATAAATGAAAAGCCTTAAAATGAGCGTGTCGTTAATTAATAGACATTTAGAATGAAGTAACGGACAGAACCTAAAGAAATTAGATATAATGACAAATTCGATAGGCTTGATCCTCATTTGCTGTAAAATGTAAGGAAGGAACTCGCTGATATCAGTAAAGACAGATGGAAATAATATTAGAAAAAGAAAAAGATTAAGGAGAATAAGATCAATTTTCTCAAAACCAAATTTTAAATGACAAAGCTCGAATAAATTTCAAAAGAAGAATAAATTGAATCCAATAGATTGCAAGCAGTTGAAAAAAATATCAAGGCTTAATATACTGTTTTGAGGAAGGATGAAAAATTAAAGACCAAAATGGAAGGGATTCAGATAGAATCTCACGAAAATCAATAGGATTTTTAAATTAAAAAAAGAGTAGAAATCAAAAGGGAAATCGCAAGACAGTATGCTTTGAATGCTTTGTTGAAATATCTGAATTTTGAAAGTTTTTGCCAAATGTTTCAGGAGGCAGCTGAAAGAGGATTATAAAAAAAGAAACTATTGTTCTAAGCGAACAATAAAGCCAAAATCATTCAAAAGGCTATTCGGAAAAGAAATATTATTAAAACAATCAACAACAAGCTAGGATTTAAATCAAGAAAGATATTGTTATCCTTTATTTTTAGGATCAGGATGTCCATTAGGATTAAAAAGAAAAGACTCATTTTAAGAAAGATTAACTTACATTAATTAAAATCATAAATTTTTCTAAAAGTTCGCACCAATCTTAATGTAATGGTCAAGGCAACTAAAAATATGTAACAATTTTGTAGATATTTTAATCAAATGATGAAAATATAATTAAGTTATTTAAATTATAAATGGGATGAATATATGAGACAAGAATTTAAAGGCATTATAATAGACAAAGAAAAGGAAGAATAAAAGCTTAATTAATTGCAAAGTCTGAATGAAAAATAAATATAAATCATGAAATAATTATCCTATCCTCTAAAGTCTCAGAGAGCTCTCTTTAAGGAAATCGTGTTGTATAAAAAACCTAAATTAAAACTTGATATGTTAAGATTCAATCTATTGAAGAAGATACCCTCTAAAATAGCCAATGAAGATGAATAAAAAGAGGTAAAACTAAATTATAATAATGTTCTATTTCCTTATACAAAGTATGTGGACAATATTGTAATTCCATAAAATTTCAGAATTAGGTTTGATTATTAAGAAATTTAGCTTTTGAATGTCTTGGAGAAAATTAATTTAGAGGAAGCTAAATTAAAATTAGAAATTTTATAAAATTATTAAAAGATCTAAATAAAGAATCATATCTAATAGTGTATGAATGTAATATTCAATATATATTGTGCATTAGTATTTTTCAGCGCTCCTTGATTTTAAATAAAAGAACAAAGTGTTAATTGCAACAGAGAGGATGAAATTGATGTCAAAGCTATCATCTGATGAAATTAAGTAATTAAAATAAAAGGAGGAATTGGAGTACAGGATGATGATAGAGAAAAGAGAAGTCAACATGAGAAGAGGTAATAATTGTATATATGGATATTAGCTCGATTAAACGGTTCTATGAGTAAAGAAAATATTTTCGATAAAATTAAATAATTTTCTTCTGACAGTTATCCATTCCAAATGCTTACCTACAAGTTGGTTGTCTATCTAAGTCAGATTGAATAGCCCAAATTGTAAATTGAATTGACGCACAAAGAGTGGGTTCGCTTAATGAAAAACTATCATTCAGAATTTAAAATCAGATTATAGTCAATAATGAGTGAGGCCAGGAGTGCAGCTGCATATAAAGCAAGACAGATTAAAAGATCTCCAACAATACAGCTAAAAAGATCTCCCACAATAGGATCAAAGACATTTTAATCCAAGAAATTAATTGATTGAATTTGATAATGTTTTTAATGTATAACTCAATTTAGAGGTGCATATCCAGTGTCTTAATCTTCTTGATCCTCTTCGTTGTTTTGTCTCTTTTTGTAGAAGAAGAATCCAATCAACCCTAGGATGATGAAGGATCCAACAACTACAAGAGTTATCCACCAAGCATTAGAGCCTGAGCTATCATCATCATCTCCTCCATTGTCTGGTTTGATACTCAATGTAATTTATTTCGACACCTATTTGTAATCATTGGAAAATGTTATGGTTAGGGTTTGGTTTTCGAGCTTGGCACTCTCTCCAAAGCTTAAAGTGATATCGTTCCTGATCTCATATTGATATAAGCCCTTGCTGACTTTGCTGGCTATCAAAGAGGAATCCTAACAAATATAAATATAAATTTACTTGTAAATAAAGGAGGAAATCGACTGGTTCCAGTTTTTGAACTCCTTGTGTAGTAAATGAAAATGAACCATTAATTACTGAGATAGCAGTTTCAGTGATGTGATAAACACCAACGACAACTTTCGAATTATAGTAAAAGGCTACAACAATTGATTATTTATTGGCAGCAACTGTGTTTAATGCCTTCCATGTTCCGTATCTATTCAAAGCCACTTTAACTTCTGTCTTTGTCAACTTGTTTGATTAATTGTCTAAAATGGCAAATTGGAGATTGAAAACATAGGATGATGAATTATCAGTAACAACTACTAATGTGATGCTCTTGATTTTCTCTTTGATGGACTCTTCAACAATTTTGGTGGCATAGTAATGTGTATCATCATTAGCATAATGTTTGTTATCATTCAGCCACTTTTAAAGTAACTAATACTCCATGAATAAATATTTGGGTTCATATGTGTTCTTTGGGAAACTGAAATCGATAAAGGCTAAACCATTTACACTATCAGAAATAATGAATTAAACTGAAAGTGAGTTATCATCAGAATGAGTTAATGAATGAACAAATGAAGATGGTCTAAATTATTTGGGTGCTTATGCTCCCAACTTCTATTTAACGAAATCCTAATCGATAGTTAATAATATAGTAGATGACCAGATTCCATCAGTTTATACTAATTTTCTAATGGTAATGTATCCATCATAATTTTCAGGGTTTAATGAATCAGTGTGAAGAACAACAATAACATCTTAAGCCAAAGCAGCAATTTAAGTTGCAAATGGAGCTGAGATGTAAGCATTCTCTCTTTAACATTTCTATTTATCATCACATGTAGCCACTTAAATTTAATCCTCAACACCATTATTACAAACGGAATAAATTGACTTTTCAAAAGATGTTAATCTGAAACAATCGTATTCTTGACCTAATACATCAAGAAGGGGTGTGCTTTCTTCTAATTTGTTGTCTTTCATTAAGAGTACGTTGTTCATTGCTTAAAAGATTACATTCTTTTAGAAAGCTTAAGCGTCTTTGAATTAATAATTCTTTAATGCAGAGTTCTTTGTTTCGTAGAGATATGATTGTACAACAATATCATTAGCTTTTTCTTATGTTAATGTACAATAAGCCTACTATCCGTTAATCCATCCATTTGTCAACTTGAAGGCAGTTGAATTTTGCTTGGCTTCAATTTCAATTTACTAAGTTGCCTTTGTATCATCAACAATTAAATTAGTGAATGTATTGATCACCTTGACCTTTTAGGTGAATGGAAGGATATTATTATTTTATGAATCAGCATTCTTAACATTGATTGAAACTTCATAATCAGTAAGATATTTTTGTTTTTATTTATTGGGTGTAAGAATCAATTCAGGATCAAGTACAACTAATTCTAATTATTAAACAGCCTCGCCATTGGCTAATGCAACTATGTAAGCTTATCCTATTGGATCTGACCCACTTACAGATAATGTAAATGCATCATCTACCTTACCATTAATTTTAACAGCCAAATAAAATGTCTCATGTTGTAATTGATCAGGTTTGTAAATATTCAAGTACACATTATCATTCTTTGTAGTTCTAACAACCAAAATACCTGTTTTCAAGTGTGAAGAGACACTCAAAGGTTGTGTGATTTGATATCCAAATAGTTCTACAGTCTTTTGTTTGAAAACATTGTTAACTTATTCATAATTGTATTCACTTAACTCTTTGTTATTGACAAAGAAGAATGAATTAGTAGCTTAGGCTATATATATTTTGTTGTCCTTGGTATAGTCAATCTTGGATCCATAAATGAATTCTTGGTGTTAGTAGTTGATGATCGCGACATTATTCTCATTTTGAACTAGAATGACATTTTGTCTTAAAATTCTATTTCCGTATAATTTAATTGGTTTCCACTCTCCTTAGAATCCAATCAAGGTTTAGCCTGTAATTGAGTTGATAATTGCGAAAATTTCTGTAGAATATGATGACAAAACTCCATTTTCCTAAATTACAAATAGATATTCTCCTTGATTTTAGAATGCTACTGCTTTTAATTCATCCTTCTCCTCTTCTTAATTCAATTTGATTGATCCATATTAAACAGTCTTATTATTCTTAATCTCAAAGAATTTAATAATAAATGGTGTATCTAATGTAATGAAACGAACTACATTATCAGAATCTTACCAGATGCTGAAGATTTAATCTGATAATTGCACTTACACTTACAAATTACCATACTCCTTGCACTCATATTTAACGTGCTCAATCAACTCACAAGAATAAATAATAAGCTTCTTGTCTTCTTATTAGAAAACTTAGAAAAGAGTATCCTAATTATTGGCAACCAAGGATGTCTAATACAACGTTTTCTTTGGCCAGTTAGTAACTTGGATAGATCTCTAATGAGCAATCTAAGCAATAACATCGAAATCAGGGTCGGCAGCAACACTTAAAAATTGATTCGAATGTGAGCCAAATGGTGATTTTGGTTGAACAATTTCATATACCAAATTTGGACCTGATACCAAACTTCCTAACTTAATTTGTTCATCATTCTCATCTAAAACATTTGGGAATGGTGTTTCAGTCTCAACCTTCTTGTAGATCGTCTCACTATTGCTTGCCAATACTTGATAGTAAATTCTAGAATAACACAATTAATTATGTTAAGATTTGGCTTGAATTGTCACTGCTTTGAAATTAGTACTTGCTTATGCACTTCCATTGAATTTCAAGGATCCTAAACTAAAGGTCCAAGAAGATGAGGATGTTAATGAAACAGTCACGATTTCTTAGCCATTAGGATTAATGATGCCTGCTCCATTTGTCAGATTTACAACATCAATAAGACCAGTATTATTCTCATCAGAATGGTAGATGTAAAGATTTCCTTGGTTTTGTAAAAACACATATTTGCCACTCAATCTAATTTGTTAAGGATATGTCACACTAGCAAATGGAAGATCCTATATTTTTGTTATCTTTCCATCTTTATTGATAATTCCATAGTAATTGTACCCTTTGATTACAAACACTTCCTATTTATTACTAAGCACAGCTCTATCGAATGCAAAGGCTTAGCCAAACTTTTGTTCAATCAATTTAGAGAATTTCCAAAATTTATCATAATATACAATAAAAATTCCCATCTTAGCATCTAATAAGTAAATGTATCCATTTAGTCCAATCTTGAAATCGACAATATTCAATTCATCTATTTACTTGAAAGAAATTTCAGCCAATTAAGCTTTATCTAATGTTGCTAGACTTGCAAATCCACCCTCTTATAATTAAAGCAATTCAACAAAAGATTTATGAGCCAATTTACCATCATTTGTGATTGACAATGAAACTCTTACAACATATTACACATCCTTGATTTGATATGTTCCTAATAATCTGTTCATTAAAGTATCTTCAATCATAAGTTAAGAAAATTCTTAATCTCCTTTTATGTATATTAAATTTTTATTATCATTAAGTTGACAATCAACAGCAAATTCATTATGAGATAATTATACAAAATCCATGCATTAGCTATTATCTGGTATTTTCTTAATATTATGGATTTGATTAAATGATGGAGCGGCATTTATTGCAGGACTATTTTAGAAAAATAAAATACGTATCTGAATAGAAGATTGAATATTTTGTTCCATCCTTATTTAAGAATCCAAACTAATTGGACCAGGCTCCATTCTTAGTCAAAAATGCCTTTGCAGATACAATTTATGTTGCAACTATTTATATAATAACATATCATTACCTTATTTATAATCAATTGATTATCCGACTTAAGTCAATGGTTAAACTACTGAAAAGTCAGCTTAGTCTACACTATATTTCAGAGAAACACCATCAAAGAAATTTTGAGTCAATGCCCATTGCATAACTTCGCCTTGGGATGGGTAAATCTTGAGATCTGTCAACTTGGTTTTGCATTCATCCTTATCTACAGGGACAATGGATAAATCGATGGTTCTGACTACTCTTCTAAAATCATTCTAAAATGTCAAGGTCAACTTTTGATTATGTAATTTTTTAGGTTCTCCGAATTTCAATACTTACTGATATCTAACTTAGTTTTGATAGACTCCAGTCTATGCAGTGCTTGTCAAGAACAGACTATCTGTGTTGTAAATTAAGAAGTCTTGAGGAGTGATTTAATTCTTGAAGTGAGCAAATGTGTGAGATCCCTGTATAGTTTAAATTGCACCATTCTATAGATCAGTTGGAATCTTATAAACTCCAATAATCACCTCTAAGTTATTAACATAGGGAATTGCTATTGAGGATGATGAAGCTGAAACGTAGTTCAATGCCTTGAAATTACCATATCTATTCAAGGCAAAAACAGTTCTTATTGTGCTTAGTTTGCAAGAAACATTGCCTTGAATTGCAAACACTAATTCAAAAACATATGAGGATGAGATATCAGTTACAAGAGCTAATTTTAATGTTTTCTTAGTAGGAAATTCAATTTATGATGTAACTATTTAGGCTTAATAATAATGAGTGTCATCAGTTGCATACTGATCAACATTTAGCCAATCTTTCAACAGTTTATATTCTGAAAATTAATACTACAATTCTGAAGTTGTCTTTGAAAGAGTTAAATCAACAAACAATAAACCATTAACACTATCAGTGATAATCAATTATAAATAGTAGAGAGATACATTGTTTCCTGTTGGTGAATGAACAAATGAAGATGGTCTAAATTATTTGGGTGCTTATGCTCCCAACTTCTATTTAATGAAATCATAATCGATAGTTAATAATATAGTAGATGACCAGATTCCATCAGTTTATACTAATTTTCTAATTGTAATGTATCCATCATAATTTTCAGGGTTCAATGAATCAGTGTGAAGAACAACAATAACATCTTAAGCCAAAGCAGCAATTTAAGTTGCAAATGGAGCTGAAATGTAAGCATTCTCTCTTTAACATTTCTATTTATCATCACATGTAGCCACTTAAATTTAATCCTCAACACCATTATTACAGAGGGAATAAAGTCTTGTGATATCTGCTGCTAATCTGAAGCATTTATAGTGCTCTGACAATTTTGTTAATACAGGCTGAGCATTTTTCAAGTCCTCTCCTTTATATGCCAAAACAGTATTTGAAGCTTGCAAGAAGGTGACAGCCAAAGGTTTAGCCACGTCATAAATTGAGTAATCCATCAAGACTGCTTAATCTTAGCTTACAAAAGGTAACAGTGCTATATCATCAGTGATTGACTACAAAGATAATTCTGTACTTATTATTTAACCTCCAATCCAATCAGATCTGATGGCTACTTCAGTTTATCCCTCATTTTCATTGATTTCAATTTATTTTAAATATTCTTCATCATTAATAATCAAATTAGTGAATGTGTTAGCTACTTTTATATCTTACTCATAATGAACTTTTTAGGTTTAGTCATCCCCATTCATAATATCCATTATAACGCGGAAGTTTGAAACAAATTTCTAAAGTTTTTTGATTGGGATAACAATTAATTCAGGGTTCAACAAAATAAAGTTTAATTATTGTATCTTTTCTCCATTTGCAAGTGTTATAATGTACAATGAACCTCCTAAAGACAACTAAAATTGATCACCTTATTTAACACCATTTAATTAAAATGCTAAATAGAACGTATCATGTTGTGTAAGTGATGGTCTAAATATATTTAGATAGATATCTTAGGCTTTTGATGTTTTAATGACTAGATTACCAGTTGATAATTAAGATGTAACAGTTAATGGAGTAGCAATAGTGTATCCAAATAATTCAACTGTCTTTGATTTGAAAATATTCAATAAATTTGAATAATTGTATTCCAATATTTCCTTATCGTTTGCAAAAAAGAATGAATCCTTTGCAGCTGATATGTATATCTCAGTATTTTAAGTTTAATCCATTTGTTTAATGAAAATGAACTCTGTGTTAATGTAATTAATTAGAGCAATATTGTTTTCATTTTAAACAAATACAATATTTGATTTTAACATTCTGTTACCATACAATTTCAATGGCTTCCATTATCCACCATATCCAATCAAATCAGTTCCAGTTATCTTATTAACATAACTGAATTTTTCGCTTTAATAACTATATAAGGATCCATTCTTTTATAAAATAAATAAGTATTCTCCTTAATTTAAGATACTTACTACTTATTAACCTTCCTATTCTTAGAATTATATTGTTTTGTCTTAAATGACAACGCCGTCTGGTGCTAAATAACTTGTTACTTTGTATGAGGAGGAAATGGTAATAAATCTCACAATGTTATCGCTATCTTACCATATGCTGAATAGTTGATCAGATATTTTTTCTTAGAGCTAAACATTTCCATAATCTTAGCAAACATACTTAATGTGATCAGTCAAAACACAGGTTGAAATTGATAACTTCTTATCTTGAGTCTGGAAAATTTAGAATAAGGTTTCTCGGTCATTTCCAACCAATTCAGTACTATATAAAGGAGTTTTGGGCCAATTTGTAACTTAGATTTCTCTGTTTTAGACAACTTGAGCACTGAAATCAAGTGGCATTTTTGGTAATATCAAGTTGTAATCAAGATTTGGACCTGAAATAAGATTGCCCAATTAGAACTATTCAAAGATATCATCGAACACTTATGGGAATGGCTAATCAGATTTATTTTTCTTGATTGGGGCTTTGCTGCTACTTTCAATTACTTGATATTAGATCTTGGTGGAACATGTCAATTTATGTTATGAGGTGGCTATAATGGTTAAGTCTTTGAATCCTTAAGATGCTTGATTAACTCCATTGAATTTGAGTGACCCTAAGCTTATGTTCCATCTGGCTGATTGTTGAAGTGAAAGTGTTACGATTTCTTGAATAAATGGATTAACAATAGCAGTAAGATTCGGTGAATCAATTAAATCAATCAAGCCAGTGTTAGAGTCATCAGAGTGATACACATATAAGGATGATTAATGCTTGACAAAAACGAAATTGCCACTTGCTGAAATGGATTAGGGGTAGGTGATGGTATTGAATTGCAAATCTTATACCTTTTTAGTTTGTCCATTAGAATCAATTACTATGTAGTAATTATATCCTTAAACTACAAATGCTTCCTCCTTATTTTTCAGTATGGTTCTATCGAATGCAAAGGTTTGTCCAAATCTAAATGTGATCAATTTTTGGAACTTCCAATCTGTATCATAGTTAACAACAAAGATTCCCATCTTGGCATCTAATAAATAAATTGATCCATTTAATCCAATCTTGAAATCTACGATGTTTAATGCATCTATTTATTTTCCATAAATTGTAGACAATTTAGATTTGTCTAAGGTTTGCTTGGCTTGCAATTAACCACTGGCATATTAAAATAATTCAACAAATGAATCATTGGCTAATTATCCATCATTTGTGATGGACAATGTAACTCTTACGACATATTGCAATTCATTAATCTTGTATGTACCCAAAGCTCTATTTAATTAAGTATTTGCAATTGAGGTTGTTTAGGTTTCATCAGCATCCTTAATCAATAAAAGGAATTTATTATTTTGAATTTAGCAATCAATGACAAAACTAGTAACTGACAATTGTACGAAGTCTAAGCAATTAAGGTTTGCATCAGTCTTCTTAACATTAAGGACTTGGTTAAATGATGGAGCGGCATTTATTGCAGAACTATTTTAGAAAAATAAATTACGTATCTGAATAGAAGATTGAATATTTTGTTCCATCCTTATTTAAGAATCCAAACTAATTGGACCAGGCTCCATTCTTAGTCAAAAATGCCTTTGCAGATACAATTTATGTTGCAACTATTTATATAATAACATATCATTACCTTATTTATAATCTATTGATTCTCCAATCTATGTAGTTGGTTGAATGATAGTGAAATCGTCAGTGTCTTCTTAATGATATTTCAAAGAAGCACCATCGAAAATATTTTATGACAAATTCCATGTTAAAACTTCGCCAGTAGATGGGTAAATTTGAAGATTTGTGACTTTTGCAGTACATTCATGATTATCAACTTCTTGAACTATCAATTTGAATGTTAAAGTGTTTTCATAAAAGTTATTCTTCACAAAAAGTGTGATATCTTGGCTCTTTAAATCTCTGTCTTGGTTTTTCAATAGCAATGTTGGTGATTTGTTGATTCCATAACTTTAAAGCGGTCCTTACAATTGGGACACAAAAAGTATTGAGCTCTTTTTGGAGAAGAACACAGCTAGATTTAATGGGTTTAACCACTGACCTTCTGCATAGTATACTTTATAGGTGCCAACACTGATTGTGGGAACAACTGTGGCGGAAAGACCATTAACGTTAACATCTATATTGTAGACAGCTACCACAATTTAGTCTTTTTAATAATAGGGAATGGCTAGTTGTAAGTTTAGATTTTGGATGGCTAGCTTATTCATTGGCGTCCAGTCTCCATATTTGACTATGACAGCAGATAAGCCTTTGATGCTGAGTAGAGTATTGGAGGTAGGTTGAGCGGAGAAGACGAACTTGAATCCATATTATGAGGCATCTGATGTCAAAATAAGTGGGTAGACTCTCAATTAGTCTGAGCTCCATTCATAGATTGGGTCCCAAATGAATTGGAATGATAAGAATTTCGTTGTTGGGAGTGTGTATTGGCCGACTTGCTTATTTAAATACTCGTGGAGGTTGAGTGATTCGATTGACAAAAATTTATATTCAGGCAAGTCTGAAAATGAGAAGTCCATAAAAATGAAACCAGTATTTGCATCACTTATAAACAATTTATAAGTGTATTTACCACTTGAGATGTATTTTTGTTTGACCACTTAGAAATCAGCTGGTTTGAAATCCTCCAATGGAGTTGTCAATACGGAATTAAGATAATTCAAATCGATGATTTCAATGACTTCAAGTTTCCAGTCGTCTAATCCCATAACAATTCTATATAGAACGATTTTGCCATCCCAAACAAGTTCAGGATGATCGGCATCAGTGTGCAAAACAACCAAGAGTTCATTGGATACCACTTGGATTTTTGAAGCTGTTCCGAGTTTGAACTTCTCACCCAATGGAGAGCAGCCAGTGATAGAAAAGCACCCAGTGGCATAAACAGTGAATTCATTTCCATCATGACACAATGAGTAAACAACCATTTTGTCTTCAGAAACAGTGGCTTAATAACATTTATACTCGAAATTGGGGAGATCGAAATCATAGACTGAGGCCAATGAGTTATCAGGATTAACAAATATCAATCCAGTTGTGGCTTACATGATATTAAACTTATCATTGTATTTGACATGATCTCTAATCTCGTATCCATTAAAGATCTTTGGGTTGAGTAGATCGACAGTGCTTTGAACTTCAACATTGGTTTCGCATTGATCACAATCGATTTCGAAATCTCCAATTTAACCAGAGTACCAACCTTGACCCAAATCGAAGCTTGCCTACTCATCAGTTGAAAAGATCTATATTCCTGATTTTGAATAGGGGAAGGCATTTTCATCCAAATTGATTTAGGTTAAAGTGCTTATGGTGGTAACTTCTTAATTGATATCGACAGTGTTAAACTTTTCAGGTTTGCCTTGGAAATTGTAATTTCTGATCTAGAAACTCAATGAATATTTATCTTAATAAATAGTTGAATCGATGAAGGATTCAACAGTCATGGTGGTTTGATCATAAACTGCAAAGATTGATTGTTCTCCTTCGACATTCAAGTATAAGTAGTTTTAGTTGAGTCCGTTAGCAGCAATCAATATGGATTTTGTCTCAGGAATTACAACGTCAGCAATATCCCAAGCCTAGACCAAGGCCTCATGTTGAGGAGTGTCGGGTTTGAATACCAAGATAAAGGATTTGCTGCAGTATAGGCAGACTCCTCGGACAAACATATTACCAGTTTCCTCACTGAAATCAACGTTCAATGGAGTAGATATGTCATACCAATACAAGTACAATTTCTTCTACAAATAGACGTTATTGATGTTTGCAAAGTTGTATTCATAGATTTAAGCATCTTTGACCTCTTCAGCTGATTTTCCTTGGACAACAAAGAATGTGGTTTATCCAATAGCAATGGAATAGTCTAGATTTGGAGTGATTGGAATTGTTTTAATGAATGAAAACATTCCATAATCTGTATCTAACATCAAGATATGATTTTTGTGTAAAATGAACAGAATATTTGGATGTAACTTTTTATTTGTGAAGAGTGCTTTAGGTTCCCAATCTTCATTGTAACCATATTGTGAGAATGAATTCTTGTTTAAAGTTGTGAGTACGAATAGTTCTGGTCTGTAAATTAAGAATGTCAGGATTTCATTATTGGCTTTATGAACCAAAAGGTAATCTCCACAATTTAAAATACTTTGAATCTTGTTTGCTGTATCTGTAGAATCTAAGGATATAGTTTTCACTGGAGTTATTGCACCATTATGGATGGCTCGAATCACAACATTGTATTACTCACTGATGTACATGAAATACATTATGCCATGTCTGTTCCAAATGGAGAAGTTCTGTTTAGAAACTTTGTTTGTGATACCTATATCAGCTATTAATTATTCACAAAATGCATCCTCAACATAGATTGAATTGTGAACACAACTTAAGATTTGAATCTTCAAATCCTGAGTCTACAATACTTAATAGAATTGAGTATCGTCTTCTGTTGATACAACCTCTGCGTAAATTACATTTTTGGGTAACTCTTGATTTAAGCTTAATTCAACTCTTGATCTAATGGTGGCTTTGATATGTGTGGCTTCCAATTAAGTTGGTTAAACTAATCTATATTAGAGATTTGGTCCAGATGCTAATTTATTCAACACTTATTCAGTTTCACCATCAGCTATCACGTTTGAGAATGGCACGGGTTTATCAAATAATTGGTAAATCCAATTTTCATTATCTTCGATAATTTGATATGAAAGATAGACCTAGCATTCTTATTTATTTGGAGCTTTGGCCTTGACAGCAACTACCTTCTTGTCTTAGATCTTATCGCTTCCGTTGTACGCTAAATAACCATTGGAGATGGTGTATCTGTTTGAACTTTGAGTGCTAATTTGGATCAAATCTGGTTCTTGTGGGTTCACCAATAAAACATCAGTGGAAGGGATGTCTAACTTATAGTTTAGGTAGATTTTGTCAGTGTCCACATCAAGTTTATAGAAATAAACCTGCTTGTCACTTCTCACTATGATGTTGTCCTATGATATTTTAATAGTGGCTGGGTAGTCCAATTGCATAAATGGAAGGTCGTGAACAAAAGATTTTTCTGCATCCAAAATTGCAAAGAAGTTGTATCCAAGAATTGCAACCACGCCAAGTTCTGAACCATCTTTTTTGTGTTCGTAATCTATATCGAAAGCAAAGGATCTGCCTAATTGAAAGTCAGCTTGTGCAAATAATTCCCACTTTCCAGTTGGTTAGAATCTGACCACAAAGAGACCATATTGGGCATCCAATAGGAAAATGTATCCATTGTACGTCATTTCAAAATCCACAATTGAAAGTTCAACATCAGTTCTACCTAATAGAAATGCCATGGTCACATTGTCTAGAATATATGGGCGAGGCAAGGGTTAATAATTGTCACTCAATGTGTAAACTTATACGATTGAGTTTCCAGAGAGTTGTTCATTTGGGTCCAACGAATAGGTTGGTGTAACTCTGACGATGTAGGTAGTTTCCTTTCCTAAGGCACTGGTTGAGTAGTACAGGCCTATACGTCTTTAATTATATATTTTGACAGAGGCTTCATCTTCAAATGATGTCACTTGTTTTGATTGTTTTGAGTAAATATAGAACACATCAATTTATTTTTTTATTAACTTCTCTGTCACTTCCTTTTGACAATCCACGATAAATTTGTCGTTGTCAATGTATTCTACGTCATAGCACTCTAGATTATCAGCCACATTAGCAATAACTACTTTAGTCCCGAAACCTGGAGTTGGAATTTTGTCCAAAGCAGTTCTAAATTCTATATTGACAAATACCCCTCCGAATATTAGATGGACACTTCCAGTGCGTTTTGGTCCAAGAATACGAATGAATTCAACCAAGATTGCATTTTTTTTGTGTGATATGGCTTTGCTGCCCTGATGTTAGATGCAGCTAGATAATTAACATGTCAATTATACGTTTGTAATGAGTTGAGCTGCCTCCCGTATTTTATACAGGATTAATTAATTTAAAATATGTGTCTTGCAACTCATATGTGAGATCCTCACCCTCAAATAAATTGTCACGTAGATTTATTCGCAATTTTTCACCTTTCGTGGGAAATATTTGCAATTGTTCCACTTTTGAGGCTAAAAATAATTATATGTAATGTTACAGCACCCAGTTGACTTGGCATTCACAATCGAAAGACAAATTAAGAATACTATCAAAGATGATGTAATCTTTTAATTCATTAATTAAATTAATTTATTACTTGGATATAGATTAGGCATTTTAAATTACAATATTTTATTGTTTTTTTATATTAATATTTCATACTAATTGATCTTATTCCTCTTTATTTGGGTCTTATGACTTATAGTAACCATAACCCATTAACACCAGAACTACCAAACTACCAAGCACAATCAACACTATCCAAACTGCCCCCAGTCCTTTGCTAGAGTCGTTGTCGTCATCATTTGGTATGATTTATAGATCAATCTTTTACACAGCCTCTGAGAAATCATTTTTAAAGGTCAAAGTCAAATTTTAACTCTACACTTTTTAAGGCTCAGTTATCACAATTGAACTATTTGTATTCAACATGAATTTAGTTAATCCCTTTTCATTCGGATTGCTATTATACAATTAGTTTGTCTTTAAATAGATATAAAATAAATACTTATATGAACATTAAGAAGTTTAACGGACTCAAATCTTGTTATTTGGACACCGTAAACTGATTACCTCCAGTTGTCAAAAAGTAAGGACTCTCCTTAAGGATCTGATAAATGCCCACAGTGACTTTATCTTCTTTATAATAAGCAACTCCAATTGATGAAGAGTCAACTGCCAAATAATTGAGTACTTTCCAATCCCCGTACTTAACAAATGTACTCTTTATATCTGATTGCTGATGTTCAAATTTCTTTTCCTCCTTATTGTATTTAAATTTCGCCACAACCCAGAATGTTCCAGAATCTGAAGTCAAAATCACTAAATCAACTGTTAACACATCCTTCTCAAACGAGGAAGACTTCACCTAAGTGGATAAGAAGAGAGTCTGATCTACGATTTATTTACTCAACAATTTTTTTAGTGAAATTGACCCCAATCCAGTAGGCTGAATATCTTTGTTCTCAAATAAGAAACTACTGAACCTCAGTTCATCCAAGCAGTCAGTTACCATTGACAAATAAACGTAGGTTTCCTTACTTATTTCAACTCCAACTCCTGTCATACCAGATGGCCTGAAAGTGGTTGCATCTCTATTGAAATTGGTTTTGATGAACTCCAAATTCATTGACATCACCTCTTATTAGACATAGAAAGCATCATTAAAAATTACCCTATAAATTTTGTACTCTCCATCCTAATCTTGTGGGCTCAAGGGGTTATAAAACAACACGATAAGGTAATCCTCATAAGGGGCTATGACTTAATATCCATTGGGAATTGCAATGTAGGAATTAATCAACTGACATTTCTTGTTTACGCATTTAGTCAACACCAATTAATTCTCGACTCCATTATTACATATGGAATAAAACATATCTTTGTAATTGTCTGCTCTAAAGCAATTGTATTAATCAGAAAGCGTATATTCTGCTGGTATAAATGAGAAATCTTCACCCAAATTGGTACCAATCAATAAGGTATTCTTGGCCTGTAAATAAAAAGTATCTTTGTCCTTGGAATAACCATAATTTATTTTATAATCGACCATCTTCTTTCGTGGAAGTTGCTAGACCAAAGCCTTCAAGTAAACGTTGCCCTCTGTCACATAGAAGGTCTTAAGGGTTGTTAAAATGTTTTATCCATTAACAGCCTCAACTGGAAATTCGACAGTTGTCGTTGAATTCGTTGAAACGCTATAATTTGAATTCTTGACACTCAAGGTTGAGAATGTATTTACAAGCTTTACATTCTATTTGAAAGTAACTTAATTATTCTAGTCATCCTGACTCTTCACAATTACAGACACCTTTGCATTGTAATAGTAAGTTTTCTCATCAAATTTTGGATCAAACACTAAGAGAGGAGATTTCTCAATCTTGTGAATTACTTGAAGGGTTGAATGATTTATACTAAGCAGTATGGCGTCATCTTCTGCCACTGTTATTGTAAATTGAGGATCCTCTTTAAGAGTAAATACTGGTATTGCTAAGTAGAAAGTGTCATGTTAAGTAGTAGATGGTCTAAATATATTTAGATAGATATCTTAGGCTTTTGATGTTTTAATGACGAGATTACCAGTTGATAATTAAGATTTAACAGTTAATGGAGTAGCAACAGTGTATCCAAATAATTCAACTGTCTTTGATTTGAAAATATTCAATAAATTTTGATAATTGTATTCCAAAATTTCTTTATTGTTAACTAAAAAGAATGAATCCTTAGCAGCTGATATGTATATCTCATTATCTTAAGTGTAATCCATTTGTTTAATGAAAATGAACTCTGTATTAAAGTAATTAATTAGAGCAATATTGTTTTCATTTTAAACAAATACAATATTTGATTTTAACACTCTATTACCATACAATTTCAATGGCTTCCATTGTCCACCATATCCAATCAAATCATTTCCAGTTATCTTATTAACAAAGCTGAATTTTGATATTTAATAACTATGCAAGACTCCATTCTTTTATAAAATAAATAAGTATTCTCCTTAGTTTAAGATACTTACTATTTATTATCCTTCCTATTCTTCGAATGATATTGTTTTAAGTAGTTCTACCATAAAATAATTAAAACTATATAGATTGATTTTATATTCATTGATAAGAGTTGCAAATCTTACAATTACATCTCCGACCTCCCAAATAGCGAAAGTCTAATCATTCAGTTCAACTTTAATATCTTTGATAGTTCCAACTTAAGTAAATTTGTAAATATTATTCTCAAATTTGGGGTCAGACTAATACAGAGCTAAGCTCTTGTCTTTCAATTAGAATATTTTGAAGATAGTTGATAATTTAGGTTGGAAAATGGAGGTCTAGAATAGTATATTTGAAGGTTGGCCTTAAGCTTCAAATTTTGTATTCTGTACAATTCGAACTTGAGCTTATGCTTCTTGTTCTGTCATAAGACAATCATTTTCAGTTGTCTCATATACAGCTTCATATTTTTGATTTGGTCCTGAGGTTAACTCTCCAAGATCGATAACTGTGTTTTCATCTGCAGCAGGTGGGAATGGTGCCTCAGATTCAGTTATCTTGTAGATCTTGGAATCGTCGCTCTTTATGATGGAGTATTTAATATTTGATTGGCATTGTTAATTATTTAATGACTTCGCAGTTATTTTGACTTGTCCATCCTTGATCTGCCCAGATTTGAATTCATACTTCAAAGCACCTTAACTGAAGAAGTATAAATTGGATTCCTTCTAACCTATAGCTATGAACTCATCTTTGATCTTGTCTACAGAATATCCTCCTGCGATTGCTTGTTTATCTAACAAAGTAATTGATTCATCGTTGAATCCATAAACATAGACGACATCATCATGTTGAATAAAGATGTTTCTTTAACTTATTGATATCTATTATGGATAGGTTGTAGTGAAATAGCCTAAATCAATGACTTTAACTATGACTTTGTTTTCCAAAACGAAAAAGTAATTGTAACTCAATACTACTATATGTTAAACAGGTTATCCTTTCTCGTTCACATAATCATCTATGTCAAAGGCTACATATTGTTATAAGGTGAAATTAATTTGATCCGAAAGTTTCCACTCCTTATCTTTGTGATTGAATTACAATTTGATTATGCCTAATTTCTGGTCTAATAAATAGAGAGTGCCATCATTATACACCTTGTAGTCTACCAACATGAAATCAGTCTTGTCTTTTTTGAGCAACTGAGCCAACTTAGCATTATCGATTGTAGATTGTAAGGTTATTTCTTGGCCATCAAAATGAAAGAGTTCCACCAATGAAACCTTGCCAACAGAGCCGTCTTCTGTAATCGAAAAGGCTGGAGTCACTCTCAAATAATAGGAGGCATCATCAGAAGGCAATCTATTGAACCATCTCACTTTATTGGTTGTAAATGATGACTTGGTTTTGGAAATGGACTTTAAAGTCTTCCCCTTGATGGTGTAGATGATTTTCTGTTGATCAAGTTGGCAATCGATGATGAAATTATCTGCTGCTTCTGAATTGAGATAGTCGAAATCAAAGCATTTTATTGTAGGTGCTTCAGGATCTACATAAACTATTTCAGAGAAATTAGGAGCTTCATTCTACTTGGCAGCAACTTTGGTGTAATACAAACCATTTGTAGCAGTGCTGTAATCCAAGAATGCAAAGTGGCCATTCCATTCTCTGAGCAACGATTAGGCCTTGATCGAATATACCTATCCAATTACTAATTATATATAGACTATAACATTTACCTTGTGTGCAGTGTTATGATGAACTAATTTATGTGATGGGTTGGACGATTGTGAAGTCTTTATTATCTTCGATGGTATATTTCAAACCAACTCCCTCAAATATTCCATTTGATAATTGCCAGGACATGACTTCGGTGGTGGAAGGGTAAATCTAAATATTGGTTATTTTGGTTCTGCACTCATTCAAATCTATTGGTCTGACTTCTAATTTGAATTATGTCTTTTCTATGTTGAAATCATTTTGCAAGATTACTGTAACTGTTTGATTATTCAAATCTCCATTCTGATTATTGAAGGTAATGATTGGAGAATCTAATAAAGCATAACTTTTCAGTGGACCTGACAATTCACTTGCATACAGTGACTTCTCATTTGAGAGATCGAAGAACAATGCCATATTCAAGGGCGATATGTATTATCCCTACACATATTACAAGTAAGTTCCACTAATAATCGTTGTGGGAATGGAAGCAGACTTTTTATAGAGGCCTACAAGCAGAGCATTATCATAGAAATAGGGGATAGCAATGTAGTTTCCATTTGTAGCGATTTTATTAATAGAAGGCCAATTAGAGTATCTGTTCAATACAAAATCTAATTTTTTTGAATCTATTTTGGTGGATGCTGAATTGACTTGCTTTTTGAAGGTAAGGGAAATTCCATAATGAGCAGCATTGCTTGTTTAGATGAATAATTAAAGTTTAAGTTTTTATTGATCTTTATCATAAGTTGGATGTTCGGTTAATCTTACTTGTAAGAAGTGAGTATTTGAAAATGCATATTGATTGACTTCATAATTTAAATAGTTGTATAAATCCAATGATTCAGCTGACTAGAATTGATATCTAATATTAGTCAATGTAAAATCATAGAATATAATTCCATTCTTTGAATTGCTGATGATTATCTTGTATAGTGTTTGATCTTAATTTGAGTATTATTTAATGACTGTGAAATCGCTGGGTCTAAAGTATTCTAAGGGTGATTCCAATTAAGAATTCAAAGTTTAAGTTGCAATCACATCCAAGACTTCCAAATTCCAAGTTTTTAATCCCTTCTTCAATTGATAAACAACAATGCGACCATCAACTTCACTGTATTAGAAATTATCAGTGTGTAAAACAACCATGATGTCATTGTCTATTAATTGTATTTTTGAAGCCTGTTCGATCTTATACTTCTCGCCTAAAGGAGAACATCCAGTGACTGACAGACACCCAGTGACATAAATGGAATACTGGCCTTTATCTTCACAAAGGGTATAAATGAGGAGTTTATCTGCTGATACCTAAGCCTGGTAACATCGATAAGTTGAGGATGGTAAATCGAAATGATAAGTGGCCATCAAGGTGTTATCAGGATGTGTAAATATCAATCCTTTGGTGGCTACGAAGATATTAACATTATCATCATATTTGATCAAATCTCTAATCTCGAATCCATTGAAGAATTTTGGATTATTGATTTCCATAATGTTTTGAACAACAACATGATTTTCACATTGTTCGCATTCCAAATCAATGCCAACTAATTGACCAGAGAACCATTGGGTACCCAATTAAACATCCTTTTATTAGATATTAGAATTTAATATCACTCCGGATTTGAAGAGATCGAACTTAGTATTATCAATTTGGATCGTAGATTAAGTGTTGATCAGTTACACTTATTCTTGTATTTTGACTGTGTTGAAGGTTTCATCTGGATAGTCATAATTGGACACAATGAGATTCAAATTCATATTTGAATTATACATAGAGCCATCCAAATTAACAGTAAGAGTCATGACTGAATTCTTCATCTCTGAAATCAAGGTGGTCTATCCATCCACATAAGTATACAAGAACATTTATTAGTCTCCATCGACAGCCATAACAATCTTATCGTCATCTGCTATGTTTTCATTTGAGATGCTCCAAGCATCATAAAGACTGTCATGTTACAGAGTATCAGGAGTGAACACCAAGATATGTACTTTTTTAGAGTATTTACAATAAGCTCGTACGAATAGTCTTCCATTCTCTTCACTCTAATCGACAGCCAAAGGCGAGGTGATCTAATACCAATACAATTGGATGGTCTTGATCTTGAAGATATTGTTTAATCGTGAGAAATCATATTCCTCAATTAAGCCATCTCTTGCTCCTTGGGTTGATTATCCATAGACAATGAAGAAGGTGTCTTCGGCAATAGCCAATTCTACTTCGAGGCCAGTTGTGAATGCAAATTATTGGAGAAAAGTGAATTTAAAGTGGAAATCTACTAAAACAATATTGTCTTGGTTAACAACAAATATGAGATTGGGATGGAGCTTCCTATTTCCGAATAATCTCTAAGGTTTCCAATTTAAGGTATAGCCATAAGGCTTGAAAGTAGTGGCATCAGCTATAGCCAAGACTTGATTCTCATGATCATAGGTGGAGTATGCCAAGATGGTATCATCTGCTTTGATAATAAAGAAATAGTTATCAGCGAAGAATAATGATTTGATTTTGTTCAAAGGGTTGGTTTTATCATAAGTCAATTGTTTAAAGACTTTCAATTCTCCTGCATAATAAAACTTGATCATCACACTGTAATCGGTGTCTTTGTACATGAAGAATATATTGTTTAAATCGTGTCTCCATAAAGTGAATGTTTATTTGTTAACAGTTACTTTCAAGTCAATACCAGATACTATTTTTTAGCAAGTGAATTCTTATTCAAACATCGAGGGATGTTCACAAAGCCATATTTGCATTTTCAAGTCATCTGTTTGAATGATCTAATAAAATTGGGTCTGCTTTTCTAACACCAACACATCAGCATAGACAACATTGGAAGGCCAGACAATGGAATCCTTTTTCAATGCCCATCTCTTATTGATGACTCCCTAAATTTGAGTGTCTTCCAGTTTGTTATTGCCTAGTTTGTACTATTGATTTGGTCCAGATGCTTGAGATTGCAATTATTGATGAGTGTCGCCTTCAACCAGAGTCTTGGGGAATGGATGGCCACTATTGACCAACTTATAGATCTGAGGGTCTCTGTCATTTAATATTTGATAGGAGATGGTGATTGAACACTTTTATTCATTTGGAGCATTTGCTGTTAAAATGATGTCCTTCACTGCTTTGGCCCCTGTACTGCCAAGGTATTTCAAATAGCCCATGGATAAAGTATATCTTTTGGATAATAAATTTGATATGACTACCAAATCAGGTAAATAAGGGTTCAACAAGATGGAGTCCTTCTGACTCAGAGTATACCTGGAGTTTAATTGGACATTCTCAGTGTCTATGTTGTATAAGTAGAGTGTGTGTTCATTTCTAATGATGACATTCTCCTAAGAGAGTTTAATATAGGCAGGATACTCCAATTGGATGAATGGCAAATCATAGATGTATTTGAATTCCATGTTTTCAATTTGAATGAAATAATTATATCCCTACACTACAATCACATGGGCAAGTGATTCATCTTCCTTGATGAATGAGTTCACACTAAATGCGAAGGCCTGTCCTGTTCTTGGGTAGACAATATTCTACACTTTCCATTCACCATTTGGCAAATAATTGACTACGTACAGACCATTGAAGGCATCTAACAAATAGATATCTCCATTTGGTTAAACAGAAAAATCAACCAAAGAAAAATCAGTACTGGGAACTCCCAAGGTATCTGCCAAGACAGCCTTGTCTAATACAAAGTTGGTGTTTTGAGGTTCACCAGAAGCTAACATCAAATAGACTTCAACTAAAGAGTCTGAGGCCAATTCGGAATCTAAACTAATTGAGTAGGCTGGTGTCACTCTGAAGAGGTATTGGTGTGTGATTCCGAGAGCATTGGTTACAGTGTACTGTCCAAGGAACCTCTATTTGTAGGTTTAAAAGATGGCCCTTTCAGCGAACACTTGAGTTTTGGTTCCATCCTTGGAGAGTACAAAAAATATATTTTGTAATATGATTTTATCGTCTTGGACTACTTACTTTTGGCAATCCACTATGTATTGCTGGGTGTTTGTAAAATCAACATCGAAGCAGGTTATTTCTGAGTTATTTCTTTTGGTAATTAAATAGCGTTAATTGAAATTAGGAGACGCCCTTACATCTGTACTATTGTATATAGAACTGTTATTGTACCCTTCAGCAATATTTAAATAAACTTCGTCTTCAGATTAATCTAGGAAGGCGAACGTATTGAGCCAAAAGCCACTTGATGAGATTCTAGCTGCTTTGGCTGCAACAATATTTGAGGCAACTTTTAATATGGAATATTATTTCATTACCATTCTTGTGCGAGGAGTCTCTTCCAGTTTGTTCGAAGGGATGTATAATCTAAAATTCCTTCTATTGAGAGTCACTTAAAGTGTAGGTCAAATCAGCTCCATCAAAAAACTCAGATCTGATTTGCCAGGTTAAAATCTCGTTTGTTGTCGGAAATATCGATATTTTGTCCAGTTTTGATGCTAGCATATAAGTGATGATTACTGCAGCCATTCTTGGCCACGTTCGCAATAGCTGTCCATAAGCTCAAAATAATAAGGAGCATGGAAGATTTTATTTTTAATATAAATATTAATTTAAATCTTTGATCTTCGTGCAAATGAATCTCATACTCATATCCTTATTTTCTAGAATTTCGATTGCTTCTCTTAAATCAAAACTTCCAGTCTATATGTTTTTTTCATTCCCAAATACACACACACGCAAATTGACAAACAAAAATTAATATTTTGTTATTAATACTGAATATGCATTATGATATTTAATCATGCCAATGGAGAGGCATTGTTCTCCACCTTATATTGCTCTACTTATTTGATGTAATTAACGTAGTGTCTAATCTTATTCAAGACCGGCAGAGTTTCAGCTGAAATCACATATCCCAAATCCTCCTCAATCTAATTTTACTCGATATAGTCCTTACTTGCATCGACAACTCAATCGAATCCAAACTGTCCAATCCATGCTATTCCAATTCAGAATCCAGAGTTAAAGCTGACTTAATATTATTATCATTTATTACTTTGTTTGTTGTTCTGTAATAATTCTTCACCAAGGCAAGAACATACCCTTCGATATCCTAGGACTTCTTCAATTACAGATAATTCTTTGTTATCAATTATCCATCTTTATAGACTTGAATTGGCTTTGCCTATTATTGTTTGCCCTATGTGGTTGCAGGAGTCTTGTCAGCAGCAAAACAAAAGATTGGCCTCATCTATAACAATCTTAATCCTCTGATCATATTATTTAAATAATATATTTGAAATAAAATATTATTGTTTCTCCCTTCTCTTTTTATATACTCAAGATCCCCTTTTGCATTTCTGCCTCTTCATCAACGGCAACAACTTCCTCATCCTCGGCATATCAACATCACTTATGTATCGAGTTCGCCTCTTCCTCCTCAAATTCGCCTTCGAACAATTTCGATTCAAATGCCTAGACCCTGGAGACTTGAACTTCAGTCTTCTCGCCCTCCTCGGACCCACAATCTTCACTCTCTTCATCAACCCCTTGTGATTCCCAATCTTATATAATCTGTTCTGACTCCTAATCCTCTTCTTCCAACTCGATCCCGATGACTTCGTCTTAGATCTAGCCTGCCCACTGATCCGACTTTATTTAAATAACCTCGCCAATCCAAAAAATTGCATAGGCTTCTAACAAAGTTGAATAGGCCTAATAACTGGCATAATTTGCACCATGCTTCTTATTGCCTAAGTGGCCAATCTCAACATAAACACTTAATTTTATATAAATAAATATCAAAATCAGCCCCCCAATTCTCTATTTCACTCTTAAAACTCGCCTCTCCTCCTATCTGCAGATTTAGCACCCTCCTAGGGAGTTAATAACAATCTCCTCATCCATCCCATTCAACATTGGATTATACTGTTAATAGCATCTAGATTCTTTCAATTCTCTGGATCCCCTCTAAATGTAGAAAATTAATTAATTTCCATCATTCTAAAATAATCCTCTTATTTGAATAATTCGACCTTCTCTCAATTACTTGAACCTTATAGTTCTTCGTAACTTGAGTAAGTAGATTACTTTTCCTTGTTTTTATTAATTTTGCTCTATTTTCAATTTATTAGAAATAGAGCTGAAAATATCTGGTTGACTCTTCTGTATTGCTCTTATTCATTAGAAAATGCATCCTTACATCTAAATTAACCAGAATCTATAAACTAAGGGCAAACTTAGATCAAAGCCATGCAAGTGAATTGGATTTTCTAATAAAATTATGAACAATTCTTAATGATTTTATCTTAGTCTTCCTGGTAGTTTATAAACATCCAAATTTTGAAGAAATATCAAATTTATTTATGCCCTTCCTTTCTTCTTCTTTATTTTATTTAAAATCTATACTGCATTATTCTATAGTAATTCTTCCTTATATTAGCCTCTTTCAATTCATTTTTGTTATTTTCATAATTTTATTTCTAAAATTTTGGAACAAAAATTGTAAATAAGTGAGGAGCAAAAAACTTATTCTTTTTATCCTAAAACAAGTGAAATGCTTTCTTATCATTAGTAAATAGTGATAATACTCCATTATTTTATAGTATGGGTTAAATATTTACTTAAGGGTTCAAATGCTCGTAGGTGTAAATGAATTCTCCATTATCTTTTCATTATCATCTTAATTTCAACATTAGCTAAAGCTTAATCTCTCAATTTTACTCACTTATAAATATATCAATACAGGAATATGATTTTACTTAAAATAAATAATAATTAAGAATAGAATTCTCAAACATAATCTTAAATTTCAAATAGCTATGGTCTAAAATACTCCTTCTACTTGACTATTATTAGCAAGTTTGTTAATATAATTGAAGTACATTTATTTATTAAAAAATAATAGGGAATTTTTAAATTGTTTTACTAGCTTTAGGTATAAATGGCTATCCGATAAATTTTATTAAACTATGTAATCTTTACTCCGGCATGATTTGAAAATTAATTGATTGTGAAGTGGAGTTGAAAATCAAGGTTTTCAATATGGGTCAGGAAATATTTGAGAAAATTGTGGATTAACATAATTTAAATAAATACTAATAGAATTACATCGAGAGATGTGAAATGTTTTCATTGAAAAATACAATTCCACCACAGATTTATGGTAATAAACATTCATTCATAATTATATTGTTTATAAATTCTGATGGATCTTTGTGTTATTTACATTTTAATTTATCTTAAATTTCTTTTAGATTATGAGAACATGGATACAGTAGACATTGAGGTTAGGAATAAGAATTGATGTAGAGGGTGGGTTTGAAGGATATGAGTGGCTGAAGAAAACAAAGATAATTATTTTAAATAATTTCAAATATTTTTATATTTTATTTATAAAATAAAGGAGGGTCATTAAAATCTTGAGGTATTAAAGCCATTTTTTTGAATGAAGAATATTAAAAATTAATATAAATTACATTTTTCTTAATGTCGGAGCCCAAAAAGAAGTTATGGATTGGCAATCTTGCTTACAAAGTAACATGATTATTTAGAATTGTGTAGGTTTAAAAGGATGATTTAGAGGAGCTGTTTAAACAGTATGGTTAAATCACCGAGATTAAAGTGTTGGACAAGGGTCCTCACGTATACGCATTTGTTGAATTTGAAAAGGTAGAAAAAGCGATTGAGGCCTTTAATAGGTAAAGGAGTGAAAAATCTCTATATATTAGTTTACAAGGTCGTGAGTTGAAAGGGTAAGCAATGAAGATTGAGTATGCAAGTGGAAGGAAGAGGTAATAGTTAATTTAATTAGTTTTTAGGAGTACAAATGATCGTGATAAAGAGAGAGGTAGAGGAGGCAATGATAAGTACAGGAAGAGAGATAGTAACTATAAGAGGCGATCCCGAAGTCGAAGCGTCGACAGACATAAAAAGAAACCTAAAAGTTTAACTAACTCACTTACTTTACTTCTAATTAGGCCACAAAAGACACTCATCCAGCTCTGAGTCTTCCCGTCGTGACAAATAGTATAACAAGCAAAAACAGCCCGCGCGTTCCCCTTCGGATGATCTTTCAAACTGAGTATCATTAATACAAGAAAAAATATTTTAATACATTAAATTATGATATTACAAAAAATCTTAATTAATTATTTCATCACTTCTTAGTGACTGTGGTCACTACTGTAGCAATCAAGCCCAATAGCAATAATATGAATGCAATATCTAGAGCAAACTTATTGGGTCTTCGATAAACTTCAGTTAATTTTTTCAACGCTCGGTTAGCAGAAGTTAAACTTGAATTAGCTTTATCGACTTATATCATTAAATCTTTAACCCTTCCACCAGTTTCATCAATTTTCTATACAAAAGTTGATACTCAAATCAAATACCTAACCCATTGCTTAAACCTTGTAATGCATTTGATCCAACCCTGAAATAATCTGATCCAATAATTTATCCATATGTTCATCATTCAAATTCCATCTTTGCATAGCCTCCTATTCCTCCAAACTCAGTTGCTCCTGGTACTCCGGTTAACTCTTTTGAAATTGAGTGCCCCCCTCAAAAACTTAATTCTTTAATTCATTGAGTGTCACTCCCTTAAACTCCTATTCTTCAACTCCGAATTCCCTCATCTTGGTTCCCTTCAAAGCAACCTTTAACAATTTAAATAATGTAACTCTCATCTCCAAATCTTTTTCATTATATTTCTATATTGGAAATGCATGATTACTTGAGGCTTCTTTAATTATCGCAAAAGTGTTTTCTCTAAAGACTTATATTACGACTCGCATTTTAAAATAGACTCTCTAATTTCTACACCCAAACGAATTGCCTCCTCATCATTTCCATACTTTTAATTTCGCTGATCTCTGTCTTTCTATTTTGCAGAAATCATTTCGACCTACTCCTTTAAATCATCAATCATCTAATCAAATTCTTTCTGAGGATTCTTCACATTCTTCTTTCTTTCATTGCCTCCCAACTTTTCATCCAACTTATACAATCTCTCAAGTAAAACTACAACTCTTTAAGATCTCATTTAATTATTAATTATTTTACATAAGTTAATTTAAACATTCTATACATCCTTTTCTTACATCTTGATGTTCTCCCAATACTAATTTTACTAAGTGATTGATTAAACAATATAAATCAATAAATTGTTAAAGTGAGCTTGGACTATTTATAAATATATAAAAAACATATAGAAATACTCAAGAATTCCATTATTGTATTATATAAATATTACAAAGAAATACTACTTACAGTTCTAGTATAAATAAATTTATTCTTTGTAATTTGTAGACTAACCAATATAATTACTTAGATTACATAATTTCTAATATATTTAATCATTCATTTGGTATTCAAGGGTGTCATCTACATGTTCAATTATTTAAACATCGAAATACTGTGTCTCATCTAAGTAGTAGTTTATGATTATACGTTCTCAATTAGTTTGAGTCAACCAGAACTTTTACACCTTCTCTATTCATTCATTTCTCAATAAGCGAGATGGCAAGAAAATTTAAATGTATAAATTTAGGAATTTATATATATTTATTCAATCAAATATCCAAAATGAGTCTGAGTTGGTTGGTGTCTCCTCAATTACATAAAACTACTAATGGCTATTATATAAATCATGACAACATCATGCTCGGTAATAGAAAGAGTTATTATATAAATAGCTGGACCTCAAGATAAGAGGAGATTAATATTTTACTATATTGCAAGTCAGACACCAGAAAAGATTACTAAGGAAGATCATTAGAAATTCATAAGGGAGAAATTCGTAGATGTCGATGCCAGAAGTGGAATATTCTCGTTTGGTGGTATTTTCTTGGCTTTAGCAACAATAAGGGAATAACAATTAATTACCTCTAGAATTACAAGTCGTCCATTCTTAAATGGAATCTTGGTTTTGGGAGTTGGTAATTGAAATAATTAAAGGCATTTAGGTTTGGTTTCTGCAGCATTTTCGTACAACCTTTCATAAATCCTATTTGAGCCCATCTTTGTTTAAAAAAATCAGGTGATATCAGATTTGGCCGAGAAGTATAGCTTTTCAGTGTTTGACTTTGCTTTGGCAAAGAAAGAAGCCAGATTGAAATAATTAAGAGCAGAGTTAACAAGCGATAGTAGTAACGCAGCACATTTCTGAATCTATATTACAACATCAATAAAATATTAATATTATAATGATAAGAAAATAAAATCCACTGTCCTTATCATCCAAAAACTGATTTATACAATTTGAACTAATTGTATAATATTTGAGATAAACTTTTAAGAATATTATATTAAAAAGTATATCATAATTATTATAGGGTCTACCTACACCCACATAGCAGTGGAATTTTGAATTTGTGAGAGTCAGGGTTTCTTTGTAATTGATAATTTGAAAACTTTAGTGGTATTTTTGAGTTTAGACTGAAATTAATTGGAGATATTAAGAGATAGTCCCCAATTATTTAAGGTTTTGGATAGTAATAAATGTAAAATAAGTTTCAATTTTGCACTTATAATTTTCTAATTAGGTTTTCTTGAAAGAGAGAGGGTTGAGATTTTGAAAAATGCCTTATGGGGATCCAATATAAATTAATTGGAATGATTGGCAACAATTTAAATTATTTAAATATTTATGTGTTTTAATCAAAATTAATTATATAGTTTAATGAACTCGATTATAGTGTTTTTAAGGGATAATTAAATATTTATTAATATTATTAATATATATTTACGAATGTTGGTTGGGAAGAGAAAGTGTTTCGAAGATGAGCCAAGCGAAGTACCTAATAAATTTATTAGTTTAGACTAGAAATCCTACCTTTGCTCTAAGAAGGCGTATTACTTAGGAGAGAAATTTAGAAACTTTATGCTAGGCACGTAAAAGAATTACTTTGTATGTGATATTAATTTATTTATTTAGATAAAATTTGGCGATTATTTAAGAGAAGTACCCTCAGATTCAACAATCAGACATTTTGAGATTATTGGAGGATTTCGACAACAATGTTGAGATGGTCTTTGAGATTCTTGGGTAAAAGGCCTCCATCCCACAGAAATTCGAGATTGGCGATGCAGATGTATTGTTTTAAACATATATAATAGTTTGACAATTACAAAAAGGCATTAAAAGAGGAATTACTCAAAAGGCTCTAGCAATCATAAAATATCCAGTCTGCTCAATAAGTGATATAATTATGTTTTGACGCCTTCGAATAAAAATTAGGGGAGAAATATTAGTCGAATGTAAAGTTTTAATTAAGAATTTAGACCCAGAGATTGGAGGACGAGAACAAACTACTGAAGCAGGCATTTCTAAAGTAACACAAGAGGATTGAGAAAATAAGGGTAGAAGCAGAAAATAAAGAGAAATAAAATTAAAATTTAATTAAATCACTCACTGAAGAAAATAAACAATAATAATAAATTAATAATAACCTCACAATATTGTTAATACAAGCTTAGCAAAATAACACTGTTTCAACTATTAATAATATTAACAATGACATATATTGAGCAATATATTGCTAATTTATTTGTTATAATTATAATTCTTATATCATATAATATATATATAAATAATGAATAATAATAATTGTTTGGGAGTTAAAGACATTAGATAGAAATGCAAATCATTTTTCGAACAATACTCCAATCGATTGCCTCAGTAGGTTTCAAAATCAAGAGATGCCCAACAATATTAGTCACTATGTTAACATGAAGTTAGAAAATTTGAAAAGATGTATCTCAAACCAAAGCGATCAGTTTAATATAATTCTATTCAAACCGAATCTAACCAAGTTGAAAATTATGCCTATTGCCAAAGAAGACAAAGCACAGAACCAAAGGCCAACTCTAAAAAGAGGAGTCACATAATCAAAACTGTACACAATTTAGAATTAATTAGTTTTGAAGAAAGTATTAAGTTAGTTGGACTTATATAAATCTTGTGACATTGACACATTCAACAATCAGGAGATTCCTATAGGAGATATTTCAATTTAATATCATTAGAATTCTGAGAATCGTAAAATTAGTGTAATAAATAAAGAAAATCAGAAGGAGAACAATCTAAGATTACCTATCCTAAAAAAATGCTTATTCTGTAAATTATACAAATACACATTAGAAATCGACAAATCTGATAACAAAGTTAATCAAGGGAAGTTGCCAAAATTTGGTGAAAGTTTGGTGACACCATTTTTTGGAACTAAAAAGCCCATTTCTTTGGATAAGCGACCATGTGAATTTTAAGGGTTAGTTTACAAGAGAAAAAAATGATTTTGATCCAAAAATAATTTATTACTAAAATTTTCTCTATTTAAAAGAAAAGAAATAATTTTTATTAGATGATTTAATAAATAAATTCTTCAATGAATAACATCATTATGTCGGGTAATGGAACCACTTATGCCTTGAAAGCCTAATTGGGTAGTGGCTCCTTTGGTACAGTCTACCAGGTCTTGGATTTGAGCTCAAACAAGTATTTCGCCTGCAAAATTGTACCCATATTTGTTAATGAATAGATTTCAAAAGCAATGTTAAATAAGTATAATGCAGAATCAATGGTCAGACAAGAGATTAAAATACAATCAACATTAAATCACAAAAACATCCTCAAAGTACATCATTCATTCGAAAACAATCAAAATATTTATATCATTTCGGAATTCTGTTCGAAAGGTTCGTTACAAAATCCAAAGACTCCCTATGAAGAGAAAGACGTCTTTAATGTTTGTATTTCCTTGTTAGGAGCCTTAGACTGTTTACATCAGAATAAAATAATCCATCGAGATTTGAAAGTAAAATCTTCAATTATATCTTCTAAATTAGTTAGAGAATGTGTTTCTCCACGAAGATGGTACTTACAAATTGGGTGACTTTGGTTGGGCCACTTACATAAATAAAGTCGAACCCATTCTTTGTGGAACGACTGAATATATGCCTCCAGAGGTTGTATTAAAATAATAACATGATTATAAAGTAGATTGCTATTCACTTGGAGCATTAATTTATGTAATTCTATTTATTTATCGTAATAGATTTTACTTCATACTCATTTCCCATTTCAAGCTAATTCTCAATCAGAGTTAATATGGAAGATAACCAATTAAGAAATTGTTGTGGATAGTCATATTAATGAGGATTTACAAATTCTAATTCAAGCGTTATTAACCAAAGATCCAAATGATAGACCTACTGTTTAATAATTATATTTAAGTAGATGGATTAAAAAATAGATGAAATTAAATAATATTTTCAATAAGTATGAAAATGAGGAACTCAAAAATAAATTCAGGCACAAAAATCTTCCAATCAAAACATTAGAAGTGAAGTAAATATTAATTATGATTTTTCATAGTGGATCAGTCAAAACCAGCCTTTCGGATAGTCAAAAAACATCCTTAACTCATAGCTCTAGTACTCAGTTCAGCTCTTCAAATAATCCTTTCTCACCTGCTACCAATAAGGGCAATATCGATTAGATATTCAACTTTAAGGATTTTGACAATATCAACTCTGTACCATAACCTAAACTTTACTGATACTATAATTTAACTCAATGAATTGATTTGTAAATATGTATATTTGTATGTTATTTTATTATATTAAATTTCCTTTCTTCAATATTATAATATTTTTCTTCTTGCTTATAAAAATTGAGAAAACTATTTCAATTAAATATTCAGTGTTCTTAATTTATAAAAATTACTAGTAACTTCGTTGCATACGATGAATTTTCTCTGATGAGTATTAATAAGTCATAAACTCCTTTGCTTTGTTTGATTATTATCAAATATTATGTTATTATTTATAATAATGACGGAACAATATATTATTGATTCAGAAATTATAGAGGATGATGTTGATCGGCCAGTCTCTGTTTACAACCTAAATGTTTGCTCCAAGGAAGACATTGATTTTAGACTCCAAGATTGCTAATTGAACGAGCCTGATATTTAAGATTTAGAGTAAAAAATGAATAATCTAATTTATAATTCTTGTGGTTTTAAAAAAGGATTGATAAAACCTAAGAAAGAAGAATAATAACACTCGGTCATAGTCTCAACAGACAATAGATCTAAGAATGAATTGCTATCTTTTAAAAAGCCGACTTAACCTATCCAATAATTATCCGTAATTTCCAATGGGGATCAATCCTCATTGTTTTCAAGAAAGGAAACAGTTCCAAAAATTAATTTTGTCGGCGAAATGAAAGAGAGCTTGAATCAAAATACAACAGTAGATTTGAGAAAAAATCTAAAACTCCACACTCACGGACCATTTGATGTAACTAAATTAAAAGATGGTTTATCTCCTGCTGTTAACAATCGATTTTCCTCCAAAAAGCAATCCCAATTCTCACAAAGATCACATGAAACCTTTAATTCATATTTGGAGTTATCTTATAATTAAACCTAACAGATACCATCATAAAATTCAATCAATTATCAAGACACAAGAAAAGAGAGATCGAAAATTGCAAAGACAACTGTTAAATTGCTACAAAACCAAAAAAATTAGAAACTCAGAATTTCATAACAAGCCAACTCTCAAAGGACATCTCAGCTATCCTTATTGCAATTAGAATAAGATGGAGTCAGAGGTAGATCATAAAGTTCAGTTTCAACTCCAAAAAGTATCTTAAAGAATCCTTCACTACAAAACTCTCAGTTGGAAATTGTAAGCAGATTAAGTTTCTAAAGTAGGCTTAGTTTTTCAAGTCTAAACATAACTGGCTAATAATCTCCTAAAAAATAACAAACAAGCTCTTAATCTCCTGCAAAAAAAGTTAAATTTTGTTTAACTAAAAAGCAAGCAAGAAGAGAAAACATTCCCTGTTGATATTGTTATTGATTATAGTAAAGTAGGAGGTTTACTGTATTTAAAATGTATTTATAATTAAATATATCTAATTACAAAAATCAAAAAAAAACATCAAAATCTTAGATTAATTTATCATCAATCTGACTCTCCTTCACTTTATTAACAATTCCATTCATTTCAATCATTCTGATTACTGCTGAAAATGGTATAATTAATTCATTGTTAACATCTTAAGAATCAGATAGCTTATGCAAAATATTAAGTAATGTTTTAATAGTATGTTCTTCGATCTTTGTTGATCGTGCCTCCATAGAAAGTAAATGATTGCATATACTAAACAATCCAATTTTAATTAATTTTGATAATTATTCTTCATTACACTTAAGATAATAAATGATTAATACCAAAATAGAGAAATTTAGAATCACATAGGAGAATTCAAGAGCCTCATTATCAGAGAATTCGAATGCCTGTCCAAAAATCTAATCTAGCAATTAAGAGTCTAATAATTTAAGCAGGAATTCCTTATTTTGAATTTTATTGGAAATAGCCCAAAATAATTAGATTCTCAAAGCTTTATTAAGATCTTGTGATTGAAAATTCGAGTTAATTACTTTCTTATAGATAACAAATTCCTTCTCAAAATACTAATCGCTTATCCCATAATAAATGATCACAACTTTCAATGCCAAAAAATCATAACTTGTTCTTAAGGCTGTATCATAGAGTTTTAAGAACATTGGAGAGGAGATTATTTCATTTGCGTAAGTATAATTATTTTCAAATGATAATTTTGCAGGGATTTCCTCAAGAATTTCCAAGGCCAATCTCCTTATGGCTTAATTTTCATCAAAGTAGCATTTTATTACATAATCCTTAATTGATTTAATTTTGTCAATATTAATTTCCAAACAAAAAGTAAAAGCTGAACCTATTAAGGCTAAGATAACTTCAGAAAATTATCGATAAGGATCAAGCACCATTAATTAGGATAGAAATTCAAAATCATTTTAGATTAGTAAATCTCTATAAGTCTGCTTTTCTTAGGCTAGAAAATAAATGCAATTTAAAGTCTAAAATGAGTTTAACTCTTACTTAAGGGAATATTTCAAATATCTCATCTTTTATATTATCCTCCAAGTATTGCAAAAATTGGATATCATCTAATTCTGCAAACTTTTAATAATCTTCTCTGTTTAAAAAATAGAAAACACTTTGAATTAAGGTCGCATTTATTTCTTGAAATTCACTATCTATTTTAGATAAATTTATAAGGAATCTGACTTCATATGATTTATTACCTTAATTTTTTTACTATATTTTCAGTCACCCAATAATCAACATTTTACTCATCTTCAAAGGCTTTTTAGAGCACTTTTAGTAATAACTTAATATTATTAAGATCTTCCCCAGTTAACTACTCTTTAAATTGATAATTGACTAGTTCATCGCAAACTTTATGTAGAAAATCATTTTTTGTTTATTCATAATTATAGAACCGCCTTTTTTTCTTAAATTCCTCTGTTAGTTTTTAATGCCTTATCTATACTCTAAACTTTTCTCTTTTCAAGGACAATAAATCATTTGATTCCTCTTAATTCATTTTAAATTTAAAAATTATATTATTATTTATAATCAACATAGAGGTAAAATTGTATGTGAACCCATCTTATTAGCAGATCTAGGAGTTATTGTTGATAAAATTGCAGTCATCCTCTTTTGATTTGGATTATTTCTGGATACCTCCAACAAAGATTTCAATGAATTGAGCTTTTTTGAATTACTAATTTAATCTGTTGTGTGGGCCAAACTGTCATTTTTTTAGATCAATTTTTCAAACAAAAAGTTGCTTCTACTTAAATTACTATAAATTTTACTTGGTAGTAGTGTTTTAAGATGATCTTCTGGTTGAAAATGGTTTTGATTAGATCAAGCTTTCCTTCTCATCCATCATTTATTTAATAGTTTCTTTGGTGTTGATATTTATCTCTCTAATCAATTGATCTTCATCCTGGGTCTTATGATTACTGCCCATATCTTTACTAAATTCTTTATTAGTAATTACAGGCTTTTCTTCCATTTTCAATGTTCTGGTTTATCGATGCATGTTATGCACTTTTTAAAATATATTAGGTGATGATTAAGAGTTTAATTTCCTCTACTTATTGTACTACTCCAACAATTGAGATTGTTCAGTCTTTGTTTTGATTTAAAGCTAAATACTTAACAGTTGTTGTAATTGATTGATGCTTTTAGCTTACTGTTTCCTCTGTCTCTTTCTAGACTCTCTAGTTTCATGTTCAAAGGGCTCTTTGTTCAAACTAATACAACCAAACAATTTCTTAAATTCTAAAAATAAGGTGTGAGTAATTACAAATTTATTATTTTGATTGTTTCAAAGTTTTATCAAATGTAATAGTTTCTATTTGCTATTACACTAAATCTTAATTATGCTATTCGGCTAAATTCTCTAATTCTTACAATTTGACTGACTTCTCTATTGCATTTCCATAATACATTTGTAATGTGACATCTTCTTTGTTTAGTTACTTTTTATGTTTTCTGTTTGATTATTAAACATGAATCATTGGTTATGAGAACCCTTCTGATTCAGTTTAAAACCTAGTTGACAATCCATTATCCGAATATTTAGTTTTCATCAATACCGACCTACATATGGTTGTAGACTCATTTTCATTTGTTTGCTGCTTATAAACCATCTAAACACTGGCATTTGTTTTAAGAGCTTTGGATCTCTCCAAATAAGTTTCACTTTCTATGATGTCATTGCTGTATGGAAGTTATGCCTTATCATAATAGAAATATTGTCGTCTGATTTTTGGAAATTCACTAAATTCGTACAGCATATTGTTGTAATAATTTAATTGATCTTCTTCGACAGGAACTTTCAATGCTTCTTCTTCTGGCAGAGCTTGCTTTAGTACTTTAGATATTTCAGCCTTCTCAAGTGCATATTCTAAGTATCTGGTGTTGTCCACATATTATTAGAAATAGAGTCTTCCTATGGAGTCTTCTGGCTAATAATTCGAATCAACCCAAGTCATCATTTTGATGGTTTCTTGATATTTTAGAAAGTCATTTAACTATTCGTACACTAAAGCTATTAAAAACAAAGATAATATGATCTCCTTTGACTATGGATATTATTATCAATATTGATTACATAATAATTCAGAGTAATCTTTATTTCTTCTAAGGAAGTTAGTGTGATTTCCTTATAAATGATTATTAAATTCCTTTGGTAAAAATCGAGTGCTCTGAGATAATATTTCAAAGCTGCCTGGTAGTTTTACAATTGAAAGTAGCTGTTTCCTGCAACCAAATGGTATTTGCTAATTTATTTGAACACAATCTTACCCTTATAAACTTAGGAAAAACGTTATTTTCTCAATCAAAGTCTACTCAATTATTGTACCATTAAGATGATGAAAGTACAAGAGACCTCTGGCTACCATTTGATTCTTCTGATAATATTGCGATCTGAATAGTAATGCCTTTATCATTATCGATATCAATTCTTGAGTGTAAAACTTTTCTAATTAAGTATTTCAATATCACTTACTCTTATACTAGATCTTCAAGAGTGAAATGTTATCATGGAAATCTCTCATATAGAGTAGGAATCGTGACCAAAGAGTGAACTAATTTTTGCCTTAATTAATTTCGCCCTTGTTGATTTTGAGTTTGAAATACATTAACGTACAATAGCATAATCTTCTCAAGACTTTGATTCTTAGCAGCAACGGTGATTCTATAGGTAGCAGTTTTTTATATTGACCATCCAAATGCATAACACATTTCCGATAATACCCCTAAATTAGAGAGGACTTACATTTCTTATCAAAGTGTTGGAGTCGACCAAGAATTACTCGACTTAGTTAATAAAGTAGGGATTTTGTGGTAAGGCTGATGAAACCTTAATTTATAACATATATATAAAATTTATTAGTATAAACAAGATATTAAATTGTATACAATGCATATAAATATACCATTTTTACCTATTAACATTTTCATTACTCTTTTCTAGGAACTTCAATAGCATCCACGTAGTTGTACTTCTTGAACTCCCCAATCACTGCCTTCACAGATGTAGCCGGTATCAATCCAACCTCTGTCACTATCTAGTATATTAAATTATGCACTTTACCATATTAATATAATTGGATTATGTAATATCATATCTGAGACTCAAAGAAGTGTATTATTGATTTTCATTTCCCTATTCTAATTACGCTATTTCATTCCATGACAATGAATCAATCTGACTCTTTTCTGAGAATTTATAACTTTCACAAAATACTAAAAATGGTATTTTGTGAGTTGATGCCAAACATGCCAACAAGGCGGTTCCAACTCTAGATACCAAGGCTCCATTACATAACATAGATGATGCTCCTACCAAAATTTTATCAACCTAAATGATATTGCAATGTTTCTACTTTTGATAAAATGTAGCTAACATGAGATAACAATATTTAATAGCAGGAGATCCCCTATTATTATAAACGATTCACTAATTATGATCCCTCTCCAAATTAGGGGTTATCGACGACGAAGATAGTCAATTACTTGCCTTACTTAAAATAGTTAATGATGAAATTCTCAATCAAATAGGATCTAGCATATACTAAAATGGTTGTTCCCTCTTAAATCAATTGAGTAGCCTATTTTAATACGATATAATATACATTTTTCACAATCAACTCTGATGCTGAGATGATTTTGGATTGTATGAATTGATCAATCTGATTGCAGAGCCAAATTTTTGATTCATTTTCATCAAGTTTTGTGTCTCTTAGGATCATCAAGCATTCCCTTATGAATAAATAGGATGTGCTCATTCCCTCATTTACTGTTCTAAAGTTTTTCATCAAATTGAAGATTTTCTTTAGTTCATCCAAAAATGCCATAGCGAAGTAAGTTGACTGTTTTGATAACTTGTAATCCTTGATGAATTATTTTAAGGCATTAAGAAATTCCACACATCTATGAGTAGACCCTATGCACTATCCATTTTGATATTAAATGCAAAGCTCAATAAAAGAATGATGTAAGGTCAAAGGCTAAAGTAGAAGCAATATATTACATCAATCTATTTGACTGTCTTTATGCTTACAGAGGTGTAATCCTAAAAGATGGGAAGATGTGAAAGGAAATCTTTTCGTTTATTTTACTCTTTTGATGGCTCTGTCTACACAATTTATTTATCATTAATTGTCTACTATTATTGTATTGCTTATTGAACAATCGGTTGTAGGTTAGTTTATTGTTATTGTTATTGTTATTATTATTATACTGTCTTATTGGATTCCTATTTGGCTTCTGTCTGTTCTTATTCTTGCTTTTGTTTCTCTTTATTTGCTTTCTTATCAAATTTCTCTTTAGGCTTCCAAGGCTCTCCTTTCTTGGGATTTTGTTGATTTTGTTTTTCAGACATTAATTCTTTATTAATTATTATAAAAATTTAAAATATAAATATGGACATCGAGAATTTAGATGATTGGGATCCTGATCCTAACAAGAAGGATAGCATTCTCCAATTTTCAAATATTAATTTTTCTGGTATTTAATATCATTGAAGCTTAGATAATGTGATTAAGAGAAACAAAAAAAAGTTGGAGAACACTGCTTATGATTCATAATATGTTATGGATTATGCATAATAGAATTGGATTGATGATGACGAAGATGAAGAAATGAAAAATAATACACAAATTGAATTCAACTTTGAATAGACAAAAAAGTAATTGATGTTGGAATAAGTGTTTTATAATCCATTAGAGGATTTATAAAATGAAAAATATGTTTAATCGAAATATGAAACCCATCTCAAAAACAGTGAAAATAATACTGTGATAAGTTGTTCAAATTGCTTTATTTAAATTAGTTATCATTGTCAATAGCATGAGATTTATAAAAAGTAATATAGAGCAATGGTAACAATTAATACAAAAATCATAGAAAATAAATTTGTCAAACCTCTAGAAAACGAAAAAGTGAAAAATGATGACATATTGTTGTCAGTGCAATGCAAAATGTGTCAGGAAGAAATTGGAGTGTATGATGTCAAAGCCAAAATATATCACTTCTTTAATGTAGTTTAAGGTTTAGGTTGATTTATCTTTGATATTTAATAAATGTGATAAAAATTATTTTATAAAAATATTAATCTAATTGATAACATCAATTTCTATTCCATTACTTCATTTTACTATAAAGTCTATCTGTAAAAAGACTTAGAACAAAAGATAAGTTACTATTAGCTTATGTTCCAACTGAGGATTATTAAAATTAAAATTTTTTTTTATATAAATAATAGAATTTTTCGTATTATAAAATAAAAAACTATTAATCATAAATTATCGTAATAAAATAATAGAAAATATTCTTAGCGTGATGGATAATCCTTTAACTTTTGTTTGTATAAGCGATACTCATTCGCAATTTATTGATATCCCTTAGGGAGATGTATTTATTCATTGTGGAGATTTCTCAACACATGGAGAATATAAAGAAGTCAATGTTTTCATTGATTGGTTAAAGGCATTACCTTTTAAATATAAGGTTGTTATAGCAGGAAATCACGATATTTTTCTGGATATTGAAAAATATGAAAATTAGCTCAGGAACCGATTCCACAAAAGATATGCTCCCATGGATCATATAAAGCTAAAAGAGGAATTAAAGTAGAGTTGCATTTACTTGGAGAATTCTTCTGTCGTTATAGAAGGATATAAGATTTGGGGAAGTCCATATTCTCCAACAATACCTTATAATCCATGGGCATTTTAAGTTGAACCCGAAGAGGGTGAAAAATTTTGGAAAATAATGGAGGAAGGATCTGATATTGTTTTAACACATGGAGCCCCATTAGGTCATAGCTCGTATGTTACTAGTTATGAACCTACTGAGGGAGAATGGGGAGATGAAGCATTAGCTAATCGAATAAAAGAAGTTAAGCCCCTTTATCATATTTTTGGACATGTGCATGAAGGCTATGGGATGACAGAGGAAAATGGTACTAAGTATATTAATTGTGCAATTCTTGATGAACGTTATAAATTAGCTGAAAAAGCTTATGTCTTTTAATTACCTAGAAGAGTAGTGCCAGAGAACGAAAGCATAAAACAATAACTTTGAGCAGGATTTATTTATAAATATATGAGTATTATATTCATAATTCAGTTAGTGAACATCAAGCGACCACTCATTTGTGTGAATAATTTTGTGCTGTCTGCAAACCTAATTTTAAGTAGTATATTTCCACACGATGTGATTCTTTTTTAGTTCTTTCATTTTATTCATAGCAATTATATTTTTAGTCTTCATTAATTACTTGAGCTGTGTAATCTTTCCTGTTCGCATAACAAATTCCATACAAAGATTCGTATTCATATTTGGTTGTTTGTTTGTTTATTAATTATTTAAAACTCTAGTTAGCTACAAATTGACAAAGTTGATATAAAAATTCATTAAATAGGTGTAATTGCTATATAATCTGAAGTATAAATGAGTTATCCAATAAATTAAAATATTTATTATTTTCAAATATTAAGTAAAGAAAACTATTAATAATCGAAATGTTCAAAAAACCACAACAATGTGTAATTAATCTTGAAAATCAAAAATAGTATCCTTTATAGATTAACTTATGGCATTATAGTTATTGAATGAATATTAAGAATTGAAAAGTTCCTTGAAAGAGTTTGAGGAATCTTCTTTGACTAAATTTATTGATCAATTAAACAGCCAGAATAGTTAAATGAAGAATCATAATTTGGAAATACAATTGATTGATAATCAGTTTTGATCACCATAATATTGTAGAGCAATCTCTTTTAATACTACTTATCAAATTATGATATTCACATATGATGAAATAATTAGAGTATTCAACTTAGGATCAATACTAGAAGAATATTATTTATTTTCAACAGTGGGCTAAACAATAAGAATTTGGAAATTGAATTTCAAAAAAAATTGTTAGAATATTAGACCTAATTATATGAGCATTCAATAGATATATATTGTTAGGAAAAAATGGAGATGATAGTGTTCTAAGAGAAATATGATAAAGCAATAAAATTGTCAAGAGATCAGGCGAAAGAGAGTTTGCTATTCCCTATTTTTTACAAACACCAGAAAAATTTCATTGCATTTAGGCAAATATATTGGATATATTTATAAAAGAAAACTTTAGACCATAATTTTCAAATGATTAAAACCTTGTTAATCGAATAAAATTTAAGGTACGATGACATATGATAGGTAATTCTTAGTGTTTTTGGATTGTAAAGAATTTAGAATAATGGAAGTTATTCAATATATAGTCTTTATGCTTATTGAATAATTATGTTTACTTCATTTCATTTTTTCATGTTTTGATCCAATTCACCAATAACCTGTAAAATTTTATGAGATATTTTTATTTTAGAACATATACAACTATTTTTATAACAAACATTTGATACTGGTTAATACAATTGTACTAGTTTTTTGTATGTTCATCAAATGATAATGTCTATTCGAAGCTATAATAAGCATATTGTATAGGAATATTATAAGTAGTATTTAAATAGTAAATGTTAATGATAAAATGTTTAAATAATGCTGAATTTAATAAATGAATTTAATAAAATCATTAAATGGCAGCTGAACTTTTTTTGTAGATTGGATAGGTGACATCCTAATGAACTCCGCATTATCCAGTTTTATCTGCAATTCTTGCAAATCTGATAAATCCAGCTTCTCCCCAAGAAAGTCCCCATGAATTCTTAAGTAAATAATAATCTGATGCATATCCAACATTGAGAATTGCATGATTAAGTGATTCAATTTTTCCATCGCATACTGATGAAAAGATACCCTTTCTGTAAAGTTAGAAATTGATTCCTTTTGCATTGACACCAACAGAGAGAGCATGTTAAGATGCAGCTTCAAGATAGGCTTTGGAATTGAGTGATTCAACTTCAACATATCCATTGAATTAAAATCTGGTTTTAGTCTTTTTAGCTTAGCACTCTTAGGCAACAGCAACATAAGGATATTCTGATTTAAGAGCAATTCCATTCTTTGTGGCATAATCAAAACTTTCGAACATAAAACCACCATTGCAACCATCACTCTCATAATCTCCTCTGACACAATCAACGAGTTCTTATTCAGATAATTCTACGTCTTTTGCTCCACTTTATCTCACAGCAGTTTCCAAAGCACCAACAGCGGAGAATGCCCAACATGATCCACAACTTCCTTGATTTTAGACTGGACCTACTACTCCATCATTTCTCAAATCAACACTTTCTGGGATTTATATTCCTTGTGCTCTGAAGACTTAATCAGGTTGTTATTTATCAGATGGTTTGAAGTTTAAGTATTTTGCTTCGAACTCTTCAGAAGAGATATCAGCGAAGACATTCATACCAAGTTCATAAGTTTCTAAGCCAGCCTCAAATCTTTTTTAGTGTTCTTGGACATAAGCATAATTTTGTTTGAAAATTCCAAATCTGTGTGTGTTTTCAAATGAAGAGTATCTTTTTCCATGTTCCTATTACCACACTTAGTACTCCTTCATTAATTTGTCCTCCAAGAAGGATGTTGATTCCATACTTTAAGAGTTGTTCAATAGTGTTGTACCTGCCAACAATGTTAGGGCTAATATTGTTAATAATCCTTTTTACATTAATAATGACTTAAATTGATTAAGATAAATGAGCTTATAAATCAAATAATGAGATCAATATAAAATTGCAATCACGTCACAATTATTATTAAATATTTAAATAATTTTAAATTATAGTATTGATTTCATTCTATGATGTAATTAATTCATAAACGATTACATAAACACTAAATTAATAACAATAACTATTAATTTAATGTTTTGGCAATTCCATATGTAAACAAACTTAAAGAAACCCAATTAGAAACTAACCACCTGCTTTAAACAATGATTTGCTGATAAATACATAGGAGTTATCAGTCATTTTCTTATTTCTATGGAGTATTCCTATAAAAGAAACATTTCTTAGATTGTGTTGATTCTTCATTTTTTAATTCCAACTACAGAAATTGATATTGGAACTTATAGTTTCAATAAGAATAGAAGAACTTCGATACAATATTCTAGAAGTCATATATCTTTATTTTTATATTCTATAATTATAATTCATGTCATCTGAACAAGGCAAAAAATGGAAGAATTACGCTGTCTAATATATATTTTCTATTTTACGATTAATTTTCATTTATATTCAAATATTCATATATTGTTTATAGTTATTTTTACAGATGCCAGATCTAGATTAATTCTTGAAGTATCATCCTTTAATAGATAGTAAAGTAATGAATTCCTAATCCCAAAATTGAATAACAAAAATGGACATCATTTTTTGACATCATTAAATGGGCATCATTATTTATGAGAGAATAGATTTTCAATATATAACTTCAAATCTAAATTGATTATTATTTATTGGCATCTAATTAACAAACAGAGAGCGAAAAATTTCAAGCATCTTCTATTCTCCCACATTATTTTTATCAATCATTACTCTAATAATCTACTTATTTATTGTAAATTTAGATATTGCTAGTTAAATTTGCGCCATATTCTTTGCAGATTTCCAATTTGGATTCATTTAAGAATAAAAAGAATTAAATTAAATTATATATTCATTTCCCTTAATTTATAGCTCACCTTCATATTAAATTGATATAAATTCTAGAATGCTATTATTAAAATTATGAATTAATAGAATAATAAATGAAGTTATTATAGTCAAGAATTTGAAGCGACATTCGATCATTTCCATCTAATCAAAATACATTCTTGTTAAGATTAATTAAATAAATATTAAATTAGAGGCCTTAAACGAATAAATGCATACAGAACATTTTGTTAACTAACAGATTTATTATATACTTCTAATTATTGTAAATCAATAGAATGAAATGAAATTAAAATAGACTATTCATTTAAGAATGGGAATAAAATATGATAATAGACTAAGCTTCATTTATAAAACATCTATTATTATCATAAATATCTTTAAGATAGGTCAATTTTGTATTCTTAACTACAGAAATGCAAAGTCTGATTTATTAAACTAAAATTTTGGATAATGCTTTGATAGAAATAAGAAAATAAAATCCTCATATAATTATTTTTAATGTGTGATATTCATTAAGGGGTTATTGTTGCTATCAGGGATTTCATAAATATAGGTTTTTCTCTAAGTTCTTCAATGTTTTTGACTAATTCATACTCTTTGAATATTTTTGTGAACACCTTGAAAGTAGCCACATGTCCTGCTCCTGTTAGCATTTTCTAAAATCCTTATTTTCTACTCTCGAGAACTGATAAATAAGAACATATCAAAGCCAAGTTTTATTTGCAGTAATCTGAATATGTTGCCAAGTGACTCAGATAAGATATTTCATTTTTGGGGAGACTTTTTGTATCAGAGTATTTATCAAGCAAAGTTTTGATCATACGTCCAATTTCTTTCATTGCTTAGGTTGGCTCTCTCCCAGAATCTACATTCATATCTGACTTGCGCTATAAATCAAAACTTAAGCATGCTGAGACTAACTTATCTCCATGAAATGCTCCAAAAGAGAGGCCTTCCTAAACCATCAAAACACTAATTTAAAGATATGAATAATTGTTACTATTCTTAAAGAATGGCTTCACTACTCATATCTGAATCTATTGATTCTAAAATCACAAATGCATCATTATGATGTACAAATGCATCAGTCATTAATGCCATTAGAGGTGCAGCATCTTACTTCTCTAGTTTTCTAAAGGTGTAAACTTTCTCTGCCTCCTTAATGATGTCAGATAAATCATTGATATTAGATACTTACATACGTATGATTTCTAAAATAAAATAAAATAATTCAAAAAGATTTACTCAAAACCTTATAAATAGCAATTAATAATAACAAATGCTAAGATTAATTTTCAAAATCATTTCATAGATTAAGAATCGATTCTCCCCGTATTAAAAAATAATAACGAACAAAAAATAATCCTCTTATTACTATGTGACTATTACGCTTACTGAAAAGAAATAAAACTGACATCTTATTATGGTTTTTATTAATTTCTCAAAATATGCAATCAATAAGTATTTCAAGGGCTTCTTTAGTAGCAGTAGTAATAATTTAATAATATAATAAATTTATCTTTCAACTAAATTTACTCCAAACCTTTGCATATGGATCCTATTTATTACCTTATACTAGTACGACTTGGAATTGGAGTGGATTGCTGATATAATCAACTATAATGAAAGAAGGTCCGATTTTTTTCTTTATGATTGTTTTCAATTGTAATTAATGTATGTAAATCAAATCCAGGCTAATGGAATATGATAATGAAGTGCCAAGACATCTCTAAATAGTCAAAATGTTTAATAATAGGACAGAAGTAATAAAGGATGCAAGAGGCTGTTTTATAAAAGCGAGAGTATTTTTAATTTATTTACTTAAAATTTACTCTTATTAATACTAATATTAATATTAACTCATTTAATTCCTTTATTATTATACAGACTCTGAAAGTTATTTAACCTGATCAATAAATGTTCTGCAAAAGAAAAATCTTGTAATTGTCAAAACCTTTCAAAATAAGTAATACTCCAAAAATTAGTAACAGCTACTCAGTTGTCAACCAGGAAAAGCGTACTTTTAATTATGTGCCAATCAGCAAATCAGGAACTATAGCAATTTTAAGTCGGCATTATCCTTTCCTTCAATTTTGAGGAGAAAAGTAAAAGCTATTATGGTTATTATAGGAATATTTTTGTAAATTAGACAGTGGAATTTAAATTATTACATAAGAATTCATGTTATTTGCAAATATCTCATAACTTAAACATTATTAAATTTATTAATTATAGATTCTATAATAATTTAATTGCTTTATGATAGAAAAAATCAAATTAAATTTATAAATTCTTTTGATGCATATATTCTAACAAATCAAATCCTCATGAGTAATAGCACTATATTCCTCCGCCATTTTCCCCGTAGATAAATTTTGGTTATTTTTAATCTAAATAATAGCTCACACACGAAATGCTTTATTATTATCTTTCTCTATTATAAGATTCATCATTTTTCTAACAACATAGGTGGATTTTCTAAAATAATATTAATGAATTACATTATTTTCTTGCAATAAATGGAATTCATATTTCTTCTTTTCATCATCAATGTAATAGGCGCATGAAATAATATTACCTATTGTAGAACACAATTTAATTATTTCTTTATCATAATTTATTCTATACAATTGATTTTTCTAAATGGCTAAACAAAACTTCACCTCAAAAAATATCAATGGAAAATCATCTCTACAGCCTGTTTAAATTTGAAAATTCTTTTATTCTACCCAATTCTATAGGTCATAAATAATAACTTTTCCAGTATGATACCCAACATATAAGCTATTATTGATCACTTTCATTGATATGATGCTTAATTAACTTGGTGATAATTATTTTTCTTTTTATTAAATAATTCTATTCTCAATCACTTAGCATTATATAAATTGATTGATATCTTTTAAATAACATACAAAATTTGTGGAGATATCAAAACCTTTTGAATTCTTGTAAATAGCTAAGTGATTCTGATAGATTATCTTCTTATATGTGTACAATGTATCTAAGGATCTATTCAACAGAATTAAGCCTTAATCAGTTTGAACTAAAATTAATATTGGATATTCCTTCATCATTACAAAATCAAAAATTGCAAATTATAAATTCTTCTCTATCTTTTTCTCTTTAGAATTAGACCTGTATTCAGTTACAAGAAATAACTTATTTTCACTTTAGTAGATCAAATATTTGTTATCAATAACTTCAATTTTGTTAATTGGAGAATTTCCAAAAAGTCTTCCAAATGATTTTCTCCATTTGGGTTTGGATTTCACAATACTTGATTAATTATCCATATTCTCAGTGATAGGGTTAATAAGAGAGACTATTTTCTTTTAGGATTCTAAAGCTAGATCAGAATTTAAATGCTATTATTTTACTGAAGACCCATATCTACAATCCAGATTTTATAATGGGTATCCGAAGTTCATTTGATTGACTTACTATTTTATTAGCGCTTATCAGGGTCTTGAGAATTTTAGACTTAAGGAATAATTGGTGATTCAGATGAGGAGCGAGGCTACTAAATTTATTATTGATTATTTTAATCCGACATAATTTAGTTATTATAAGGATAGTCTACTTTAGCAATAGATTTTTATTAATTTCTTTCTACTTCTAATAATTATTGCTATTGTATTACGTCCCTTTTCTTCTCAGCATCTTTAAGTTATTTAAATTCAGATTTTGTATGTGCATTATCAATTTCATTTTAGCTTAGAACTCGACTGGAATTACTGGATCTTATAATGATCTATTTTATGATTGATTGTTAAGGCTTCTATTCAATTCTTTTCTTGTTTAAAATATCTTTCATTTGATGAATTGATTTGTCAATCTCTGCGATATATTTTATGAAGAGATTTTCAGATCTGTCCTCATGATCATTCTGGAAAAAAAAGTCTGAACTGAAAGCGCTGTTCTGTTTGACCTATTGCAAGTACTTTGGATTTTTATAATACTTAAATTTTTTAATTTTTTATTAAAGATTGAAGTATAAATCTTTTCGAAAATAGACATCCCTAAAATTTAATAAATAAATTACCTTCTGAATTCTTAATAAAACTGTTATAAATTGTCTATCGTTTCTTTTAGGTGAAGAATAGAGACATCTTCCTTATTAATCTTCTTTTTAGCAATCCCAGCAGTTACTTATATGAATTTCTCAAATGGTATTATTTAATTTTTTTCCTAGCATTCTTAATGTTTATCAGAAGAAACACATTGTTGACAAAGCATTGAATCATTACCAGGACAACCTGGATCAACACAAACAAACTAGTTTTCTCTATTGTGAATCTCAGAAATATTTTAATTATGCATTTTTATTAATCTAGGTGTCTCTAAAGATTGAATTTTTAAATCAAATTTATGACGAATTTTCGTTTATGGAAATACAAGATTTATAATCCAAAATATAGCCAATTTTAGAGATCATTAATAAGCTAAATCAGCAAGGTAATACCAATTCTTGTTCCTCAGTTGCTACCTGTCCTAATAGTAAGGATTGACAAAAGTACAACTTTATCAATTAGATTCTAAAATCTACCATTATTATATATTGGTTAATTAATTAGCAAGGATATCTCCTCATTCTTTCTAAATGCATATTGGAGCTAAGATGAGGAAATAATAGAATTTAAATATATTGCTTTGAAAAGAATTGAAAAAAAGATATGAAGAAATTAGATTGAGTAAGTTTGAGAAACCTTTTATCCGTCTTAAGTATGAATAATTTATTTAACTTTTTTTTGTTCAAAGTTCTCAATCTACTCTCTCTATAATACAAACCTACTTATTGGGTTTCAAAATTTTGGATAAATACTGTTTGATTATTATCCCAATATTTATTTTTCAGATGGTTAATAAATATTGTAATTTTAAAGGCAGTTAATACCTAAATGATAAATTTTATTGTATTTTTCAGCCAATTTTGGATTTGAAAAATAATATCAAAATCATATTTAATTTTTTACAAAGAAAAATATATCAAATTATTAGGTAAAACATCTTTGATTCCAATATTTCAATCTTTAAGTATTTCTGAAATCACACCTTATATGTGACGTTCTTACTACTCAGAATGAATACTACCTCATGTCCTTTCCTTAAACTTCAATCTTAATTTCATATGCTTATATTTTGAAAACTGTTCAAACAATATTTGGATATTGTGTTGATTTAGATTCGAAATAATTGCAAAATGATCTTCTTGATTCTCTCTTTTTGATTAATCTTATAATCAGCTTTAATTAAGTTAATAGAAATATTTAATTAGATGAAAATGGTACATTAATAAATATCAGAATTTTTTATATCTAACCGAGATCAAACTGTATTCTAATATGATTAGAATTGAGAATATTTAAGTTTTACTAATTTCTGGATTCTGTCTCAAATACTCAAAATTAATTAACATCATTAAATTGGATATATTTAACTAAAATTATTGAATTTCTCAAAATATATTTTTTCTAAATGATTGAATAATAGTTAGAATGTGCTTATAAGCACAAGTAGCCTATTGTTAGTGTTGTTTTGGATGCCAAACTATAATAAAATGAAAGACTCTTATGTATTGAATGCATGGAATAATACTCCTCATAAACAAGAACTATGGGATTTAAAATAGCAATGCAAACCATTTTAGACAATTAGAGGCAAAAAAGAGAATAATATGAAATTGTGATAAATTAGAATTTGAAACTATTAAATACTTTTCAACAAATTGCAATCGACTTGAAAAGTAAGGTAAATAAAGAAATAGACTCCATCCTCAATGTAATCAAATTTTGGATGGAAGACTTGAATAAAATAAACTCGGATATGGTTACATTCAGCTTCCATAAGGAATTAGAGAAAATAATAACTTAGAAGTAGGAAGATGGAAAAGGTATTGGTACGTAGGAGATCATCAACTCTATTTATAAGATTAATAATGAATGGAGTGTAAAAATTAATAGAAAATTAGGATAATTTAGTCATTTTGAAGAGCAGAAGAAATGTGAAACAATTCTAAATGATCTAATCCAATAAAAAGATGAAAATCTTGAATCTGAAATAGTATTTTATGATGAAAAATCAATCTCCAGTATTTTTAAAAGCAATCGGAGAACGTAAAGTATCTAGAATTAAAAATAATCTATAAAATTAATATTGAAAGATGATCAAATTAAATAATACGATACATGTTATTCAATGGCCTTTAATGTGAAAGGTTCAATTATGGTTTCAAGTTGTTTGCTAACTATTAAAGTATGGCACTTTAATCAAGGGTCTTTGAAATTTATACAGAATTTATAAAGCCATCGCGATATTGTAACTTGTTTAGCATTTAGCAAAAAAAATATGTTTTTTATCTCAGGGTCTTGCGATAAAACTATAAGATTGTGGAAATGCTCAAATCAACATGAATGGAAAAGCTCTAATCCTTATCAAATAGAAACGGATTTCGTATAATGTATGATTATGAACAAAAATGAAACCCTATTGTTTTCAGCAGGAAATAAAGGATCAATAACTATTTGGAGAATCAATTTAGATTACAATTCTCTTGCACCATTTCAAAATTTGCATTTTAATTCATCGAACATCTATTCCATAAGTTTGAATGAATAAGAAAACATTTTGATCTCAAGTGGATAAAATTAATCTATTTTAATTTGGGAAAAAGTTAGTGAAGATAAATTTAAATTCAAGCATGCTGTTAAATAGACATTAAATGCAGATGGGTATCATCTTAAATTTTTAACTGATGATAAATTTATTTGGGTAGCATAAACTTTTGATAATAATTTTATTTGTATATATGAAAAGAGGAATGGAATTTTCTCGGAGAGTATTGAAAAAAGAATAACGTTAAAAAAGACTTCGAATGTGGATGGTTTAGGATTAGCACCTATCATATATAATAAGGAAAAAAATGTGGTCTTTGTTCGATCTCAAAACCATCTTTATATCCTAAAAGAATTAAATGGATGCATTAGCATTGAGGATTAATATGATTTTATGACAGAACATAATTATTTTGCAACAACAGACGATTGTTAATATCTAGTGGCTTGGGACTTGAAAAAAAAAGCCTATTCATCATTTGAAATATTATATTATTGATAAATTATAATTAAAAATGTTGAAGTCAATTATTTTCTCGGAGTTATTATTGATATTTATTTTGATAAAGAAGAAAGAAGAGGTTGCAATATCTCCTTATAAGCCTTACACCAAATCTAATGATTATCTTCACATCACATTTCTTATTTTCAACTTCAAAACAATGCATTTGAATACTGTAAAATAACTTATACGGTTTTAATAAGACAACACATTAGTAGTGAAAAAAATTAAATTTATAATAAAAAAACAGAGTAAGAGTGATTTGAAAAATTTTAATGTTTAAATAATCAACCAATTCTGATTATTTTACTTTAATTGATAAAATTTTAATTTTTTTGGCTAGTGAATTATAATAACTAATTCATGATTAAGATTATAATTAAAATTATGGTTATTTATGAGAATGATTATTCCCAATAATTCAACTTACATTATTATAATCAAAATATTTATTTAATTTCAATTATCTGATTCTGGAACTGAATAGAATCTCTCTTCTCTGCATTCAACTGTTTTGAATTCAAAGTTTTGTTTTAAATCAGATTCATCAAGTCCTTCATTTAAAAGTTTTTCAAAATAAGATTCTCTAGTTAACCTACTTTTTAGATATCGAAAATAAAGAATGATAACCAGGTAGGTTAAGAATCCTGAAAATCCAACAAAAAATGCTGAACCTAATGCACTACCATCTTAAGTAATACTAATATTGATTACATTCTCCATCTATTCCAAAAATGAAAATGAACAGGATAGTATAATATGAAAATAATAGCAGTATTATCAAAATTTGATATTTCTTGGCCTTATAAATAAGGTTTGATGATAAAATCTCATTTTTCAATTCATTATTTATTTTCATCATTCTGTATACATCGAAGATCATAATAAGAACGATCAAAATAAGAATAAAACTTAGAATATATCGAAACAAGTTAAAATCTTGAGAGTTGGAACAATAAAAGTCTTGATATTTTTCAGATGGTGAAATACCTGTGCAGAGATTTCTTAATTAAAATATTCATACTTATTTTTAAAGCAATTACCCCCTTGACAACTATAATAAAAAGAGACCCACAATCTAGTGGGCTCTTTTCTAAATGGAGTATAAAGTTGATAATATGATAGCATAAAAATTTAACCTATATTAAAAAAAGTACCTACTTATTATTACAAGAGTCTCTACTATCATAAATAGTTGAAATGTATGTTTTATTAATCTGATGTTTTAGGATCGATTTATCTAAATTAGTTTCTCTTAATTTTCTGATTATCTGAACTATTTGTCCATCAAAGAAGTTGCTCTAATTTTGTTATAATATTAATTTCTATTATTTTAATATCGATATTATTGGATCATCCAATATAAATAGTAAACTACTAATATTAGAAAATTAAATGCCCTATGTTTTTTAATTGCATAAAGGTAAGAATTCCAAATTAATTTAATTATTAGTAGTTCTAAACATTGAACTATTCGAATTGTAATAAAAAAATGTCCTTAAGTAGAAAGTATTTATTTCATTCTTTGTTAATTTTATATCTTCATTATATTCCTATTTAAATAGCAAGAAATTGATTAAATTTGAAGAATCCTATTTGATTTTATATTATAAAATGTTCAAATTACTGATTGTAATTGCTTCAAAGAAAAACAGAATTTAATGTTAAAGTTGAATTTTTTTAATTAATTATTTTTAAAAGCATTTTAAATTTATATATATAAATAATTATTTCTAACTTTTTTTTTTTTAAACTTAATCTTGGTGATGATTCCAGCTCTTTATTAATTTAATTAAGACTTCAGTTAATAACTAATCAAATTTACTTTTGGAATATTTTATATATGATTAATAAAAATATTGTAATAATTTTCCAATTCATAATTTTATTAGTTTAAGCATTAAAATGGTTATAGACTATTCCTTATTATATGTGGTCTCTACCTACTTTCATTTATAATAACTCGTTTTAAATTTCATCAGATTATTTTGCCCTATTCTATTCTTTTGCACTATTTGAAGCCATTAACTAATGAGATTTTCAATTATTGAAAGCATAAAAATCACATTTTGTAATTAATTAATCTCTTCCACAGCCTAAAATATTAGATTGCCAATTTTTAATATATTAATTAGTTTTGTTTTTGTTTGTGTTCAATCCTAAAAATATTTCTTTATTTATTCGAACCATTGTAATTTCCTATTTACTTCTCATAAGGAGTACTTAATTGAGGTATCTTTGTTGGCAATTATGTCCAATTTAGAATTGTCCTATCTAAGAATACAAGTAAGGTGGATATTCTGATTACTATTTTTGTTACATAGAATTACAATTTTATTAAAAATTCACACATTCCTTAGTTTATTTAAATAATTTGCTTCAAAATATCTAAGAAATAAAGGGTTAAAATTGACTTTTATCTATTGCTAATGTATTTAGAATATATTATTTTGAATGCTTGCTTCGAGAACTTGTGATAATTTTTAAGAATTTCTTCATAATTTTCACTAGTTTATAAATTTAGTTATATTAATTTTTATTAATGGTATTATAATTTATGTCAAGGTCATTTATTTGAAACAGATATTAAATACAACATTTTTAAATATGGTGAAAAAATTATTTAGGAAAATAGGAGGATTTTCTTGTAAAATGTTAGGTCTGAGATTAATTTTGTTATTGTTTAAAATATATGAAAAGAATCACTAAAAGTAACACAAAAAACAAACTTCCAAATTGGAAGACTTGAATTCTTATTCCGATTTAACAATCATTACAATTAGAAGAAAATTCAAATGAATATCAATTTTAGAAATAGTCTTTTCCATTTTTTTTTTTTATGATTATTGATTTAAATAAAAAATATATCACATCATGTGATTTAATTTATATTAAGTTAAAAAGTTTAAGAAAGATTTCTTAAATTCATAATATTAAGTTAATGCTTTTTAATTTCCATTTAATACTATGTTGCCTGTTTGTTCGTCTAAATGCCTAATGGTAATAACACTATACATATCTGACATACGATAATTTGTTTCTTGAGTCTACAAGCACAACAGCATACTATGAAGCAGAAGCATTTGTTAAAACCACAACACCCCTATCAACTGCCTATTTTATCAATTGCACAACTCCTTCTACAAGCTACATTACACTAAACAAAGATAATAATAGTGCTAAATAATATTATAGTCAAAATCCGCAAAGTGGGTGCTTTGTTTCCTTTGATCTATATTTTCATGATACTTGGTCAAACGAAGCCATCACCTTCTAAATTGCATCGTTTTCCTACACCTATACTTACACATCCCCAACAAGTTATCCTTTGTCATCAGGATTTTGTGATTCCATTGTTCATGACGTCAAAACCATAAATTTTACAATACCTTCGGCATCATATGGCTCTATAACATTTTCAACATCTGTGAGTGGGAATGGATAAGTATCATTAAGAAATATCATGTTTTCTCAATTTTCTATAACTTGTTTTCCATCTTGTTAATAATGCACAGGACCAGAATACAATTAATGTACAGCATGTTATTATGGATCGCCAACCAATAATATTTGCCCCTTATGCCCTTCAAATTTATTCTACAGATAAAATTCAGGTTGCAAACAAAATTGTCAATTTAATGTCCAAAAATATGTAAATGGATTCTGTTCCAGCAGTTATTGTAAATATTGATATAAATTTAGCATCATCACTTTTTGGATCTAGTTTCTACTCTTCTGCAAGTATTCTCTAATGTTCTTTGATTTATGATCCTCAGAATGTTGATACTACTCCTGGAATCCAGTACGTTAGATATAGCTCTTTGTTTGGATACTTTAAATTCAGCTCTGGATTTTATAGATTTATTAGTTTTTCTGCCAGCTAATAGAGTATTTATTTAATAGGATTGAAATTGGAGCTTTGGATTTTTAATGACATACCATAAGGATGTGGTATAGAATTTAAAATTAATAATACTTATTATGGTTCAATTTTCTAAACAAATTCAGGGGTTTAATCTCATAAAGTTGAGATAGAAGGCGTTAACTCCTAATCTGATTGTAATTCAACATACACTACTTGCCAGTTGTACCAAATATATGGATACTTTGATATTCCTCCATACTCGTTTTTATTGTCAGTGAAAGGGAATTATACGTAATATTATTTCTCTATACAAAGAATTTCACACTCCGCATGGGGAGTAAGTTATGTGAGTGTCTCAAAAGGATATTGCCCTAGTTCATGCTCGACTTGCGAATTACCATTTGTATGCCTTACTTGCATTTCAGGGTATTATAAATATAGAGATGGTACTTGCACATATTCCTGTTCTTAACCTTATCAGAAGCTTGTCGGTTCTTATTGTTAAGATTATGATGATGAAACTCCTTGTAATAATAGTGACTTATACTAGATTCTAAATTTTTGATTAAAGAGTATTTAAGTCTTGGAAATGACCCTGCATAATATTCAAAGTATACATTAGTATTTCAAACAGGTGTTAATCTCTTGAAAGGCTCAACTATCTTCTATTCTTATTGGAACTACATGAGAGTTTTCGGAGGTAAATATATTTGGGCTTAGGCTAAATTTTCAAGAACGTTTAGCATAACAGCTCCTCATCACGGTGTCACTATAGGATTTTACATATTGTATGGGCCTAACTTCCCTTCAGATGGTCTCTTTCGATATTCAATTGATTCTCTCGCAACAGTTGAAAAATCATTAAATGATGGATATACAATTAATGAGGACGAAGATGACGGTACAAAATAACAGAGAATTTATGAGAAAATAGATCATAATGAGAATTCAATTACAATTACATGGGAGTGTTTTGGATCAAATAATGAACCTGTAGAAGCATATTGTGCTTTTTATTATCTTTACATTGCTGTTCATTATTGTTAGCCATATTGTTTGGAATGCACAGATTAGACTACATGTACTCTATGGGAAAGTACGTATAACTCAAATGTGATTAAGTTTACTTAAGCAGAATGTTAGTCTAATGAATATTACTTTAGACCTTCTCTTACCTGTTTAGAATGTCCTTAATCTTGCTTGAGTTGCACTTCTCAATAATATTGTTCATCCTGTAAAGATACTTATACTTTAACAAAAGAAGGGTGTGTTTGTAATATAAATTAATTCGAGTAAAATAACTAATGTAATGATTGTCCGATTGAATGTAATTAATGTTTAAGTTCGACTCAATGTATAGAATGCTTAACAACAAATAACAGAAGGCTGGTAAATGAATAATGTGTGTGCATAGATGGTTATTATCCAATAATTGGTAGTCCAATTTGTTTAATTTGCCACAACTTTTGTGAAACTTGTTTTGGTCCAACAAATAGTGATTGTCTAACCTGCAAAAATATAAGTATGATTTAATAAGTAGAATCAACATGTTCATGTCCATTAAATACAAGTTATTAAGAGTCAACAAAATCATGTATTTCATGCCACTTCTCATGCTAAACATGCTTTAGATCAACTGTTAATGGTTGTCTTACTTGTGATGCATTATAGTTTCGTGTCTTGAAAGGATTAGAATGCGTTTGTCAACCTGGATATTACGAGATGAACGATGCTTGTACAGGTATTAAATTAACATATCACATAGCCTGTCCATTAGAGTTAGATAATACTTTGAGTTAATGTTTTAAAGAATGTAATAGTAATTCAACAATTTGGCACGTTGAAATATGCAATTCATGTGATGATGGTTTTGTACTTGAATATGGTGAATGTCGGCCTATTTGTAATGATCTTTAAGTGTCAGGATATGAATAATGCGAAGATGGAAACAGTTTATTAGATGATAAATGCTTCAATTGTTAATATTAATGTCCACTAAATTGTTTGACTTGTGATTCATCTACAATTCTGCCTTGTCCTGATGTATGCGGAGATGGTTTAATAACAGGTAATGAAGAATGCGAGGATGGAAATAATATTCAATATGATGGATGTCACAATTGTAAATATTAATGTTAACCTTAATGTACAAAATGCATAAAAGGATTATGTTATGAATGCGCAACATTCGGATGGTACATCGATCCTACTTAGAGTCCTTGGATTTGCAAAGAGAAGTGTGGAGATGGCTTAATAGTAGGTACTGAATAATGCGAAGATGGAAACTCTATTGACACAGATGGATGCAAAGATTGCAAATATTATTGCAGACCAGGTTGTAAATCTTGTGATTACACAAATAAAATATGCTTGAGTTGTGAAACAGGATTTAAACCAGTCTCATACTATTGCTAGAACATATGCGGAGATGGTTTAATAGTGACTGATCCAAATGGAATTTATATTGAATAATGTGATGATGGCAATACTACCTCTGGAGATGGATGTTCTAGTACTTGTAAATTTCAATGTCAATCATCAACTATTTGCTTATCTTGTGTTGAGTTAAGATGCGAGAGTTGTGCTGCAGGGTATATACTAACAGCAGACAAGGTTTGCCTACCTGTTTGTGGAGATTCTGTTAAAGTAACATCGGAACCTTGTGAAGATGGATTAATACTGCCATATTAAGGATGTTAAAATTGCAAACCCAAATGCTAACCTTCTTGCAAAAATTGTAGTACAACAGGTCTGGGATGTTTATCATGTGATACTGGATATCAAAGAATAAAGAATACATGTCATCCTATCTGTGGTGATAAATTAATAACGCAAGATGAAGAATGTGATGACGGTAATCTAGTTTATGGAGATGGATGTCATTAATGTAAATTCAATTGCGAAGATTCTTGTGCATTCTGTCTCAAAGGCGTTTGTTTAGATTGTATAGTAGGATATGTATTAAGTAAATCAAGGTGTTTTTCAATTTGTGGAGATGGAATCTAAACAGTCAATGAATAATGTGAGAATGTTGGGGATATAGAACCTTTTAATGCATGTAATAATTGTCAATTCTAAAATGGAGAAAATTGTTAAATTTTCAACTTTGGTCTCTGTTAGCTTTGTAAAGAAGGATACGAATTGTCTCCAAATTTATCATAATAATGTATTAAATCATTAGATTAACCTAATGGTATTGTTGATCATAGTTTGTTTCCCCTTTAAGATAATTGTTTAAAATGCAATCTTTAAGCTGATTATGATGAATTCAACCAAACTTGTATACTCCATTAAGAAACATAAATCTATTGTGAATTGGCTATGAAATTATCTCCAAATCTCTATTGCAATTATTGTTTTCCATTGTGCATTGAATGTAATAATGAAGTTTGCGTTAAATGCTAAGAGGGCTATTATCTAAACTAAAAAGACCAATGTGTATCTTAATGTGGAGATGGAATCCTTGCTTTTGATGAATAATGTGAATTTAATGATAAGGATTGCTATAGTTGCTAGACTCTGAAACCTTAATATTGTAAACATTTTCATGAAACTTGTTTATTATGTTAATATGGCTATCACCTAGATGTTGTAAACAATTCCTGTTACTCAGTTTGTGGGGACAATCTAGTTGCATCGAATGAAGATTGTGAGGACGGTAATGAATTTAAATATGATGGATGTTATAATTGTAAGTATCAATGCCAATTGGAATGTTTAGATTGTCAATTGGGTAAGTGCTTTTAATGTGATGATACACTTGTGTTGAATTAGTCCAAAAGAATATGTGAAGATTTGAGATTGTGTGATGATAAATAAGGATTATATTATGATGATTTTACAAATGGTTGTGTGGCTAGATGCGGAGATGGAATAGTTGCTGGTAAGGAGGATTGTGATGATAACAACACCCAACCCTATGATGGTTGTTTTGAGTGCGGTTATCAATGTGATAAGAATTGCACTAATTGCTAAAAGGGAATTTGCTTTGAATGCCAATTAGGATTTCAATTAAATCAACAGAAGTGTCAATCTTAATGTGGAGATGGAATCAAAAATGGAAATGAGGAATGTGATGATTAGAATGATATACCTAGAGATGGGTGTACGTAATGCAAAGTGGATCCAAATTACTAATGTCAAGAAGATACCAGTAACCTGAGTTTTTGTTATAAATGTCAGGATCACTGTCTTGAATGTAATTACAGAGATTTGGCAATTATTGAATGTTAGAAATGTGAGAGTGGATACTTTCTAAAGGATAACTCATGTAATTAATGTTCAGAGAAGTGCGAAGAATGTGAAAATTCTCCCAATAATTGTAAATAGTGCATGACACAGGATTGCTCCACATGTGACAATATCTCAGGCTTATATTTAGATAAATAATTAAAATCATGTATTCCTAAATGTGGCGATAACATAATTGCAGGGATCGAGTAATGTGATGATGGTAATAATATAGATATGGATGGTTGTAACTCAAAATGTAGCATAGAAAAAGATTTTATTTGTAATCAAGGTGTTTGTTTTGAACCACCGAAAAAATCAATTGACTTTACTTACAAGAATTCTACCACTACAAGCGACATTGATTTGCTGTTTGGAGAAGTAGAATTGGAAGGAGTTTGTGATAAATTATAAATAACCATAGAAGAATTCTAAACAAATGAATTCAATTATTCAGTTTTCAAAAAATCTGAGGTCGAGGACAATAAGGTAGGGTGTGAAATAAGGTTTGACTTCTTCAAGACTATTTTAGAATCAAATCTAATTCATTTGCTTGTGCCTTTAGTTGAAGAATCAAATAGAATTCTCATTGAAGAATCCAGAGAAATAGTGATAGTTCCCAGGAAAAAAGTCTATTACAATTAAGAATAATAAGCCCAAGCAAAAAGTGTAGTTGCAGCCTCATCTACATTTACATTTTTACTTCAACTAATTGGGCCACTAACAATAGTTTTGGGCGGATTTAATTTTTTCTGGACCATTTTAGATATTTTGACATGGATCAATAATTTCTATTTCCTAAACGTAGACTATCCTCTAAATGTCAAGATGTTTTTTAATTAATTAGAATGGGGCGATATAATCAATATCCCAGATGTCCTATCATTAAATTAACCAGGTGATGCATATTATTTTGAAGCTCCTCCTAAATTTGCAGAGAAAGATGTTAACCCCTTATTCTTCAATAATATTCAATTATTCGTTGCAATGATTTTTCTTGTGTTCATTTTGGATTTTGTATCAAGATTCTATGTTCACTTGATCAATAATAAATATTACAAAAAATCTTAAACAGTTCATCAAATAAAAATCTTCTCAGTTTATTAGTAATCCAATATAGATCCAAGTATCAATAAATCAGAATAGATCATAAAATAGTTCTCTCAACCTACACAAAAACCTCCACATATACTAGATCTAATTTATAAAGAGGCAGTGTGGTTTAATCAGAATTTTAGAGCAAAATTAATCTAAGTTATTGGCTTGGTGTTTTTAGATATATGTTTAGCATGTGTATTGTAATTAAAATATACAAAGAATTCAGACTTTGTTATTATTATCATTAACATCGCATTTGCTTATTTGGGTGTACTATTTATAGTAACAGTGTTTAAATTGTATAAATTTGTTTGTTCCCAGCATCCCATTCTTTATGTAAATAAATAATTTTCTTACTATTATTCTTCCTTATATGAAGGAATCAACACTAATAAGAATTTGGCTAAAAATTACTGTATCGTAAATTTGATCCGTAAGACCATGTTTATCTTCTTTACTGTTTATTTTTACGAATTACCTTTGCTCTAAACATCCTTTTGTTGTTTATCGTGCTTTTCCAATTTGGCTTTGATTCTTTATGAAAACCCTTTTGAAAATAAAAAGATCCTAATTTAAACAGCCATTCCAGACATGTGCATATTCATAATTATTTTCTTGACTGTTGTCTTAGCTATTCATGATGTTAGCTAGATATTAACATTTGATGAAAAGTATATGTTAGGCTGGATTATTCTATTTTTCATAGGCTTCTCTATATTTGTACAACTAATTTTCCTGTTTAAGCAATTTTATGAGGATATGAAAGAAAGATATAATTCAATAAAAGAATTTATTAGGAAAAAATAAGAACAGAGCAAAGGATGATTTGTAAAATTATTTAAATGTATTTAAATTTTATATTAGAACTTTCATTTATTTTATTTTAAACAATTACATTCTTACCTAATGATAAGTGACATTTGATTAATTTAGATTTGTGCTTTTAGGAATTAAATTTTAGCTACATTAATTTTATATAAAATAATGGAGCATTAAAATGTTTTTAAATATTTAAAGTAAAATAAGTGACGAAAATAGCTGTTCATTCTATTTATCCTAAGGTTTTGTTTTATGATTATTATTTATTTTAATGTCTAAAATGGTTTTCTTAATTGAGTCATTGACTTTATATTAAAATTATTTTTTTTTCTATTCAATTAAAGTGAACTATAAAGGACAAGGTTGTAAGAGTGGAAGTATCATTCAAAACCTATTAATCGAAAAATCAGAATTGAACTTTAGGAACATGTCTCGAAAGTAATTTAAATTCATCAATCACTATTTAATTGTATTTTAATAGAAACAAAATGTACATTTAAATTTTATAAATAACCATCGATACTTATTTTAAATTAGTAATAGAATTAAAGGGCTATTTAGGTTAATGATTTAGAAATAATTTCAATATTTTAAATTTAAATGGACAATAATTAAACACTAATATGTTCAGAACATCAAATGCAAGTGCAATTGATTGTTTTAAATAAATAATTGACAAAGTAATAGAGACTATTGTGCCAGTAGTGTATCAACAATATGGAGGGAAATTATAGGTTTATTGGATATGATAAATTTAAATAATATGTAGATGATATTCAACATGAAAAGAATCAAATAATTGATAAAGTAGTCAATAAAAAATTAGAAATAATTGAAATAATTTAGAACTAAGTTGATTAATCAAAATCTGAGTAAATTCAAAAATTTGATCTCCTGCAATCTTAGATTAACATTTGGAAAGAAAATTTAAATAAAACAAAAGCGATATATTAATAATCGAATTATTATTAAAATGTTGATTTATTTTTGGAAAACGGTTTACAATATCTGTAAATAAACCAATTACAATTCTACACAGAATTGAGGGAGACTCTAATCGCTCTTCAACAAAATTATTAACCAAAGATAATTCTATTGCTTAATCAGCTTATTGAAATTCCAAAATTACTCTAAGCAAATTATGGCATTTTTGAAGCTCTCTAGAATGAGGAAATATCAAACTTAAAAGTGGATAAACTATCGACTAAAGTAGAAATTAAATAAATGAATGAGGTTTAGGCTTAAGATGAATGGTGTTATGCAATTCAATTTGATAAAAAAGGAGAAAAAATGATATCTACTTCTTCCAAAGATATAAAAGTCTGGAGCTTTAATCAAGGCAAATTTCAATTAATATAAAAATTGAAAGGACATCTAGATAATGTAACGTGTTTACTATTCGCTCCATAATCTGATTGCATCATCTCAGGCTCATAGGATCAAACCCTAATGTGCTGGAGTATGAATGATAAAAATTAATATATATCCTAATTTACAGTCAAGTAGCATAGTGCGAAAGTTTATTGCATTATTTTAAATCAATTTGGAGATGAACTTATCTCTTCAAGCAAAGATAAATCAATTAAAATCTGGAAATTTGATCCAGTTGGCAAAAATTTACAGATTTAATAATCATTAGAAAAACATAATGATTCTGTGTACTCGGTGTGTTTAAATTAGTCAGAAACTTTATTAGCCTCTTGTGGACAGGATCAATAAATAATAATTTGGAAAAGAGACGAATAAAGTAAATGGCAATTCAATTAGGTTGTTACTTAATCAATCCAAGATTTTGGTAAGAAACTTCTATTTCTAAATGATGATTAATTATTATGGATGACATCTAGTTAATATAATAACTGTATCTAGGTCTATGAATCCAAAAATGGAGTATTCCTGGAAAATGAGGAAAAGACAATTTCTCTAAACGGAACTTCACAATAGGACTATGTCTCATTTCCAATACAATATAACAGGGAAAAGAACTTGCTGATTGTGAGACATAAATCAATTATTTATTTATTGAGATAATCTTTTGAAGGTAAATTTGTAATTTTTACCAAAATACCCTGCTAGGATGAAAATAGTTATGGGGCTCTATCACCTGACGGAAAATATCTGGTATTTTGGGACTGCAGGTATTACAAGAAATAAAGAACTAATGGATAGTATTAGGTAATTGAATTCATTTATTAATGATTTTGATTACTATAACTTTTTCAGAGTGAATAAAAGTATTATAATTGCAAAAAGTTTATTTCAATCTAAACATTTCATAAAAGTTTCATTATCATATTTCAATATCATTTATTTAATGATTGTATTATTTCTATATATTTTTGGAATAATTCTCAAATTACCCTTAATTTTAGTCCTAGATTATCTTTAATCACTGTTATATTGATAAATTAAGATTTAAATAAAGTCAATTATAGATCCATTCACAAAATGAAAATAAATTATCAACTATTATTTATTAATATACAATTCCTTAGGATTAAACAGTCACTTTCCTTTCATAAAGCCTATAATGTTTAAACAAATTTACAAAGTTTGACGCAGTTGAACTTAATTATTCTATCTAATTCAAATTAATTAACTAAATATTCATAAAGATGTCTGAAATGTTCATAGATTAAAGTTAATCTATAATAAATCATCTCTGAAATGAATAAAATTACTTAAAGAAGGTTCTTAGTTCATACAACTATTGGAAGATTGTTATAAAACTGAAACTGTATTGTTTTTTTATCTCATATCTTTATCATTAAAATAAGCCAATGAGATTTAATTATCTAGTCATTAAAAAGTGAATTCAAGCAAATCAAGGATTAAAAATACATTAGATTTATAAAATCAAATGATATCAAAAACGATAATTTAAGGAATTGTTTCTTAACTCCTTTACCTTCGTCCACATTTACAGATGATAAAGTGAAGGATTGAGTGATTATGATGGCATTTAAGAGATGGAGCCAGGGTAGGAAACTTCAGAGTTCACAACTCCAGAGTAGATTACTGAGGCTAGTTTATTGGGGAAGATGTTGAATTCATGTCAGTAGTTGCAACAAATCGTACATGATTACAAAGAAGGATTTCTGAGTTGATTTAATATATGAGGGCAAAAATTTCTGAATCAACAAAAATTTTTAGAAAGTAGATGTTTGTGTGATGAAAAAAATATATTAATGATGATTGGAATCATCGAAGAATTAAAATGAACAAGAGGAATATTTCTAAAAACTCAAATTCTTTAAATATGGAAATTTGGATTGTAAACTTAAAATTTCTGATTAGATCTTACTAAGAAGATTAAGAATTCATTTATCCAAAATTTTGAGTGGGTATGTTTATGAATTTCATTTAATTCTTAAAAATATTCCTCTTTTATAATTTATATAGTCTATCTGAATCTATATAATATGAATAAGAGAAAATGTTAGAATAAAAGATATTTTCTTCTATAATAATTTTGAATATTTTATAGTTTGATTGTTATACTACATTTTTTTGAGGATGTTCATCAAATTATTATTAAATCTGATAATAAAATCATATCAAAACAACTTTTTATTATTAGGGCATGTTGTTCCTAGATTTAAAATTAAAGAGGTTTAAGAAGTTTTTAATTCACAAAATTTTCTTATGGAAAGATAATAAATGTTATTTAATCAGCCTTAGATTTAGAAAAACGGTATTTGATTTGAATTTCTATGTTGAATAGTGATAGTTTAATGAATTTGGAGGATTTTCAAAGATAAATCAAATTTCTAGTCACAGATTACTTTGCATAACTGTGAATGGTAATATTTTCCTTATTCATGAATACTTCACTCCGCACCAGCAAGGTTCAAAACATTATTAACAACTTAATAGGAATGAATTCAAGATATTAAATTAGCAATTTATTGATATACTCTTAAGCTAAAGTTAAAACATGTAGAAAAAAAAACATAATTAAGAAATCAAAATTATGGAAGAAATATGATACTTAAATCTCCAAAAGTATAAACATTTATATAAATAACCATATTGTACAGATAATTTCAATCATTAAAGGAAATTTCTTTTACTTTTATTAACCCTCTCTCCTTTGTATTCTTCATTTCTGTCCAAATCCCTATTTTTTTATGGTTTTTATAAGCTCCACTATAAACAACTTACGAACTATTATTGTAATCATCACTCAATTCATTCCACCTACCAATCTTAATCTCGAATCCTCCTTCATCATATGATCCTCCACCGCTAGAGATATCATTTAATTTTTATTTTACATCTATTTAAAGGATTTATGTTAATCCTCCCTGTACCTAATATCCCATCGACCACATTTAATACCAGCTTGGTATTCACCAGCATATATAATTTACGAAGTATCTCTAAATCCATCTTACAACTCAATCCATTTCCCAATTTTCATGCCATTGCAAGCTTTGTCATACGAACCGCCTCCACTAATGATTTCTGTAATAATGTACATAGATTTAAATTGTTTTTAATTCACTTGTCTATACTTAATATCCCATATTCCAACCTTTTAATCAACTTAATATTCACCATTATAAATGATCTGTGAATATCTTGCAAATTCAGTGCTCAACTCAATCCACCTACCAATTTTCATACCATTACATCTTTCATCATAAGATCCACCCCCACTATATTAAATATTTATTATTTGTACATTTATTCTTCTCTATACTTTATAATCCATTCACCAAATTTTTTGTTTTCTTTGTATTAACCTTCATACGTGATGTAAGAAGCATCTCTAAACGAATCACTTAATTCTATCCACTCCCCAATTTTAATATCATCGCATCCTTCTTCATAGAATCCACCGCCGCTAAACTAAATTTTGTTACTTTACATGCATTCGTTATCTTATGTGCTAGGATCTTAATACCAAATATTCCATTTATTTATTTTATGACCATTTTTATATTCACCAGCATACGTTACTTATTTATCGTCTCTAAATCCTTCACATAATTCGATCCAATCCCCATTCTTAATACCATAACCATCTGCATCATAAGACCCTCCTCCACCAAAAATTTAATTTCTAAATTACATCTTATTGTTAGGCTCATATTAATCTTTCTTATAATTGATATCCCATCTGCCAACCTTATAACCATTTTTATATTGACCCGAATAACTCACTTATGAATAATGAAAAAATCCATCGCTTAGCTCAGTCCATTATCCCATCTTAGTTTCATTACCTTGTAAATCATAGGATCCGCCACCTCTAACATAAGATTGAAATGAATTCCCTACATCTATTTGAAGGGTTCATGCTAATCTTCCTTATAGTTAATATCCCATCTGCCAACTTTATAACCGTTTTTATATTAACCAGAATAAGTCACTTATGAATAATCAAAAAATCCGTCATTTAATTCAATCCATTCTCCAATTTTTGTTTCATTACCTTCTAAATCATATAACCCACCTCCACTAAAATTAATCATATTTGCATTTTACATAAATTATTTTTTGTACATAATATCCCATCGGCCTACTTTTTTACCATTTAAATATTCGCCATAATAGGTCACTTGTGATGCATCCCAAAATCCTTCACTTAACTCACTCCATTTCCCAATTTTAATTCCATTATCATAATGTCCAATTTCTCTAAATTCATTTCAATAAGTTACTCTATTTAATCTTTCCATTTCTAACTCCAAGCACCTACTCTTTTATCCTGTTTGTAATAGCCTATCTCAACTACTTTTTTTTCGCTAAAATACTTTAAATTGTTATGATTACTCCCAATAATTTTCACATAAATCAATCCATTTTCCTTCCTTTTCGCCTAATATATTGTACAAACCACCACCAACTTATTATCCCTTCCAAATAATATCCCACTATTTATATTTATATCCATCAACTCCATATTATCCCTCGAATCGCAGATGTTTTATTTATTCAAGATTTAGGATTACTTATTCCTCTTTTTAACCTTATTTAAGCTTATCTCTTTAAAATAAATAATCTATTTTACACTCTTAGAGTATATCCATTTTTCGAATAAACCTTATCTCCATTCGGTTGGGTCATTAATGAAAATTTTGTTGGTTTTAAGCCTTCATTTTATTTTTCTAATCCATTGAATTAAATAACTATTTGCTTCTTTTACTTTTAAGCCCTTTTTAAGGAAATACATTTACAAAATATTTTTGACGAAATCAATTGAATGATTAAGACTATACGCTGAACTCACTAATTTTTCCCAAAATATAATAACCTTAGGCATTTATTATAAAACAGCATCCTTCTTTTGCCACCAATCTTTTAAAGTATTTTCATTTAAAAATTCGATTAGAAATTATAAGTCTTCATTAGAGCATTCGAGTGGATTTAGGTGTTATCCTAATAAATTTTGAAACCTACTGTCTTCTTAATGAACAAATTTTGAAATACAATTTATTAATTCCTTTAAGTTCGAAAGTAGAAATATTATTTCCTCTTACAATTTTTCAAGTTAAGTTTGAATTGTTTTAAATTAAGTAACGCTATTGGAAAGCTGATACTCTGATTATAATTTCGAGAATTTTTCTAGAATCTATTCCTAAAAAATATGATTTAAAATTAATTGATGATTGAAGTCCTCCTTTTTGTAACCACATAAGGAACAAAATTTTCGTTAACATTGATGTTTGGCCGTACAAATACTGATTAATTGAAATTAAGGGTGAAAGTCACAAAATTGCTGAGAAGTGTACATCAATTAAAATATTAACAATAAATAGTAACCTTATTTCAAATTATTCAAATTTATAGTTTCAATAAAATAATTCTATTATCATCTTTCTGGAAGGAATAGAAAACCATTCAAAATTACAAAGAAATCACTATAGATTATATCATAATTCAAATTTGTAGAGGTAAATAATTATTTTATTAATTTTTTTTACAAACTCATTTATTAGGCTTCTAATTCTGTAAGGTTGAGAATGAAACTTAATCTTATGTTTCAAGTGTAACTTGGTTTATGATTCCCAAAAACTTAAACTAAATGATTCTATTTGATCTTCAACCCTTCATCATTCTAGAGAATGTTCTTATCTATAATAGTTGCATCTTGATTCTCAATTAATAGATCCTTAATTTAACTTTTGTGATATCTTGACCCTAATTTACTTTAAGCATTTTCATTATTCTTGCTTAATACTAATATGTATTTTTAATTTTATCAAATAGTGAATCATTTTATATATTGTTCAATTGATTGTTTGAAAGAAGTCCAAAAAAAAAATTTATATAAGCTTATAATAAAATATCTTTGAATATTTTACTTCGAATAAATGTCAAAAAGGAGTTGCTTAATAATAAATAATATATTTCATATTTGTCTAATAAATGACAAACCCATGAAAAAGATTTAGAATTGATTTTTAAATATACGTTGGCATTAATTCTCAATATATTCAAGAAACTACAATTGAGAGGAGGTTAATATATGCTAATTGATTTTAAACTGATCTTCATTGTTAATTTAAAAATCGCGATAATATTTGAAATAGCATCCACTTAATTAAACTAACCTATTACATTAATAAACAAAGAATAAATTATCGAATATCTTCACTGTTTTATCGAAAATTTTTTGAAAAAAATAATATTTTAATGAAATGAAATATTGATTTCAATATTGACTACTAATTTTATCAAATTATAAAGCACTATTAGTTCAATATTAAATTTAAAATTTGAATTAAGGACAAAATGGATTTTATTTGAAAGAAGTTTATCATAAAGAACAGATGTGCTTCTCAGGATTTAATTTTTCGTAAATACAATAAATTTCCTCAAATTACTAAAATTAACTGGTAATTAATTAAGTATTTAACATTTCCTTGATTCTTGAATTTGGTTATGAATTAATAAAAGAATTAAAAAACTTAATTTTAGGTTCTTAAAATTGCATCAAGATCCTAAAAAGAATGGTGCTAAGCAATTGCAATAAATGATGATTGCTCTTTACTTTTTATAGGATTTAAATCAGCAATTAAGGCTTTTGGATTCAATAAGGAGAATCTGAAACAGCATCAAATTCTTAATCATCATACTAATTATATAACTGCTCTAAAAATATGTAAATCTAAGTTTGCTAGCTCTAATTACTTTCTCATATCAGCATCAGATGATAAGACAATCATAATTTGGGAATAAGCAGGCTCATAATTCTAAAATCCATCTTGGAGTTGCTATTAAAGATTATACGGGCATGAGAATAATGTAAATTGCTTTCTGTTTTTAGAAGAAGAAGAATGCATCATATCTGGCAGTGCAGATTTTTCAATAAAATTTTGGAACACAACCTAAAAAGACAAGTACAAATGGTCCTGCTTATAAACAATTCAAAATCATTCCTCTGAGATATGGGCATTGTCTATTAATCAATCTCAAGATATTCTGATATCAAGTGGAGAGGATGGAGTAATATTGGTTATAGAGTAGAATTCTAAAATTTGGATTGTGAAGTAAATAATTCAAGTTAAAGAATTTGGTTATAGAATTAGCTTTGTTGGAAATAATGTTTTTTGTTTTTAACCAGTATCTGGAAAATAACTGCATGTTTATCAAATGAATAATAACTAATCTTTCATCAAATCAAAAGACATCATTCTTTAAGAAGGAAACTGCAATTGTAAACCATACTTTCCAGCTACTTATATCAAATAAAAATCTCTTTTAATTAGTAAAGTGGGTTGTAAAATCAATCTTATTAGCATTTGCCACAACAGTGAGGAAGGTTATGTAGAATTAGTTCTTCAATAAGAAATTGATTTTGGAACTACAGATGGATGGGGATACATTTATGGATCTATTAGTGATGATGGCGTATATATAGCAACATGGGACTACAAATCACAAGAAATTTAAATAAGAGAATTAAAAGAAAAATAAGAAATCAAATAATATTGAGTTATTAAAAATATACATATAACATTTAACTAAATATAAGAATTCAAGAAAAACTTTAANTACTAATTTTATCAAATTATAAAGCACTATTAGTTCAATATTAAATTTAAAATTTGAATTAAGGACAAAATGGATTTTATTTGAAAGAAGTTTATCATAAAGAACAGATGTGCTTCTCAGGATTTAATTTTTCGTAAATACAATAAATTTCCTCAAATTACTAAAATTAACTGGTAATTAATTAAGTATTTAACATTTCCTTGATTCTTGAATTTGGTTATGAATTAATAAAAGAATTAAAAAACTTAATTTTAGGTTCTTAAAATTGCATCAAGATCCTAAAAAGAATGGTGCTAAGCAATTGCAATAAATGATGATTGCTCTTTACTTTTTATAGGATTTAAATCAGCAATTAAGGCTTTTGGATTCAATAAGGAGAATCTGAAACAGCATCAAATTCTTAATCATCATACTAATTATATAACTGCTCTAAAAATATGTAAATCTAAGTTTGCTAGCTCTAATTACTTTCTCATATCAGCATCAGATGATAAGACAATCATAATTTGGGAATAAGCAGGCTCATAATTCTAAAATCCATCTTGGAGTTGCTATTAAAGATTATACGGGCATGAGAATAATGTAAATTGCTTTCTGTTTTTAGAAGAAGAAGAATGCATCATATCTGGCAGTGCAGATTTTTCAATAAAATTTTGGAACACAACCTAAAAAGACAAGTACAAATGGTCCTGCTTATAAACAATTCAAAATCATTCCTCTGAGATATGGGCATTGTCTATTAATCAATCTCAAGATATTCTGATATCAAGTGGAGAGGATGGAGTAATATTGGTTATAGAGTAGAATTCTAAAATTTGGATTGTGAAGTAAATAATTCAAGTTAAAGAATTTGGTTATAGAATTAGCTTTGTTGGAAATAATGTTTTTTGTTTTTAACCAGTATCTGGAAAATAACTGCATGTTTATCAAATGAATAATAACTAATCTTTCATCAAATCAAAAGACATCATTCTTTAAGAAGGAAACTGCAATTGTAAACCATACTTTCCAGCTACTTATATCAAATAAAAATCTCTTTTAATTAGTAAAGTGGGTTGTAAAATCAATCTTATTAGCATTTGCCACAACAGTGAGGAAGGTTATGTAGAATTAGTTCTTCAATAAGAAATTGATTTTGGAACTACAGATGGATGGGGATACATTTATGGATCTATTAGTGATGATGGCGTATATATAGCAACATGGGACTACAAATCACAAGAAATTTAAATAAGAGAATTAAAAGAAAAATAAGAAATCAAATAATATTGAGTTATTAAAAATATACATATAACATTTAACTAAATATAAGAATTCAAGAAAAACTTTAACTAAAATAAAGTTAGAGAGAAATATTTTATAACTTAAGGATGAAAACTTATGAATATTTAGGATTCCATTCTTTGAGATAAATTCCAGAGCTAATTCTAATAAAAATTAGATGGAACGAATATATTTAGAGATTTCTCATAATACAAGTCTTGGAAATATGAAAACACATGATAAATTGGCAAGTTCTAATAGAGTTCCATTTATAAAAGATAAGAGAAATGTAATCATTATATTACAAACGCTTTAATATTCCAAAAAATATAATGATCATGTCAAAAGCCGCATTGATTAAAGAAAAATCTTTGATTATACTTTGTCAAATCATAATTTATCTAACGATACTCAAGTTTAAAAAAGTTATTAACTTTCAATTAAGTAAATTAATTGAGAGATTTTACCATTTCTTATCTGATTAAATGTTTAATCGCTGATTCAATTAAAAATTGAGTTTATGATTAAACTGATTATGATAGTTTTCATAATTATTTATACAAAAATAGAATAAATAGAAAAAATGATGTATTAATCCTTTGATATATATTCAATAATTTGTGCCGATACTAAAATGTATTCTCTCCCTTAAATCATTATTAGCTGAAAAGTTACTTAATCTCACATTCTTTGTGTTCCTTCCCAGCCGCAAGCATTATGACCCATTCCCCATTTTTCTAACCATTTTTATACTCTCCACTTTAAATGAGTTAATTTGCACTATTCATAATTCATTAATAATACTTTCTAAATTCATCAGCTATTTCAATCCATTTGCCATTTCTCATTCCAATTTCATCAAATAATCCAAAACCTCTATAATTAATTTCTTATTCAAATCATTACATCAATTTTAAGATGGAACTCTCCTTCAACATAGTATTCCAAATACCTTTTTTTATACCTTTTTAATATTCACCAATAAATGTAACTTGCTTGCAACTTTATAATTGTATTAAATAATTATTAATACAGATTATAATCGCTAATCAATTCTTCCCATTTACCAGTCTTTAATCCATTGTTATCAAATTATCCACCTCCACTAGTATTTATTTTGATTTCTTACATTTTAGTCCTAAATTAAAAGGTATCACCATCATATCTTGTTTCATTGTAATACACAATGGTCCATTTACTACTTCTTCTACCGTTTTTGTATTCACCTTGATAAATGTAGCTATTATATCTGTAAAAATGGTATAATAATTATTCAATAATATACTCTGAATATCTATCGCTCAAATCAATCCAATATCCTTCCTTCATTCCTTCTATATTATAAAAACCTCCTCCTCTAATTATTTTTATCATCATATTAATAGATACATAGTTTCTCCTTCAAATTTAGTACTCCATTGACCATATTTTTTATTATTTTTATATTTTCCTTTAGATATTACTTAAGCATTTCTTTAATTAATCAAAATAACTTACCTACTAAAGTAATCATCTAATTCGACCCATATACCTTCCTTCCAACCATGTAAATCATATAATCCTCCACCACTTTATAAAAGGCATCATAATTACATCTTTTCATATTCATCATCAATCCTCGATCTAAATTATGAGGTCCACATTCCTGACTTTAAGCCATTTTGATATTCTCCTTAAAATATAAGTTAATAATTCCTATTTAAATTATTGATAAATATACACCTGTAAAATCTATCACATAATTCTACCCAAACACCATTTTTCACACCTTTGAGATCATAAGATCCACCGCCACTAAAATAATAAAGCAAAAATAATTACATTACTCTAAATTTGTCCCCACTATACTCTTTAAACAGAGTAGCCCATTTACCAATTTTCAAACCATTTTGATAATCTCCACTGTATGTAATTTAAATGTAGCTATAATATTTCTAAATCAATGGAATCTACCTCTAAAATTAACTACATAGTTCGACCCAGTTGCCTTATTTCATTCCATGTTCGTTAAAATTTCCTCCGCCACTTTATAGGTTTATATAAAATATACATTTATTAAAACTTTGACTCTTCTGAGAACCGTTACTAAGTATTCCATCTTCCATATTTTTTTCCAAATTGATATTTACCTTCATAAATGACTTGACTAAGACTAATAATTTATAAATAAATTAAGAACATGCTAAAGAAATCACTTAATTCTATCCAATCGCCATCCTTTTAACCTTCATTGAAATATCCTCCTCCTCTAGATCGATGCTCTATAAAATTTTTACATCTTTGTGAATTCATAATTTCCTTTCCCTCTATACATGGTATTCCATGCCCCGCACTTTTTACCGTTTTAATAATCACCTTCATAAATAATTTAGCTTGATCTAAAATGTATTTAGTTGAATCATACCTTTAAAATTTTTCACCTAATTCTAACCACTTACCATTTTTTAATCCATTTTCCTTGTAAACTCCTCCACCACTAGATGAAAACAAAACTTTACATCTTTTTGTTTTCGAACACATAGATCCAAACACCTTATCTAATTCCATTTACGTAGTCTCCTATCTCATACACTTTTGCTTAGCTTGTAATATCATTTATGTATAATTACTCCCAAAAGTTATTTATCATCTCTTTCCAGATCCCTTCTTTATTGCCATTTTCATTGTAGAGTCCTCCAACTCCTTCATAATCGTCTTTCCATTAAGCAGTCCATTTTCCTATTTTTTTGAAATTCTAGTCCCAATTGCCTTTCCAATGTAGATGGTTAATTTATTCTAAATTTGTCATTATTTATTGGGCCCCATAGCAATCCCTTTAATCAAAGTTTTATTTACATTCTAATTATTCTTCCATCAATTGAATAAAGAATTTCATTATTATCAGACAGTTTGAACTAAAATTTCTTTTTGATTAACATATAATCATCGTTCTCATTAGGTGTTAAGCCATCCCCTTCTTAAAATTCTTTAGTAACTTATATTTGTTTTGGAAAATTATTTTATAAAATCTAATGTATCATTATATTTAATACAAAATATACTTTGATTTTTTAATTGAAATATCTTATTATATCAATTTTTGGCAATTAAATATAAAAGAATTAAATTTAAACTATGAAATAGAAAAGAATTTGAAATCCATTCAAAGAAAACAAGCTAAAATAATCTCTTAGAATAACAACCCTAATTATTTTGTATCTTTTGTTATGTATGATACGAAAATTAATGAATTAGCTAAAAATTGAATGATAAAAATTTAATTTTCAATTATAATTTCATAATTCTATTTCCGTATTTATATAACCAATATTTCTCATCCTATATTTTACTAAAATATAAAAGCCTATTATTTAGAATATTATAATAGCAATTAACGAATAAATCCATCTTCTTGAAGGAGTATCTAAGTCAGGAAGTATAAAAGTTATCTTATAAGATCCAGATGAAAAATCATTCTTGCATGAAGTCATCACTTGGAATGTATTTCTTTTTTCCTTATAATGGCATTTTAACATTCTTGTATATATTGGATAATATAAAACTGACCCATTATTCAATGCAAGGCATGTAGCGTTTTCACCCTCTTGATTTGTAATTAAAGCAAATCCGAGAGATGTAGTATTTAGCTATCCTAACATCAAAATAGGCTCTTCAAAATTGTTATTGAGTAATTTGGTAGTTTAGTAAACTCCTATAATATAGGTACTTCCTTATTTAAATTGTTGAAGTAGCAAGCCATTGGAATATATAGAATTTGGAATTAACGCCAAACCATTAGAACTTGGGGTAGTGGCGATAACTTTTCTAATTCCATCAAAAAAGGGCTAAAACAATTATAATATTAAAAATTATCCAAAGCCATCAGTACTGGAGATAAAGATGAATATTTAATTGTTAATTATTTGCAATATCAAAATTTAAACATATAGAACGGGTTTAGGGCTAATAATAAATCTGTGAAAATCATTTTTTTTCAATGTTATTGAATTTTCACTAAATTATAAATATTGAGAATAGGGCACATTATTAATGATGTACAAAATAACAATTAAATTTGATTAATTTAACTCTAAACTTGAATTTAATTGAGCTACTGAAAAATCTTAACAATCGCCATTAAAACCTAGTTTCTGCATGCTGTTGTTTAAAGAAGTAAAGAAGTATACATATTGATATTTGGAATTATAAGAGCCTAAAATAAAGTTAAATTATGCTATATTATTTATTTTAGATATCTCAATAAATTTATGGGGAATCAAAAATGAGTTAACATCTAAAACATTTCCAAAAGAGTCAAGGGAAATGCTAAGCCAATATTATGCAGTTTCATTTTGACAAATAGAAGATATTGTTAAATTAAAGGATGTTGATTTTAAGCACTCCGTAAAATTTAAATTAGAATAATCGTAAGATTAAAGAATTTCAAGTTTCAAATTAACAATTTTGATTTCGTTATTGTTTTACAGAACGAAAAATTAGTTATTTACTGCAGTAATTAAGGTGTAATTTTAATTGGGGATAGTAGTGAAATAACCGAAATTTGTTAGGTTGCACAAATTATTTGAATATTATTCTTCATCAAATTAATCAACATCTTCTACATATGAATTATCAGAACTATCAGAAAAATAGCAACGATTAGCCTGTCTATCAAGGATTATATTCATAGGGATTGTGAAAGTTCGATCAATTAAATTTAAGTCTTGAATAGACAAAAGTATAGTTTTATTAGTTTTTGGTTAGAAATAGGTAAAATTTGATAAGTAAATTAAGCTTTAATTAGGCGTAAATTAAATAGCTGTTTAATTGAATTAAGTAGTAATATTAAAATTATAGATCATAATTGGGTAAGAGTGTTCAAAGTTTAGAGATTAATTAACATAAAGTTTAAAACTTTGTCTAGTTGATAATTAATTGATTGTATTTGAATAATATAAGATTCCTTTAGTTGCACATGTCAATTATGACGATAAATTGAGTTAATAATATAAACTCATATGCTCGGGTAATTAAGGATTATAAACGAAAACACTGTAATTCGAAAATTGGACATAAAAAAACAAGTTATCAGATAGTATTTATACTAAATTCTTATCCTTAACACTCATCATATTTTTCATAAAAAATGGGTCTCTAAACTTTTGGATATTCCATACTTGGAAACATAGTTCAAACCCTTAATTGCAAATATAGGATAATACTAATTATTGGTCGACAATGTTTATATATTTAATTTAGAATTTACACTCTATAATTGAAATTGGTATTGGAATATTATTTTTACCAATAGCAATAATAATGACATTGTTAATATTATTGATAAACAAACATGAAGATAATGATTAAGGATTCACAGCTATTTATATTGGATTAAATTTTATCAAACTATTGGTATTATATAAGTTATTAATAATCGTTTAATTAATAATTACTAGATCAGTAAAATTCAAAGTCATGATTGAAATTTCTTTATTAATAAACAAAGTAATCAAGTTATTAAACGTTACTAAAAATTATGAAAATTATTATTCAAATTTATACTCAGAGGAGGAGAAATAGGGTAGTTTGGCAGAATCGTATATTTTATAAAGGTAGATTGTATCGTTATCACTAAGTCCTATTATTATCGTTTAATCTATGTCATAGGCTACTTATAAGCTTTGAGCCTCAATAGTAATATTAATATTAAAAAAAGGATAGAATGAATTCAAAAGGAAATTTGAATAAAAAACTTATACCGATTAGTTCGTAACTCCGATAAAATAAATCTTTTATATTCCAACACCTTAAGTTGGGTTTAATAATTAGGCCATGTAAAATAATTGATTTTATAATTCGAAAAAGGTTTATAACGTTGTTTCCATGAAAAATCCAAATTATTTATTATCTGAATTCACAATATATGATAACAACTTGCCTGAATAGCCTGAAAAGACTGATTCACTTTATTCAGCCCCATTAATATATCTATACTGAGGAAAATTTTAATTGTATATTACATAAATATTTGTATCATTTTAATCTAAAATCGTTATAGACATAAACATTTTACAAATACCATTGAAAGTAAGATTCAAAAATTAAGCATAAATTGTAATATCATAAGTCTTTCCTTAATCATATTATTCTGTTAAATTAATTTATAATGAGGGCATTATCAATTCATAAACGATAATTAATTTGTTAAACGTAAATAGTTGGTTATTATAAGGATTATAATATATTTAAGTGTTTTCATTAATTGCAATTGAGGCAATAGATATTTCATTATACTATTGCTAATACAATGTTAGATAGTCTTAAGATTAAAATATGACAAATTCATTATCAAAAAAAAACTAAAATAATTGCATTGATTTTTTAGAAAAATAGTTAGCTTCATAATTTTAATAAAATACATCCTAACATCCTAAGATTTAATATGCAAAATAGTTGTGTTAATCCTATTTGTATACAATTTATAATAAATCACATTAAGAATAAGCTTAGTAGTCATAATAAACTTGAAAATTATTCACTGTTCTTTAAAATGAATAATTTATTGTTTATACAAATGTGTAATTCTAAATAATTATAAATTAGGATATAGATTATCTGTAGAGTAGATATATAGATGGGTTTTCTCTTTAAGGAATACCAAATTATATAAATTAATCTTCGTAGGATGTTAAATTTTAATATTGAGATGAAAATAAAGTTATGATCGATAAATTTTGATAGTATTAGGCATATATTAACAAAGTTTTTGATTCATTCAAAATTCCCTGCATTTTTGATGAAATTGGCTTATTTGTTTAGATTGAATAAACTATGTTAAAACTAGTATTCATTAGTTATAATAAATAAAGATTGTATTCTGTATAACAATCAAGTAAGATATCAATACCACCGAAAAATATGATATTATAGCATTGATAAATCTTATCAATTTTGGCTACTTAGCCATATTATTAAATGTTAAAATTCTTCCACTCATATAGTATTACATGACTATCTTTAGTTATTGTTGCAAAATGAGTTTCATTAAATGATATTGATATAAATTCTAATACTATGATTCATATATACCATATCCTTATATATTTAATATTTCATTGAAAGCATTTACTATTTCAATATTTGGTATTTTAGGTTCATAATAATAACTATAATTATCTCCCTAAAATAAATTGTTCATAGGATATTCTAAATACTCTCCATTAGTTGGATATAAATTAATTTCTTCATACGTCTTAAAGCAACTTTAAACTTAAAGGATTAAAATAAAAAATATCATTTTGTGTTATTAAAATTAATATTCAAAAAGTAATAATATCTTGCAAACTAATAAGATGAGGCCTGTAAATGGATGATTTTATCAAATGGTAAAAAATTATTTTGCAATTGATATAATCAATAAATGTTAAATTCAAATGTAGCGATGAAAGTGAATTAGATCTGATTCAAAAATTAGAATTTATTGAGATTGAGCAACACCATAAATCATGATATACGGTAATTTTTGTATGATTTATTTTTTTTTATTTTTAATTTAAGAGCAATTTGTGAAATTAATTAGGTCATGCTGAATTTTATAATGATTGCATCTGTCAATCTATAGCGTAGAGTTTTCTTTCTTTTTATTGGATTTATCAATTATCTTGTGAGAAGTGATTTTATTCGTCTAATAGCGTTGCTTTCAGTTTTGACTTTATTGGTATTTTTCATTTTAGTCAATTATCTATAGTAACAATAAACAATTATTAACCGAATTTTCACATAATTTATATAATTGTTTGTGAAGTGATTCATCCTGGATCAATAAACACTTAGTATTCCCTTTCTAAGATACCAGTTTGAGTTTGTAACCAAATACACATAGAAAAATAGTTACCCATAAACCCTAATTTTTTTTTTTTTTTACTAAAAACTTTTTTGGTTTTTACATTAATGTAGGATGCCAAGGTCCTATTAAGTAGATGCTCAGCCGAAATCAGGTCTTTTAGGAAATCACTAACCCTTACCTTAAATTTTGATCTCAGTTTATGTTCTACCTTAAACTCATCCTTAACCTTTACCCTATGGTTAACCTCAACCTTTTTCAGCCTTGACCGTTTTATCCTGTTGTTCAAACAAAATTTCAAAATTATAACGTCAAATTGCATTTAAAATAATACAATTAGTAAAAAATTTCACCAAATTGTTAATTTACTAGACATATAATTCAACATCCTCCTCCGAGCATCTAGGCTCGACCGGGTCAAAAGGGACTCCTG